ACTCCCGCCCCTCGGCGAAGACCTCTCTCTCTCTCTCTCTCTCTCTCGCTCTTCTACTCATGTCTACCCACCAGTCTGGGTGGAGTAGACTCCCGAGGCGGGTCCAGAGCGAGAGAACGCCTAGCCTAGTCCGCCCGCTCTCCCAGTCTGATTCGTGATTCTGATTCAACACCAATCGGCTCAACCAGGAACAGCGTATTTCCTTTTGGCCTCGTAAGTATGCAGCCTGCTCTCGAGTTTCGCGTCCTTTGACTAGAAAACCAAGCCTGCGTCTGCGGCTTGCGCCCCTGCACGCGCGACTGCGCCAGCCTCTTCTGTCTTCCTCCCTTTCCACTTGGTTCTGGGCTTGCCAGGCCTTGCCTTGCCACCGATGGGGCCTTGACTAGGCCTGTCTTTTACCGAATGGCAAAGAAGCACTTGCAGTTTTTTCCATCGCTGCCGGACGAGCTGAGCTGGGTTTCTGTGGGTAGTGGGAAACAGCCTGTGCCAACGAATCTCGATATCCGCTCAAATAGCGCCCAAACCCGCACCAGTGGGAGGGTCACCATAATCATACGTTTGTCAAGGAAGAAAGAATCCGAAGCTACAGCAATGAAAGAGAAAGAGAAACGTTGATCGGGGAGAAAAAGAAATTACCCGAGTCATACATGTCCTGCGAAGCAATCATCAGAGACTGTTATAAAGGAATGGAGCTAATTACTGTGTCAACGTCACGCACAAGACACAGAGAAAGAGATGGAAAAAGGAAAGGCAAGCCATTGTGGACTAAATTCTTCATCGACATTGCCTCACCCAACCAGACCGACTTTTGCTCCGTTCTGGAGGCAGGCATACAGAGCAGTTGACTACAGCAGATATTACAAAGCATTGCACAACAACATGGCGACCTCCCTCCATGAATATCTTGCTTGTTATGGCACAATGCAAAATGAGAAAAAAAAGGGAATAATTTAGCTCTGCCTGTCCAAAGTGGGGTGGGGGGGGGGGGGGACAGCCCACAAGGCCATCACACCAGAAACACCACATTCGTCTCCTCGGTAGATAATCGACGACAAAACGTTGCTAAACTCAATATGGAAGTTGGTACACCCTGTCATGCAAGTCCTGGCCATCGTTAGAGTTGCTAATATGCCGCCTTAGAGTACCCCCCCAGAATAAGTACAGTACTGCGACTTTTGTGTACCACATCCTCTTCGAGAGCCATCGGGGCCGAATATGCCAAGCTCAGCCTTCCCAACAGCCTTGTCTGCCATCTCAGACACGGCACCAGTATCAAGGCAGTGGAGGAACGCGGCTCGTTGTCGCAAGGCGTCTTGACTGTGTAACCAAACCCCAATTATCGTCCTTGCCGTGAAACTCGGCAACAGTGCAACCCACTGATACGATTCTCTTTGTGGCAGCCATCTCTCTTTGTCAAACTGATTTGACTGACTGATGCTGAGCAAAGTTTGTCGAACCCTTTGCTCTTGCGCGCAGTCGAGTCTTGGTAATCCGACATCACGTCATGACACCCTAGACCAATCTACCGGGTGTTGCATGTCTCATGTTCCGCCCTCTGTTCCGTACCCTTTGTCCTCGTTGGTGTTCAAACGCCGCGGTCCGAGACTCTCTTCCGCCGCAGCCCACACACGGCGCACACGGTCGGTGCCGATTCGGGGCGATGCACGCCAGCGGCGGCGTCCATCTGCCCACACACGCCCGCTTGTTGGGCAGCAATGGTGAACAGGGAATGGTGACTAAATAGTTAGTTTGCATAAACTCGTCCTCGCTATACTCGTTTTTGTCGAGACTGCAGATTGTCTCACGCGAAAATAGGACGTTCTTCTGCCATGGCGAGTCAACAGTTGGCAGGCTCATTGAGTTGCTGCTTCTTAATGACTCGCTCACTGCCTTGTCAGTGCCTTACTTGTCGACTAACCTGAATACGGGCTGCACCTCGTGAAATATCAACGCACACATAACCTTGCGTGTGAAGTTCTTTGTTCGATTTTTCTTATCGTCGTGCCGACAGATTGCCTTTTTTTTCTTGTGCCACCTCGTGAGGCGTTCGCTGCTCCTGCAAGCCAGACCCTCCCTCCCCTCCTCGACGACAATCCCTGCAGAATCAAGTTAGTTGGTCGACTAAGAAGGGAAGCAAAAAACCCACTGCAACGATTTTGACTCGCATGTCCAGTTGGTACCACCAAACTAGGCCCCTGGACCACGACAGTGACCGCATGAAGAAGTTGTCACGGACTGCTCATCAGAGCCACTCCCAAGCCAAACCCCCGGGGGTACATCTGCCCCAAACCCCTGCTGTCAATATCCGACCGTTGGCGAGGCATGCTCTCTCGAAATGCCGGCTTACCATAATAGTCACTGATACTGTACAACTCGCATGCCTTGGCGACAGCGGTGGCGCGCCGAGATGCTACCATCGAGACCATTCTAAAAGCGGGCCGGAGAAGAGATGGAGATTTGTCAATGCTCTGCGAGCGGACAATCGACTCGAGTTTTGGACTGACCCTACGATCGATTCATTATGACCCGTTTTGCGGTACCACTGTACGAGCTCACATTTCGCTCTTCTCGAAAGACTCTCTCCACCGCAGCAGGCCATGGCTTTTGCCTGTCCGAACCAACGACAAGCCACATGCACACCAATGTCAAGCCTTGTGGCCCCCGGACAGGACTCTTGACGGACTTGATTCGCCCCAAAACCTGTCGAAAACATTGCCCGTCGGAACAACAGACGAAACGCACACGCGCGGATCTACAAAGGCTTGACCCCACCGCGATGGCTCTGTTCTCGACCAACATTCTTGTCCGAGAGGGACCGCAGACGCACAGACAGATGGACATACACGCCGACTTGTTGACAATGTTGCACACAACTCCATAACACTATGCTGGATAGTTGATTTCCTTGTCCAATGAGATAGACGTGCTCGGGGGAGTAGAAATTTTTGATCGATAACGATACGCGAAGTCATCCACGCCTGCTGCACTCCTGCCACCCCAGGTGTTGACGAACTAGCCAACCGACCCTAATAAAGCAGAAACGCCAGAGACAAAGACGCCGTAAGAGGAAACACCGCCGGCGGAGTAATCGCCGTGGCGGACAATACCCGGCCGCAGAGTGGACCAAGGATGGCTCCCCCGCGAAGAAAGCATATCGCAGACAACGCCTCCGACTACCTGCAGACAAGGTGCTTGCGGAAGCCCGGGAGCGGAGCCGAGAACTTACACCAACCTCTTTCCTACAGTGCGGCCGCCTCGTAAACAAAACAAGCAAAAGCCTCACCCGTTGAGTTTCGCTGCACGCACAACTGCACAGACACACACACACGTACATAAACCCTGCGCCTGCAGCGACGTGCGTGCTAATTGGGCCACTCCCCTCCATCGTCTGCAGGGATATCCAAAAATAACTAAAGAAACAATTTAGTAGATAAGGCAACGTTTATCGTGCGGACCAGCGAGGTACTGTCCCACACAAGCATAATGGAACTGCCGTTGCGGCACGGAGGCATTTTCTTACGTGGTATTGCAGGTCCGGCTGCACGACTTTATATATCTTTTTATAAGCTGGTAGAATAGAAAGCCTGAAAACGTGCAAAATGACAAGTCAAGTTGGATGCGGCTCATTATGCATCGTGATAAAGGCCGGGAACGACGTAGAAAATGGTGGTTTGCGGGATGACCGGAACTCGTCCAGAAGGGCAGGGCATTTGTAAAGGTAGGTGTTGCGATATGTGTAACAAGATGGGAAAAGGATTGTCGTGATGAAGAATATCAGTGGTACATGCGAGAAGCGTGGAAAAGAGTTTAGTAGCAATTATAGAATCAACAGCATGTGAGATGCAATAAAAGAGATGGTAGTTTGCGAGAGATAGAGATGTGGAAACGCTGTATTCGAAGCAAAAGACAAAGAGTGGCGCATCACTAAAGAAAAGTCCGAAAATTGGCTGATACTTGGACAAACCACAACTGCACACCTCATATGTCTATCTCGCGGTCCTTGCTACCTCGCGCCTTATGGTTGAGGAACGTGCGTCAAACCATGTCGATCCAACCCGCGAATGCGAAGCCCCCTCTGCTGCGAGTTGCGGTGACTTTCAGGGTCTCGCGCAAGTGTCGCACAGAATACTCCATCAGGCAGCGGAGGATGGCGATGGCGATGACGATGGCGATGGCGATGGCGATGACGATGGCGATGGCGATGGCGATGACGAGTTCCATCCACCCAAGCCAGGTTTCTCTTGGAAGCGGGCGCTCTGGGCCGATGCCATAGTGCCGTCGTATAGCTTCGAGACTTGAAAGCGCCGAGGATCATATGTAATTGAGTAGATTATCCTTGAGCGAGATGTCTAAATTGCACACAAGGGGTATCATGCAGTTGTATGATCATGGAGAGTAGTGGGAAGAGCGAGGGCAATGTACAATACTGCAGTCTTACCAAATGGAACTTGAACCAGAGAAGCAGACTCTAACCCCTAAAATAAGGTTCGAAAGGTCTCAATATCTTAGTCCCAGTCACTCTATTAAACCTATTCCTCTTCAACACCAAACCGCTGCCGATTAAACTCTCCAACAACGCGGCTGACCTCGACCGCCACCTCGACCGCACCCGGTGTATCGCTATGAATGCAAAGACTCAGCGGTGCAGCGCCCAGCTTCAGATCCACGCGCCTCTTGCCGCCATCCTTGCACGCGATGCGGCCCGTCTGCAGCGCCTCCCTCACACGCGTCCGCAGAGCATCCAGGTCGACGGCGTCGTGCGTGCGGGATATGATGCAGTCGCCGTGCTCGTCGTACTCGAGATCGGCAATGATTTCCTGCACAAAGGGTATGCCCATGGCCGCGCACGTCGTCTCCATGAGCGTGCCGGCGGCGCCAATCATGGGCACCGGGGTGCTGCCGTCGGGCGAGGTAAAGTGCTTGGCTGCGCGGCAGACGGCCTCGCACACCGTCTTGTCCTTGCACATGACGCCGTACAGAGCTCCATGGGGCTATATTTCTGATTCATTCTAGTTAGAAATTGTACTGGAAAACTTCCTCGCAAGGCGCAAGGGGAGGGAGAGGGTTCTTGAACGTGCGCTGATGTGGGAGAGGGGAATGCCCTCAATGTCGAGAAACGCTTTGAGGGCGCCAATTTGATAAATGACCATTTTCTCGCACTCGACTCCGTCCATCTGAATTTCGCGTCGGCCGAAGCCTTGTAGATCGAGATATGACGGATGCGCGCCGATGCGTATGCCGTGACGGCGGGCCGCTTTGACAGTTTTGTACATGACCATGGGGTCGCCGGCGTGGAACCCGCACGCAATGGAGCAGGATGTTATGTGCGGCATGATGGCCTCGTCGTCGCCCATGGTCCAGTTGCCAAATGCCTCGCCCATGTCACAGTGAATCTCGATGGGCTTGGACGCCCACGGCAAGTCGGTGTCTGCCATGCGTGGAAGTGAAAGAGTATGGAAACGAGCTGATGCTTTTGGTTGTCAAAAGAGCACGGATTGTTGGAGGTTGTCAGGAGCAGAACTTGTAAGAATGTAGATAAATCTCCAGTCGGGGGGAAGGAGAGGGGGGGGGGGGAGGGTGATGTATATAGGGCTTCAAATCACAACTCTATGTATATAATAATGACGTGTGCCTATACTTATACTATCAACACTGCATTGCTTGTAGAGTACCGGCGTCAAGCACATACATGAGGACCTTTCGTAGACTTTACCTATTTCTTCTCGTAGACTTTGCCTATTTCGTATACGTTGATAAAGCGCTCCTCACCTGCAAAGTGGCGTGGATCGCGTGTGTGGCTTGCTCGTGGAGTTGTCCCGACTCAGCCCATATTGTGCATGGCCGCTCGTGAACGGTGCCTAAACTCGTTGCATCGCCCCACCCCCGCATTATCTTTTATCTTTTGAAATGCGAATCGACCAGTGAAGGACAGGGGGTCCAGATCAAGAGTTTGCTACATCTCTTTCCTCTTGCTCATGTCTTGGGACATGCCATCGCCCCCAGAATCCTTACGGCGCCGCCTTTGGTTTGGCATGTCTCGGATGTGCAATCAAGGTGTGAGGAGAGAAGGTGGTTAAAAAGAGACCGAATCGCCGCCAATGAGAAAAAGCCACCATTGAATTTCTGGTTTGGCGCCCGGGAATATTGATATACATCTTTTTCTTGCTTGATTCTACGTCACGCATCGCCAGCAATCACCATGCAGCTCTCACGCCACCTCACCTTTACGCAGAACCTCATATCGGGTTCTGTGCTCTTCTTCACAGTCGGTGTCTACCTTGCCGTCCTCGGTCTCGGAGCCGGCGGCGGTAAGCCCTCGTCGCAGCGTGTCAGCGACATCTCCAACAGCTCCCTCTATGGCATCTACGCCGTGTTTGGCTTCTTCACCGGCGCCATCATGAACAAGCTGGGTCCACGCATCACAATGACTATTGGCGTCGCTGGATATCCGCTCTACGTGGCCGGCCTTTTTTACTACGATCGTACGGGTCGTGAGTGGTTCCCGATTCTTGGAGGCGTCCTCCTGGGGCTCAGCGCTCCGATGCTGTGGTGCACGTCTGGCTTCATTCAGTGGGCATACGCGACAGAGCTCGAAAAAGGAAAATATATCGCCATTCAGTATTTCATCAACCAAATTGGCAGTGTTGTGGGATCCATTGTGGCATTTGGCATTATTTACAATAATGCCGCGTCAGCAGAAGACGGCAGTCCGACGAGCGTCTACATCGTCATGATCATTCTCATTTGTTTTGCGTTTCCGTTGACTATATTTGGGCTTGTCAGCCCCAAGAACGTTCGTCGTCAAGATGGGACGCCGATTGCAGTTTTCCACAATCTGTCACTTGCTCAAGAGCTCCGAGGAGTCGCTCGGGTACTGCGAGACTATCGTGTGATGGCTATGCTTCCGGTCATCTTCAGCTGCGAGCTAGTTCTCGGGATTCTACCCTCTGTGAGCGGTCGCTACTTCAACTTGCGGACCCGAGCCATGAACAACATCATCTTCTACCTTGTTCAGCTCCCTGCCTCGGTGGCCTGCGCTTATCTTACAGACCGGTTGCCGTTTCGGCGAAGTGTTCGTGGGTACATATCTGTTGGAATTCTCGGCATCTTCGTCTTTAGTGGCTGGACTGCGTTGTTGGTCTGGGTCTCCGTCTCTGCTGCCTGGGCGTCGCCGCCAAATGGAGGCGTTGATTGGACCGACTACGACTTTCGCGGGCCGTTTGTTCTCTACCTGATCTTTGGTATATTATACGGCTCTCATCAACAAATCGGGATGTGGGTCATGGGGACTTTTACGAATGAACCAACTGTTTTAGCCATCTACGGTGGACTATGGAAAGGTGTTGCTGCGGGCGGCGTCGCTGTTCAATTCGGAATGGCAGCTGCACAAGTATCCTACCAGTACGTCCCATCTTGAAAGCCAGCCAGCCGGCCGGGACACTGGATATTTGCTAACTATATTACACAACAGAGCCCAGATAGCATTTGCTCTTGCTTTGCAGGTCATCTCCATTCCCATCATGCTTGTCTTGATGATGCGAGCTCGCGAGTCAAATTACAGCGAAGAAGGTATGCTACCGTGAATTTACCAGGGGGCTGTGGAATGTATTTGAATAGACATACTGACGTAATGCAAATAGTCGATGTCATAGTCCCTCAGTATGCAGAAAAGATTGCCGCCAAACCTGGGGTCGAAGAAGCTGAGTCAAGCTGTGGTTAAAGAACGCGTCAAGTTAATGTGCCCTGAAGGCTTCCAAAGACGTCACGAAAGATGGTCAACCCAAGCATTGGCAGTGGAAGTCTACTCACGCTCCGGAGGGATTATAAATGATGGGGTTAGTGCAGCTCTGCGAGGCGTAAGGGCTTGTTATAAATGAGAACGCACGGCAACCACTCGAATGATCATTCATGGGCTTGAAGAAATTCGTAGTCAATACCGTCTGTGTTTGCAAAAATTCTCTGGACTTTATACGTAGTAGCTCATTCGCGCTGTCTCTTTTCTCACACTATGCTCGTCAATCAGACCTTCTGAAGCATCTCGGATTGGTTTCCATTGGTGATGCCACACACAACATCACTCAGCAGCCGCATCACTTTCCAACTCATCAAGTCTTTGCAACGCAAAGGCCAGGCTATCATTCGAATTCTTCAACGCGGCCTCGTGCTTTCCGACGTGGCTACCAATGGCATGCCGAACTAGGGACTCAGTAGAGCTTCTCAGGACGATACCTTCCTGCTTTAGTACATGTATGACAACGCTTGCCAAGTCATCGTCGCTAGTGTCGACGTGAGCAAAGCGACGCGCGGTGGGTGAATCATTCACACTAGAAAGGCGTCCTGCTCTACCGCCGCCACTGAACAGGTTCACCCTCGAACTTGAACCAGTGTGTGGCGTTGGCATTGCCTCGGTGGTGCGCCGCGCGAAGGGTGTCTGAGGGGCAGACGGAGCTTTCTCTAACCTCGCCTTGGGCTCATCTGCCTCTGCCAGGAAGAATTTACAGTCTTTTTCGCTTTCGTCGCTTCTCCAGTATATGCAGGATCCATCTATGACCTAGTTAATTATCGGACGCTGACGTTATTATCGGAAGAAACAAACATAGCTTGCCCTTGCTGTTTTCCTGTTTCGATGGGCGCCATTTGACCTCCTTATTGCAGCCGCAGTACCATTTACCAGAGCGGAAATCGCCATTAGCGTAATTGGAATACAGTACCATCTTAAATAGGGCTTTGAAATGGCTATGCTTTGCTGTCGAAGTAATAATTTCGCAAAAAAGCGACTGTGTCAGAACAGAATGGGACAAGTCAAGGGAAAAAGAGGCAGACTGGCCATGAAGAGCGGATTTCAGCGCTGCCTCGGTGCTTAGGCATGGCTGCATGAAGTTTTTGTGACGAAACTTGCATGCAGCAGCTGAAGAAGCCATGGCTTATTGTCTGCGGCGTGTTAGTGTCTGATTGGATGGTGTATTTGCCAAAACGCCATATTGCAGCAGGTCTTTCCAGCTTATGCGTCGGGAAACCTACGTAGTGGGCGATGGTAAACTTGTCGCGGGCGGGATCTGTATGGTAAGAAGGGCCCAAGATGATGAATTAGCGCATGGCAAACTTTGTGGCTTTGTTTCCAGATTTTGCCAGCAAAACGTTGCTGCGTCTCTAGCAATACTCAACGTATATAAGTCTGTAGGAGCGAATGTGCAGGTTTCCGTAATACTTACAGGGATTTAATCGCTATATATTAGCACCTTGCCCAGAACAGCCAATCATGTCTAGGCTATTTCTTGATGAAAAATAAAATAGAGGAGTCTAAGACGCAAGAAAATAGCGATAAAGCGGTAGACTTTGTATTTCAAGTTTATACATATAATTGTGCAGCGCTTAGAAAAGCCAGCCGGTGGTGGCTAGCATGCTGGTAGATTGGTAGAAATCGAGCTAGGTTGGTAGCTGTTTATCATTGTAACGTCAAGCAAAGTATACCAAGAAAAGATTAATTGACTACCAAGATATTAGAGAAGAATCGCTTTTTCAGTTCCTAGATTATGATTGATGCTAAGAAACCTAGCGTTGTAGCATCTCTTACCGAGTGTGTCATTCTCGTGACCCTGACTGGTACCGCGTACGATGCCTAAAAGAAGGATTGATAGAGAGAGCGAGACTCACCTCTTCTTCTGCTCATTGAGTGACATTCAATGCGCTTGATTTTCAATCCATATGGACTTTAGAAATTAGGTGGAATATAATAAAGGCGTTAAACAGTACCGTTCCACCTCACCGAACAGCCGTCATCACGAATTAACCGAAGCGATCTTGAACAAAATTTCCCCCTTCTGAATTTTGCTAATTTAATTGCCTATCAAATGGATCCAGTCTCCAACATTCAGACTTTCTCTAGATGGACCTTTTCACATTAATAAGCTTGTCAATTACAGCCATCGCTCCCATCAGCATCTCATCTTGATGTGTCAAAGCCACCGCCTGGATAGCCACTGGCATGCCGAGATATACGCTGTTGTCATCTACTCAAATGTTAGCGACCAATTTTCTTCCAGAAAAGTCAATGCTTTTGATGTGCTCATCATTCATTTTTCAGCATCAGGGTGGACTCACACAGCGCAGCATTCTCCCTATCCAAGTCATTGACTGGCTGGTAGCCTTCCGGATAGGCATCGTCGCCGAGGACCCTTCCCGCAGGAAGCACACCGCTGGGGTAATCCAAAAGATTCCACTGCGCGCAGTATCCCCACCAAGGCTTAACATCATGGGGGGTGCCTTGTAGCGGCGCTGCAGGGCAGAGTAGCACGTCCATCGCCCTACCCGACCTGCTTGCTTGAGCTGTGGCCGCCCACTTCTGTAGGTATTTCATTCGATATACATCGCGATCTACATTGAGCTTTTTATATTCGCCGTCAGCGTCTTGTGAAAGTTGTAGAAGCTCACGCGAAAGAAATACTTACCTTCCAAACTTCGTGGGTTGAACGATGCTTCACGATTGGATCGGAAAGGAGTTTCTCGGCGGATGGCAGCATGAGTTCGTTTCCAGCGGCAAGGGTCTGCTTGATGTCCAAGCCGCCATCAGTAAAGTATAGTGGCAGTAAAATCTCATCCCACGCCCTCTTGTGGTCATAGGGCGCAAAGTCAATTACTGATGGCTATAGTCAGCGATGCTGGTGAATGGCGTCAAAATCTCAGAGGAGGCGCATCAGGTACCTTCGTGTCCCGCTTGCCTCAAACTTTCGGCAGTTTCCCTCAGCACTCTTGTAATGTATGGGTGTGGCAGGACCACTTCATCCCAAAGCATCAGACCGACTGTCAGCTTCTGCGTCTCGAGGTGTTTTGTCTGTGACTTCCATGGGAGGGCAAGCAGCGGCTCCTTCAGCCATGGCTGTGCATCGAGTGTTACCTGGAGAAAGAGTTCCAAGTCCTGTACGCTCTGAGATATTGGACCAGCAACTGCCGTGATTGACTCTGCACCGGCCATTGTACATTCCCAGCCAGAGGTGGGAACACGTTTACCCGACGGCTTGAATCCGTAAAGGCCATTGTATGCAGCCGGAACTCTGATGGATCCTCCTATATCCGATGCGATGCCGAGAGGTGAGCCTCGCTGGGCAATGAGCGAAGCCTCGCCACCGCTGGAACCTCCGGCGCCAAGAGCAGTGTTCCAAGGGTTGAGGGTTCGTCCGTAGATGTTGCTTACCGTCTCCAAGACCATCATACACTGCGGATTATTTGTTTTGGCGTATATGACGGCGCCAGCATTACGCATAATCTCCACAATATGAGCGTCCTGACTCTTGACTGCATGGTTGGCATAAGAGATGTATCCGGCAGTAGTAGGCTGGCCTTTGACGTTATAATGGTCCTTGACCGACACTGGCACTCCATGCAATGGACCAACGAGTTTTCCAGTAGTCTCGTATATATGATCAAGGTTTCGAGCTTGCTCAATGGCGTTGGCGAAGAAAATTTCAGTCAGGCAATTAGTCAACTGCTGTGCAACTGCCGCACGATGACAAAAAGCCTCGGCCACCTGCACCGACGAGAATTGTCTCTCTTTAATCTGGACTGCCAACTCTGTTGCGCTCAGCGCCGTAATCCCAACTACTTGAGAAGGCAGTATATTTGGCAGCAAGTCGATGATTCGCGTAGTGTTTTTGGTCTCTTGAAGCTGCATTGGTGTCAAGACCCATTCTGAAGGTATCGCAGCGGCGCGTGACTTTTGATGACGCTGTTGGATATAAGTATAAGCCTACTATTGATAAGGCGCATGACTTGCCTCGGCAATAGACTTCCATGATGTAGCCATTTTGCAAATCTAATGGTGAATTTGAAATACGCGATATGAAAAGTTTAGGGTGTGGTTCATATGATGCTGAGTGTAATTGATTTATGTCGCTGTGAACTGAACTGAAGCAAGGACAGGATCTCAATGCAACTAACTAGCTACTCTGTTCGACTACGGCCTAATCGTAGCTGTACTTTGGAACCAAATTGTTTGCTATCATCAATAGCCTCGCCACCCCGCAGCTCGGCACATAAATCCACTCTGGCTTGATTGACGGGTTTCCTCAACGGGCGGCTTTTCGTGAGCGGCTCGTGGACGCGCCACCGCCGAGACCAAAGTGCCCAGAAAAGCCACAGACAGAGAGGGTTGCCTCGAGCTCGTCGAAGTATGCTGCTTTTGGGGGGCGCTAGTGCCTGTAGTAGATTCAGTCCCTGCTCGTGGAATGTTACGTGCTGCTTGAGGACCATGCCGCCTGAAGTCGAGAACTGACAATGAGGAGCGCCCCAGTCACACAAGGGAGGACTTGAGAGGCATTCACGCGGCCAGACACGAGGGAGGCTTGCATGATTGCAGACACAGTTGGATCATCGCAGGCGCCTCTATTGACAGATAATGTGGACGAGCGCACGAGCGGCGATAAATGACGGCCGCCAGCCACACCCTCGTGGAGGGCACCACATGTAGAAGGTGCAATAAATGCCTTTAATAGCTGCTCATTCTTAGCGACCTTTTTACATATGCCTTATCTAATGCGTAGTATCCCTCCTACTAGGGCTTAACATCATGATCTTTTTTATGTATTCTTCATTAATAAGAAACTTTTTTTCTACTTTTCTTTTTCGCATTAGATTATTCAACTTTTCAGTCGTTTACATTGCTGACAGGTAAAAAAATACCAGGTAGCCAGCCCGTCACTACTAACGTGACTCTGCTCAAGACTGGGTTCAACAGCCAACGTGATTGCTAGGCTGTGTATATGAATTCATAATGCATGTAGTTGAAAGCAGCCAACAGTTGATGATTTAAAGCCTGTAAAAACTCTCAAATCGTTTAGATGTGCTGTTTCTCGCTGGTGCCCCGTCCTCCCTGAGCGCGCGCCAGTGAAGCAGTCAGCGTCATGTATACTTAATCACTTTTAGAAAACCTTAGCTTTAGAAAGAACCCCAGATAGTCTAGTTTTATAGTCCTGAATATCTAAACACACAAACACACAAAGTCCATCTGCAATAGTTTGTTAACCACGTCGACAGATTCTGGCTGAGGTTCCCCCTGCTGACTACAGCGTCGACGGGGCCGGGTCTCTGGATTGAAGACACTGCTCTTCGCTGTTAAAGTTCTCGCCAAATTCCCGGAAATATTCGTCGCGGCAGTATAGGACTGTGCCCAGGCAGGCCTCAGAATGCCCTCTGGAGTCCCCTATAAAAAAGCCGCACCTAGTAGGATTACTCTTGCGCAGCTTAAACGGCTTCTTGGATGAATCTGGAGCTGGGTCTCGGGACTGCAGGCATTCCTCCTCATTGCTAAAGTTCTCGCCAAAGTGCCGGAAAGATTCGTCGCGGCAGTATAGGACTGTGCCAAGGCAGGCCTCAGAATGCCCTCTGGAGTCCCCTATCATAAAGCCGCACATAGCCTTAGTACTCTTGCGCAGCTTAAACGGCTTCTTGGATAAGCCTGCAGAAGAAGGTGGTGCTGATGCCGGACTGTTTGATGCTGGCGTGGTTGCTGACGTGGTTGCTGCCGGCTCGGGCTCAACTACTGGCGGGGCAGCTGCAGGTGCCGGATCCCGGGACTTCAGACACTCCTCTTCATTGGCAAAGTCTTCGCTAAATCCTCTGAAGAACCCTTGGCTACAGTATTGAGATGTGCCGACGCAGTCCTCAGACTGCGCCTTGCGGCGGTTGCCTGGTCTAACGACGCAGGCCTTGTTAGTCTGCCTGCCCGGCTTGAACGGCCTCAGTGAAGGCGGATCGCGGGACTCCAGACACTCCGCCTCGTTGCTGAAAGTCTCACCAAAATCGCGGAAGAATCCTTCACGGCAGTATTTGACAGTGCCAGCGCAGGCCTCTGACCGGCTTTTCGGGGACTTTATCATCTGCGAAACTCCGCAGTTGCGAGGGCTATATACAAGATCAGAGTGTAGAAAGGGCTTCTTCAAAGAGTCCTGTCGTGCTCCAAGTGGCTTAGAAGCAGCAAGGGCCGTACAAAAGGCTAACACAAGTGACAGCCTCATACTTGTTGCGATCGCGATTGAGTACTGTTGGCCTTGGGACTTGGAGTAGCGTAGGTTGTTTTTCGAAGTATCAAACCGTGAAGGCGAAAATGATCAATGCGGTTCGGTGTAAGTCAATGATCTATGATATTAGGTGAGGACCTGCAATTTTATACCTTTCCCTTTCCATATCAAGTCCTGACCTCTTCGTATTGCTCTTTTGATTCCATGACCCCAGATACTACGTACGCGCGGTTGTTCCATGACCTGATTTCATTATGGCCTATCCTTAGAGGCGAGAAATCTCGGGTTCGGGGTAGCATTGACCGAATTCAGGTGTGTAATGCAATGCCCTGTCCAATGCCCTGTTAATGTGCTCCCGAGAGCCCCTTCTACGCACGATCTAGAAGGGCTCCGCCTAGGAACAGTAGTGGAATCCTCTTTACTGGTGCGGGTCGCCATGCTATGAAACCGCACTGCATTTGCTGATGGACAGTACTAAATACGGATGTTATGGATCCCATCTTCAGGGATTTAAGGGTATGAATCATGAATTCTAATTCCCAGCCAACCAGCCTACGCGCGACTACCGACTACCGAGTGGCTTGCGGACCCGTGGCCACCAAAAGCAGCGGAGCACTTTGTAACATATGACTAATACAGTCTACGGAGGTCGCTTTCATGAATGTATCATACTAGAGCCTAATCCTGACTAGGCTTACAAGATGGTATATCATTGCACTTCTAATTAAAGTAGGATATAGAAAACATGGTAAGATTTTAGGTTGTAAACTCCCGACGAAAGCTCTAATGGTGTCCCTATTGCCTTATATTATATCGCTTTTGTGATATCTCGAGATTCTTAGTATAGGACCTATGCTATCCCTATGTATTTGCCTGATTTATAATCCTGGTTATAGGGTCGTACGAGATTAGCGTGACGCGTTTACTTTCAATGCGACCTCCGAACAGAGATTTGCTATCCACAGTAATGCAGTAGCCTAATTCCCAGATCGCAGCGATTTCAGCTCTAATTCACAATATCCAAGCCGAGTCAGACTAACATCTAAACTTGATCTAATTAATGCGTAACATCTGTGGCTGTGTCCTAGCAAGGGTGCTACCGGAGATGTAAAATTCAGGCCCAGGCGACACTAGCTCCACGACCCCCACGTTATAACTCCTGTAGCACCTCAGCGGGACGGCGCCCCCACGAAGCAAGCACACTACTTAAGGTCGTCTTGCCTAATTTAGAAAGTTTGGAAAGTTCGTAGGCGGCGGCGGATTTGATTCCGATGAATAGCCCTACGTTACCACCAAGTGAATCGGATGAACCTAGCTAATACATGGAACTATCAAAGTGTAGGGGCTTAGGCTTGCGATAGGGAATAGAGTCTAAATTTCAAGAACTTATAGTATCTAGACGCAAAGCATCCAAGGACACTATCACGGACCTTGAAGGTATATAGCAGATACCAGGGATGTTCGGCCTTATTAGCTGCTATATCTCAGTCTCCCTGGTCACTGTTACTCAGTTATATATAAAGTGCCCTGAGTCGTCGAGACTTTTGGTACCCTTGCTCCTCAAGTTAACCTACAGTAAGTATTTTTTGTATCGTCCTATATTCTTGCCTGAAGTATTGAAACTCTAAAATAAACCCATTGCCGGCTTTCATTGGGTCGTACCAAGAACCCTTTTCGTGATCCGGGTCCACAAGCTGCTATACCGACGGCGGTAACCTCGGCAGTATAGATTCCTCTTCAATAAGCTCAGGTGGACGCGCGGCCTTTTCCAGCGTTTCAACCGTGTGTATTGTGGCAGTACAATGGAAAAGTCCGTCGTTGCTGGCTCGTGTCTCCCTGGGAGGGAGCGGACTCGTCTGCATCATGCCCAAGAGGAAACGGTCCACCGATTCAAGTCACTCTGAGCGTTGTTGCATTGTCTGTTCAACGCAATCGGTGGATACTCAAATATCCATACTGTCACGGCATGACTCGCCTCAGCAACCATGTCGTCTCCTAGCTGTATTTGTAGCCTCTGGCGCCTTAGTCTGGATTGGAGTCACTCCTCGTTACCAAGGACGTCTGTCAGTCAGTCAGCAAATGCCACTCAGCAACTTGTTCTGCTGGCTCTAGGCTCTGATGACGAGTTCCTGAATGCATTCCGTAGGTTAAGTGACCGCATCCAGATTTTCTGTTCTGTAAAGACGGTGAGGCTATTACTTGGAGATAACCAAGATCCAGATCTAGGGGTGGCTTCGAGTAATTCGTTGGATCATGAGTCTATGATACGTCTATTACTTGACCATGGCGTCAGCTCGTATTTCCAAAATTATAGATGGGTGAGAATAGCCCCTTAGCTTTAGTGGTCGAGCACGGCAATGAAGATGTTCCAAGTCTGTTCCTTTTAAATGATACAGCAGACAATAACCCGGTCAAGAAGGAGCAATGCAAGTCCTCATTTCTTTTGTGCAGCGCGTGAGGAAGATCTCGCAACTGTTACGATGCTGAAGAGATTCTATATCCGGTGCCTGAAAGTGAGGCAAAAATGGTAGGCAACCCAGAAAGGATTTTGTATACACGCTCGGTTTTCATGCCCTGCTATAAGGAGATTGAAACACGGTGCAAATTTAAGGCAGCCTGGAGAATAACTAAACATATCATTAAGCTATAGTATGACTAAAGTACTATATAACAGCTAGTTAAACTTAGCATTGCCCTCGCCATCGGCGGTACGAATGTTCCGCCCCGTGGTAGTGCCTGGCAAAGGTATTTCCTCACACCGTCGTGGCGTTGGAAGCAGAACCAACATGTTCGTTGATAAAGTCGATGTAACTGCCGACTCTGGTAAATAGACCAGGAACCCGGTTGCAAGTTTCTCCGTCAGATTCGCCGACTGTATCCTCGATGGTGATTGACGTGATTCCGAGTACCTGTCCCGTTTTCTCGTCAAAAAGAGGACCACCGCTATCTGCAGTGCACACATTCTTGCCCTTTCCACCGGCGCAGATAATGGTCTCTCTGTCACCAAAACCTGCGTACTTGGCGCATTCCTCGCGTGCGTGGACAGGAAGAACAACCTTGCTAAGTGTTTCAGCCGGCACGATTGGCTGGAAATCGTCCCCGGCCCGCGGGGCTTGCCAACCCCTGTTTTATACATCAGCGTCGTTCCGACAATGTTTTGAACTTTACGGTGCTAAGTTTTGGCACTTACCAGCCGGCAGCAACTGCGTTGGAATCGACCACGGCATCCGAGCCTGCAGGAGGCAGCGTGGCAAACTCAATAGCGTTGCTCTTTTCGATCGGAGTTGATAATTTCACAATTGCGATATCATTATCTTCCCAAGATAGTTTGTCAAGTTTCTCACGCTTGAGTGTTTCGTAAAGGCCGCCTTTGTCAAAGAACGGAATGTAATTAGGGTGCGTCTTGAAGGTTGCAATTTGTGCTTCTACTCCCAACCCCGGCTTAGACCTCTGTACAGATATTAGCTCCATGCCGCTTCGTCTTTCATTTGTTGCACCGCAGTGCAAAACTAGAGAGATAATCAGGATGCGTACCAATGTTCCAGCCGTTACGGAGGTGAGATTGGCGTAGTGACAGCAATGAGCAGCGGTAAGAACTGTAGTGCTGTCTAGCAGACTGCCTCCGCAGTTATGCACACCGTTGTTATCGCGAATGCTGACAATGAACTTGATTTCACCTTCCTTAGCATCTTGACCATTAACAATTCTCTTATCAAGAGGAGTTGCCAATGACAAAGTAGCAGAGAGCGAGATTGCTAGTGTAACAGCAGCCTTGAGAGCCATGATGAAGACGACGCAGGTAAATTGCTTAGAAGCGAGAGAGTATCGAACAAAGATAGAAAATAGTCAAGGCAAGTTTGATTGCTTATAGAATAGAGAAGCAACTCTTGAATAGGCATCTTGTGTTATTTATTCTCCGCGTACACATGGTATTTACACTCTTCTGATGATTCTTCGTATTGCGCCTGAGTCGCTCTTGATATGATGGCAGGGGCAGCATAGCAGTAGGTAGGCCGTATAAAGAGAATAATCGTACAGGCCCCCACTACTCTCTGGGTTTGGAACTATCGGAAGAGCCACATTGCCAGTTGATGTAAAGCCAGTTAATGTATTAATTATATAGATTGATGAGGGTTTTGAGGGCTTACTCAGCGCGGCTAGCTATATCGATAGAAAGGAAAATGGAAACAAACAAAGGAAAGAAAATATCCTACTATACTATCACTATCCTTCTCACGCGCTGGCTACCTAGTGTAGTCGGCCGAATAACTGTGGTCGCTGTGGCAGGCGTGGCTCGGTCTGTGGGGGTCCGTTGAGGGGGGTGGGGGGGTGGGGGGTGGCGTATAAAAAGAGGGTCTCGGCCTAGGTCTCCCCGAGTCTAGCCCGTCGCAACATCACGAAAAAGTTACTTATAGCTTAGCTGTTCTATTAAATAAGAACGATGAATCTGGTTTCAAAGAGAGGTATATAAGTAATAAATCTTATATATTAATACCAATATACTAGTTATACTAGGCCATTAGCAGATAATCGAATCGTTTGACACGAGTACTATAGCTGAACTTCTACCTTAACTAACTCTGTTATTAATAACAGACCAGTAGATTATATAACACTTGACGTAAGCGGTGTATATTCCAAACGTTTAGGGGAGGACCCTAGCAATATGAAAACTTGGCTCTTTTTGAACTTCTGTAAATTAATAATTGACGTATATATCATTAAGGGTTAAAGATTTTTATAGATATATATAGTATAAAGTTATTATAATGAAATTAAATAAGATAAAAAAATAGGAAATAATTTAGACTTATAGCGTGGTTTATGTAATGCCGAGGGAAATTGATCATGTGGCATGTAAGCTGAAGCACTACACTGGATATCACATGTAACTAGGTACTCTGATCGACAATGGCGTACTGTACCTTTTAAATTGAATTATTTGCCATCATTAGTAATCTCGCCAGAGCCCGGGGTAAATTTACTCTGGCTTCCTCAGGGGCGCCTTTTCGGGGGCGGCTCGTGGACGCGCCACTACCAAGGCAGAGAGGGGTTGCCTCATGCTCGTCGAAGCATGCTGCTTTCGGGGGGCGCTAGTGACTGGAGATGCAGTCCTGCTCCGGGAAATCGTGCTGCTCCCGAACCATGCCGCCTGAAGTGAGAACTGACAAAAAGGAGTACCACGTTCACACACAATGGAGGCTCGAGAGGAGGCTTGATTGACTGCAGACACTATGCACGGTCGCAGGCGCCTCTATTGACAGATAATGTGGAATGATTCAGTGACGGCCGCCGGCTTCAGCCTCGTAGAGGGTACCGCATGTAGAAGGTGCAATAAATGCCTTAGATAACTGCTCATTCTTTAACGACTTTACATGTGCCTCATCCGACTCTGTACTCTCATCCGAGCTGATGTAGAGGTGCGGCCCAGAATGGCGAGCTCGCTTTTTCGCCGATGTCAGCTTTCCGCGTTACTAAATGAGATACGGCCTCTAAAAAAGCAGACGACGGTCGATTATTCCTTGCCACTATATAGATAGAGTTGCTTTAACACAATCCATCAGCACACTCCGCGATCAGACGGCATTGGTGCGCCTTGGCATCGAGGTAAATGGCCCCCGCACTGTCGCGGAACAGCATCCATTTGGGAAACTGGGCTACGGCATAATCCTCTCATATGTCAAGCGAGGATTCATTTAGTACGTGTGCGCTTATATAGCTAATTATTTTTGATTATAAAAGGGGAATATCTTGGTATTCTCTCCTCTGCAACACGAAAACAGCATCTTGCAGCTCTCATTACCACGCACCATGGCCACCACCAAGACGTCGGCTAAGCGCCTTCTGATTGCGAACCGCGGCGAAATTGCGAACCGGATCCTAAAAACAGCACGATCCCTAAAATACTGCATAATTTCAATTTACATGCCCAGCGATGCTTCCAGCCCTCATGTAACGGATGCCGACGTCTCCATCCCGGTGTCTTCTTACACCGATATTGACGAGATTATTGCCATCATTAGACGCCAGGCTGTAGATTTCGTTATTCCAGGATACGGCTTCCTATCCGAAAATGCAAATTTTGCAGCTGCAGTCGAGGGTGCTGGGGCTGTCTTTGTCGGGCCTGATCCTGAACACATTGTCACGTTTGGCATCAAAGACCGCGCGAGGGACTTGGCCGCAGGCGTCGGCGTCCCTGTGTGCCCTGGTTCTGGAATCATTCAGAGCGCAGACGAAGCTGTATCGGAAGCTTCCAAGATTGGATATCCTGTAAGTAAATATTTAATGCTCAGCCATATCGGCATTTTTTTGCGCTTGGTTCTAACATGCCTAGATTATGCTCAAAGCCACGGCCGGCGGAGGCGGAATGGTGGGTTGGCAACGACGGCGGGAGCGCCGCGCGAAAGCGTCTGAATGTGTCTAACAGTTTCCCAGGGTTTGAAGATATGCGAAAACGAAAGTCAAGTTCTCTCATCCTTTGCCAGCGTAGTAAGTCGAGGGGCCGCTCTGTTCTCCAACCCGGGCGTGTTTCTGGAACGCTACTATCCCGTGTCTCGCCACATCGAGATCCAAATCTTTGGAGACGGTCGTGGAGACTGCGTCATCTTTGGCGAGCGCGAGTGTTCCATTCAGCGACGGCATCAAAAGGTCATTGAAGAATCACCCAGCCCGTTTGTGGAGACGCGGCCAGAGTTGAGAGAAAAACTTGTCCGAGTCTCCCAACAGCTTGCCAGCAGTATCAAGTACAAATCTGCAGGAACAATCGAGTATCTCGTCGACGATAAAACCGGGGAATTCTTCTTCTTGGAAATGAACACTCGTTTGCAAGTTGAGCACGGAATCACGGAGCTACGATTCGGCATCGACTTGGTCGCGCTCATGTTAAAGCAGGCGGAGCAGCCATTGAACCTCGATTCTCTCAAATTGTTGAAACCATCAGGCGCAGCTATAGAAGCTAGAATCTACGCGGAAAATCCCTTCAAGAACCATCTTCCCTGTCCAGGCCAGCTGCAGCTGGCAGAGTTTGGAAGCGGCCCAGGCATCCGTGTCGACACCTGGGTGCAGACGGGAACCAGCGTATCTCTCGCATTTGACCCATTGCTAGCCAAAGTCATGGCTCACTCTGAGAATCGAAATTCTGCCATTTCCAAGGTACTTGAAGCCCTATACAACACGAAGCTGCTAGGACTCGTGACAAACACGGACTATCTGCGGCGCATTTTCGAAGCTGAGTGGTTCAGGGATGGAAAGACAACAACCAACGTACTGGATAGCTTCGAATACACGCCCCGAGCTATGGAAGTCGTCTCTCCCGGTTCATCAACTACGGTTCAGGACTTTCCGGGAAGAGTGGGAGTAGGGTTCGGCATCCCCGAGGGAGGCCCTGCGGATGCCCTGCACGCCCGACTAGCGAATTGTGTGGCAGGCAACGATCCTGGCTGCGAACTACTCGAAATCACATTCGCCGGTCCCACCATCAAATTCCATGAACGAGCCATTATTGCATTGGCTGGTGGTATTGTCGAGGTGCATCTTGACAATCACCCCGTCAAGATGTACTCGCGTATCGAGGTGCCTGCCGGCTCTGTCGTGGCTATTGGCCGCCTTTCGCAAGGGTGTCGCACCTATCTTGCAGTCCGGGGCGGCTTTCCTGGTATCCCTCAGTACCTTGGATCCAAGTCAACAAGCCCCATTATTGAAGTCGGAGGGCATCAAGGCCGTCAATTGGTAGCGGGAGACATGCTGGATCTAAGCGAGCCCGTGGAATTTGCCCCCTTTGACTTGCCGACTTCATTGATTCCAGTGTTGGACTTGACGACAATCTATTGCCTATCCGGTCCACATGATTCTCCTGACATCATGACTACTTCGGATGTCGAGGCAATCTACTCATCTGAGTGGTCTGTCTCTCACCAGGTCTCCCGCACCGGAGTCCGTCTCGATGGTCCAAGACCTCAATGGGCAAGGAAGACTGGAGGCGAGGGCGGCTCTCATCCGAGCAACTACTTGGATTATCCTTATTCTTTGGGGGCTCTCAACTGGACAGGCGACTCCGCAGTCATCTTTCCGGCCGACGCCCCGTCTTTGGGCGGCTTCATCACGTCGCATGTTATTCCACGTGCTGACTTGTACAAGATTGGTCAACTGAAACCGGGCGATAAATTTCGCTTTGCTCCAATTACGCTGCAGTCCGCAATGACCCTGCGCCAGGGGCAGGAGGCATATATCCGGTATGTGAAATGCCTTGCAGCTGGAGGCTCACCATCAGAAACTCCGGTCAGGCTTCAGCTTCAAGCAGAATGTATCAAATCAAGCACCGCGTCCACTGCAATTATTGGTACCCACAAAGACGTCACAATTCGACAGGCTGGCGATTCATACATACTCGTCGAATTCCTGCAGTCATTGCAGCTTGAAGTCCGCTGCAAAGTGCAGGCAGTGACCGAGGCAATCAACGATTCTACGATAAACGGAGTACAGATTGTGACACCTATCGGATGCAGTGAGTCTCGGGCGCCAACACGCGTGGCCATAACGAGGTCAATTTCACCAGACAGCTGACTGTTTCGCAGGTTTGTTGGTCCAGTACGACGGATTTATCATCTCTCAAACACGGCTAGTCCAAGAACTATATCGCATACTGAAGAAATGTGATGAATCCTCAGCCCTTTCAAACAGACTATCCAGCCGACACATAAGATTGCCCATGGTCTTTGATGACAAAGTCAACAGGGCTTCAGTCGAGCGATATATGCACACACAGCGGCCGACTGCCTCATATCTTCCCGATCCCATCGAATTTATTGCTCGCTCAAATGGTCTCAAAAATAAGCAACAAGTGCTAGACAAAGTGCTCAGCACCAGAATCTTGGTCGTGGGTGTGGGATTCTGGAGCGGCACGCCCATTGGATTTCCGGTGGATCCTCGCTGTCGCCTGATGGTCCCTAAATTCAATCCATCAAGGACATTTTCGCCTGCTGGGGGGCTTGGAATTGGCGGCTGCTTCTTTTGCTGCGATCCGACTGTAAGTTTTCTTTTCATGACTCCCTCGGCGCGCTTTTGGCGAGTCGCTCGGTGCGAGCACAAGCGAGCACGACAAATCCTAACACGTATACACACAGGACGCTCCTGGGGGTTATGTCAACTTTGGCCGCACGCTCCCCGGTTGGGACAAATTCTGCGTCAATAAAAGCTTCGGTGATCGACCATGGCTGTTTGACAACTTTGACCAGCTGAGCTTCTACGTGGTGGACGAGGACGAGTTTGAAGGCATATACAGCCGCTTTCAGGCTGGCAAGTATCAGTTTGACATTACTCGGACAGAGTTTGATGTGGAAGAGTACACTAGATTTTGCAAAAGTGTTGCCGACGAGACGGCCGAGTTTCGAGCCCGACAAGAAGAAGCGACCGCAGTGGAAACAGCAAAGTTAGCACGCCTTGCCTGATCCTATATGTATTACACAGCTGACATATTGACCTCAAGGGAGAAGCAGATATTTGACCAGTGGCAAAGCGAGCAAAAGGTTGAACGGGACCGTGTTCCGTCCCTGGAGGATATTGGTGTGTTGATTTTGGCCCCCGTGAAATGATCCTAATATTGACCCTTGCAGATGATGCACTAAAGATCGAAGCCACGATGCACGCTAGCGTATACAAAATCAAGGTACAAAAAGGCGAAACGATCAGAGAAGGCGACGTGTTGGTCATACTCGAGGCAATGAAAATGGAAATCAACATTAGGGTGTCGGCCGCCCAGGCTGGCTTGATCGTGGAGAGCGTCATTGTGGCGCCTTGCGATATTGTGAAGCCTGGCGATGTGGTCATTGTGCTATCACGACCGGTTGAGACAGAACCCAGATAGCATCAACACTTGCAATATGCAGGATGAATCATCGGATTACAAAGAGTTTTCATTACTACGGGACCAGATTGGAAGACAGCATGGCTTCAAACTGGTCATAGTCCACATTGTCGTAGCGTTCCATATGCTGCCAACAATATTCCAAAGTCTCTAGTGCCCGGGACACGTGCTGTAAATAATCAGTAAGGCCAATTTTTTTTCTTTAGCATTAACCTTGTGAAAGAAATTTCATGTACCTTGAAACCAAAGTTCCTCATGCCGTTTAACTTCTGGCGACACAACTCCTGTTGGTGCTGATCCACTGTAGCGACGCCTGCTGTAAGCAGTGGCCACACGACGGCGAGTTGGCTGATGCCGTGAGAAAAGTTTAGGGTAAGCGTGAAGACTCTATCGACGGCAGATTTAACGTCGTCGTCATCGGCTGCGCGCTGTAGTCTTTTGGTGGCGATTCTGTCGAGGTAGATGGCACATGCCGAGGCGTAGCTTTCGACGCAAGCGGTGACGGTCAGAATCTCGATTTCGCTATCCAATGCATCGAATGGTACTTCATTGAGGTTTTCCAACTGTAGGAATACATTCGGGGCACTGTCATGCCAGTTCTTCAGTCTGTAAACTAAATCGACATGTATGGCGTCTTTTTGCTGCTCGTCCAGACCGGAACGCTGCAACTTGGCAAAGCTGCTAATCTCGGCCTGTATCGACATGAGCCTCGACCATGCACTGCGAACCTGTGCTAATTCCCGGTTCGCTGTACAGTGACTTGCTGCAAAGTCTGGAACGCCCAAATTGTACTGCCACCCGCCCCCCAACGTCTCCCAATAGTCGCCCGCTATGAAGGGGGCTTCGCCAGTCGCACACGAAGCCGCAACGTCGAGATATGACAGGAGAGATACCAAGAATCGCCGTATGGGCAGATTATCGCTGCCCAGAGTAAGCGCACTACTTTTATTTCGGTTGGCCACAGTCAGGCCAGGTGAATACATGGCCTGGGTTATTTGACTGGCTCCTCGCAGGTGCACCTTCCAGGAAGCGTCGGTAGCGGACATTTTCTCGTACATGCAAAGCAGCAGGCATATTGCCAGGAGCTCAAGACTAGCAGCCTGCCCGTCGAGTGAAAGTAGAGCTTGTCGAAGCCGCGACACGACGTTGGCGTACAATTTGATGGCTGCGGCGCGGTGCTCGGAACGCTTCTCCGTCTGCGGGACACTGGCAAGGTGCATGGCTCCGAGGGCTTCCATGGTACTTTGAAGGAGAGTGGAATTTTCGTCTCCCACGAGACTGAGTAGCATCCGATAGGGATTAGAGTTGCAAGGCGTGTCAAAGATGATGAGGAGTGGTGATACAGTGAAGAGGTAGTGTTGGTAATACATGGTATTCTGGTCGCCTTGTACCTGGGCTGGTAGGCAGAGCTGGAACGATGGTACGTCCATGCCATCATCAGTCGTCGGAACGGCTTGGGAAAAAGAGGATTGAGGCGGCTCATCAGGCAATGGTACAGCCCAGTCAAAAACTCCATCCAGGTCGTCCGATGAAGCGCCGGCCATGTCGGGGCCGCCACCACCCTGACCGGCCATGATCAAAGTGGTGGCCGGGGTCTTGTTGTTGGCCACATTGTGGTCGACAGCGAGCGGAACAAAGGTGCGGCTAAATGTGCAATGCAGGTTTAGTCGCGCGCATTTTGCACAAGAGGGCGTCTGCTCGTCGCACTTTACGTGCCTCTTGCGACAATTGAGGCAGCCAGTAAAGACTCGCGGATGCCATTTCCTCTGCCGTCCAGCTGCAGCAGCGTTCCTGGGCTGCCTAGTCGTGGGCGCAGACGCTGATTTTCGGGGTGGTCGCATGTTCAAAAACAAAGCATAGGATGGGTGATGAGCTAACAGCAATGGGTCAAAACTGCGAGTAAAGGGGGGGGTTTCGCCAAGTTGGAGCTTTTTATTAGGCGTGGACGCAAGAAGCCATGATGGAGTTGACGCGGGGATCAATCAATGACCGCAGATAACAGCTGTTTCTGCCAGTTGATTATTGCTGCAAAGTGGTGTGCAGCCCAGGATCTGGTCAATCAATTGCGCAGTCCAGCTTGTGTGGCTGAAAAGGGCTTGGCTTGGGGTAGGGCGACGTTTCAACATGGTGGCGCGGGCCATCATTAATTCAGCACTAAATAAGGATAAAGAGGGCAAGATGTTAGTCGTATGCAAGTTTTTGAAATGCAGACGGATGGAAATCCGGTTTGTTGTTACTCTGTAGAGACGCGTAAAACTTGTCACTACTAATAAATGAGGAGCTGATAATAATCCGCTGCGTTACAAGCGCTGAAATTCGCGGCAACAAACACTCGGGAAAGCCGGTGATTGACGCAACTGACAATAAAATTACTCGACGAGAGCGATGCATGAATCATGTAATTCGTATTTACTTGCGAGGAAAGAATGGGAAATTATTGATATGCGTAATTTACGCCCCACTAATTTGTCTCTGTTGATCAATTAGATGATTGATTAATGTATTACCCCATAGACTACTAAGATACACGGGAAAACCCTAGTTAGGGTGGAAAAACCCCTGTGCCCTTTGCCTCTCCTATCCTGGCGCCTCTATCTATGGTGGTTGCTGCTGTGTGGTGTCCTTCTATCTTGGACAAGTGCTAAAAACTCCACCATAGGTGGAAGCCCTCTTGTAGACTGAACGCTATCGTAACGTGGTAGAAACGGGTTAGTCGAGAAGCGACCCTGGCTGACATTAGACAAGTCGCCAAACGTGATCGGCCAAACGGGAATTAAGACCTATCATAAAGCCGAGTAAATTTGTTTTGGTCAACTTGAACCGTCGTTGCTATCACCTCTTTCTCATTGGGGCTGCGACAGCAAGTCGGCATCTCGCGGCCTGAGTCATCACGCCAGACTTATCGACAAGGCTTAGTAAAATAACGCGAACAAAGGGTCTCAGCTTCAAATACAGCAAAGAGAATATTAATTGAACGCGAAAATGGAAGAGGATGCTCAAGCGTACACATCAGCGTCGCGGATCAAGCTTCTACAAGTATGACGACATCTGCCCCACGACAGCTATAAAAGTCGAAACCGCAAGCCGCTATCCCTCTCCATACTTAAGCTAGCTCTTTGTCACCAGCCAATCTGATACAAAAAACAATGTCACCAGGCGCAATCTCACCTCTTCTGTCCGTCAAGGCGCTCACATTCGACGTCTTTGGCACAACCGTCGATTGGCGTACCTCGGTCATTGACGAGCTGCAGCTGCGCATCCATCGCAAGCTCAATACCGCAGACGGCGCTGGCGCTCCCTCCGCAGACTTGCGCGAGCGCCTCGAGAATCTCAACGCCAACTATGCCGGCGGCGAGACCGACCAGCAGGGCTGGACGGCTCGTTTCGCCGACGCCTGGAGGTCGTCGTACTGGCTCTTTGTGCGGTCGCAGGCCCGCGCGGGGGTTCAAGACGCGGCCACGTTCAAGACGACCGAGGAGCACTTCCACGACAGCCTGGTTGACATTCTGGAAGAATGGCAGCTCGAGGGGCTCTTTTCCGCGACGGAGATCAAGTCACTGAGTCTGGTGTGGCACCGCCTCGTGCCCTGGCCCGACACCGTCGAGGGACTGGCGAGATTGGCCGCGCCGCCTCTGCGCCTTCAGACGGCAACGCTGAGCAACGGCAGCACGAACCTGGTGCGGGATCTCAACGACTTTGGCGACTTGGGCTTCCAGCATCTGTTCTGCGCCGAGTCGCTCAAGGCGTACAAGCCGGCGCCCGAGACGTACCTCGGCGCCGCCAGGGAGCTGGGTCTGCGCCCTGACGAGGTGGCCATGGTCGCGGCGCACATGGCCGACTTGGAGGCGGCGAGAAAGGTTGGCCTGCGGACCGTGTATGTGGAAAGGCGAAAGGAGGAGGAGTGGCCGGCGGAAAAGCTGCAAGAGGCCAAGGCGTGGGTTGATCTCTGGGTCAAGGAGGACGAGGGCGGGTTTGTCGCACTGGCGAAGCGGCTCGAGGAGATCAAGACAGAGTAGCGATGATACTATGAATATAGCCCTCGAATATGCATCATCCTAAGGCGAGCTAATCAGATTCGTAGCAGCTCTTGCCATGCACTGATTCTTGTGCTTCTAATGTGATGTCACGCTTGTCGCAAGACTTAATGAGAGATGCTGTTAGAAGTCAACCAACCTGGCAATGGTTTAAGTCTATATTTGCCATTTTATAAGTTACCGAAGGTCGTATTGTAGCCTTTGAATCCTACTCTGGACTTCTTCTACTATACGGAAGCAGGGCGTCAGTACTTTCGCTGCTGGATTATGTGGACAAATATCTAACGGATCAAGCTCGAGAGTGTTTTCTTCTTTCCAGCATCTTTCTTCAGCGGTAGGACACTTTTCATGTCCAATCTTGTGACGGTCGTGTTGCCTGCGCTCAAATTTCTTGCCTAGAGCGGAGATGCGTTGCGCATCCGTACATAGGCCGTGAATTACCATTTCCCGAAATTGAACATTGCTGACCGCGAAAGCCAGCATCGATTCTGTTTCTTCGCCGGAAGCAACATGTACCGTTTTTTCCTCCGAATTCGATTGCGTACAAGTCTCTCGTATCCACTGTAGATAATGTTGGTAGCCCGACGTGACCTCGACCATGAGGCGACCAATGAGGAGCACGTTTTGAATTGTAATGCGAGGCGGCTTGGCCAGGTTATAACACACGGGACATGTGAGTAGCCGCTCGAAAAGGTCAACTCCAATACGCAGCCTTTGGAGGAGAGCGTGTGATGGAGGGAGTTGTTTTAGCAGACGTAGCGTCTCGAGAACGTCTGCGCCGCACTCACATGGTGATGCCGTCGGCGGTCCCAAAGCGTCCGAAACCGATTGGGGTGTGATATTATTATGCGTAGCAGCATTGGAGGCGGGTCGTCCGAAGTGCTCAAGGAAATCGCCGTATTCAGGCAAATTGTTATACAGTGCGCTTGGGTCGATTTCAGCCAATAGGTGACCAATGTCGCAAGAAGCCGCGAAGCCATCGGGCAGACTTGACGAGAGCTCAAGGAGACCGCATGGATCAAACCGCGCTTGTGCAATTGAAGACTCGCAACTGCGTTGCTGCTGCTGGTGTCTCACTTCCTTTTGTTGATGTTCTTGTTCATGGGCCAGTGACTGATACAAGGGCCGAGTCTGCCCGTTTTGAAGCTCCCAGTCCCCAATTTCAGGCTGCGGCGATGGCAAGATTGCCGTGATTCTCTTTCTAGGCCGTCCAGGCGCCCCCTTGGCGCGAAATTTACACCGCAGCGACAGAGCAGTACACCGCGAGCACCCAGTCTTTTCTCCCGAGCATTTCAGCTTCCGCGACCCTTTTGGTTGGCATGAGAATTTAGTTTTCAATGAATGGGGACTGCTAAGACTCACGACATGACTCGCAGGAATGCCGTTTGTGTCGTTCGGCATTCATTTTGTCATTTGCAAACTAGAATTGGACTGCAGCAAAGGGAGTCACGAGATTTGACCTGTGATGTTCAACACAGAGTCATGGTTGCGATGTAGTAGGCCGCACATTGGTACCTCGACCCTATTGGAGTATGATGGCACTGTAATCTTTACCAAGGTGGCCTAATAGCGCTATCGCGTGGCGTCATCAAGCCACTGTCGGTCATAGTCTCCACCAAGGCAACTAACTGAGTTGTTATCTTCGTTCCAGCATCTTTCTTCGACGGTAGGACACGTATCTTAGCTAAATAAAAGTTGCTTGATACAATATATTATATGGTTTATATAATTAACTCTAGATATGGTAGTATATCAAGATGATACAGCGATATTAGTATGTTACCGTCAAACATAGCGTACGCTAGTATCAAACCCCTTTAGTGCCGTTATGCATGCGCTCAAAGTTTCCGCTCTCGAGGTCAAAAAGATCCAGGACCCTGTCACTCACACATCTGATTCAAAATATCGTCTATGCCCTCGGGTTTAGTATTAAAGCCAAATGACAGGCGGCGCGACTATAGCACCCGCCCGAAGTCAGCTCGAGCATACAGTGGCTGTAGTTGGCTAGCACGTCTTGGTCCTAGTTCACAGAGGTAACCGCTTAACGCTTCTACATACTCTCGGACCATTTTTTAGAAGCGACATTGTTCCTAAATATTCCCATTGGATATTAGACGCATGACTATAAACACGCTACGTACTTACTCGAATCAGTACCATTTATACTTGGCAGCATGCCAACAAACTCGACGACTGTCTACTCAACTGGCTGACCCCGCACCACGTACATCTGTACCATGGTTGGCTTCGTCACAGCGCAAACAGTGCGCCGCAGCTGGATAAACCACCAGGAAATTGCTCTCGTTGACGTCCGTGAGGAGGGACCATATTCCCTATCCCACCCTTTATTTGCCATTAGTGTTCCGGTATCCGAGCTTGAAGTCAAGCTACCCGCACTGGTTCCCCGTTTGTCGGCACCCATTGTCGTTTACGATGATGGAGAGGGGTACGCACAGCGCGCCGTGTCCCGCATCCTTGCCATCGGATATCGCGACGTCGCGATCCTAGAGGGTGGACTGTCCGCCTATGCGCTCGTGGGCGAAGTCTACCGAGACGTCAACGTACCGTCCAAAGCGTTTGGCGAATTGGTAGAGGCAATCAAGCACACACCATCGATGCCAGCTGCCGAGGTCGACAAAGTCTTGAAAACCGAACAGGATGTCGTTGTACTCGATGCGCGACGCTTCTCCGAATACCACACCATGAGTATTCCCCGCGGTGTGAGCTGTCCCGGAGGCGAGCTTGTGCATCGGATTTTCGAAGCTGCTCCGTCGCCCACCACCCAAGTCTTTGTCAACTGTGCCGGTCGCACGCGCAGCATCTTGGGGACACAGAGCTTGGTCAACGCTGGAATACCAAACAAGGTTGTTGCGGTTAGAAACGGCACCATTGGCTGGTTGTTGGCAGGACTGGAGCTTGAACAGGGCAAAACCCTCCGAGTCTCCGAGCCATCGCAGGAATCGAGAAAAAGGGCTCGAGAGCATGCTATCGCTTGGAGTCACCACGTCGGTGTGTCTTTCATCAACGTCAGCAAACTTGTTCAGCTTGTGACTGAGAGCGAAAAGAGAACTCTGCATCTGCTAGATGTGAGGACGCCAGAAGAGTATGCTGCCCGTCACCCGCCGTTTTTCGAATCTGCTCCCGGTGGCCAGCTAGTTCAGGCCACTGATGAATGGATCGGAGTACGCGGTGCCCGGATTGTTTTATATGACGACGATGGCACTCGAGCGCCGATGACGGCTAGCTGGCTGAAGCAGCTGGGGTGGGAGGTCTACGTCTTGGAGGAATCTTCGACCATCCCCGCAGATTTACCTGCACCAGAGCGACCGCTTTGGAGCGTGCCTGATTCTGGTCTCGTTACGGTCGACGACCTGCCCAAGCTGACGAATATTGTGGTGGTAGATCTTGCCCGAAGCACGAGCTACCGCAAGGGCCATATTCCTGGTGCTTGGTACGCATCTGGACCGGAGCTTTCTCGCGACCTGAAAACCATTCAAAACAGTTCTGCTACCATTGTTTTAACATCGCCCGATGGCAAGGTCGCAGCGGCAAATCTGGCGCATGCACGGAGTGCCGTCTCCCAAGAGGTTGTATATCTTGCTGGCGGAACATTGGCTTGGGCGCAGATCAAGGGCGCTTTGGAAACGAAATGCCAATGGTTGTCAGAACCCATTGACGTGTACAAACGCCCCTACGAGGGAACAGAGAATGCCCGCGGGGACATGCAGGGCTATCTGGACTGGGAGTATGGGCTCGTTGCTCAGCTTGCCAATGATGGAGTGGCATCGTTTCATGTGGTACGAGATGAGGCACCGACGCTGCAAAAGACACAATAGCTATTCATTTATGTGGTTGAACAAGACAAGCGAGTGGCTATTTTACAAAATTGTTGATGGAACGAAAGAGTTATCAACTTGCATAAGATTATAGAATCAGCATAATGTATTGATAGAAGAATAACTATTATGTTGCCATCGATCTTAAAGGTATTATAAGGCCTAGTTAAGTAAATAGTAGTTAGTACAGTGTTATGCGGGGGACAAAAAAAAACGAGCGCTCTACCTAATAATATAGCTATATTACTTTTAATACATTATAATAAGAAAAGTATAACTATAAAAATATAAAGAAAATCTTAATATAATATTTAAGTATTAATTTACCTCTTAGTAACTAAAATATCTTTTTATCTATTTCTCTAACTATTTAAAACTTTAATTAAAAATAGTAGATATTTTTACTTTGAAATAGGTTATTTATTTATATTATAAAAGACTAAGTAAATTTTTTTTAAAAAAAGTTATATTAGTACTTTTTAGTTATTATATTATCTATCTATTATTATTTTATTAATCTTAGTTAACTACTTTTAAAGATAATTTATCTAATTATTAGTGGTATCTTGGTGGGAGCGCTTGTTTTTTTTGTCCACCCCTTGAGTGTGTACAAGGCTAGAGTTAACGGGTTCAACAACAACACATACTGAGGGGAAATTAGCGCAGAAGAACTGTAGGTTTCTTGGGCCAATGTGTACATGTTTGTTACAAATAGCGAAAAGGCGTTTAGACCTTTTACAAATGTAGCAAATGTTAACCCTAAGGGCTTTAAGAGGCGGCGAGAGGGGCGGTTTTAGTCGCAGGGATACAGCCAAATATATTTTATCTTTAAAATATACTTTTATGTTAATGTAATTTACACCAAAAGAATATGCAGTAACGTCACGCGAGGCTCATGCACGTAGTAAAAGCTCTCGTGCTAATAGCATTCAAATAATAGCTTTACCTCACTCGGTGACGTGGCAGCCGTTGCTCTTACTCTTGCCTTGACATCCAAACGACGAGTCTAGTCTGCAAAAGCACGACGATGTAATCTCAACATCAGCCTCTGCCGCAGCAATGAGCAATAGTCGTTTGATAATCCCAGCTTCCGCGTCGCGACCGACACGCGCAAGGCACTCGTGGTACCCATGCAACGCCCAAATGTTATTCGGGTGCTGGTGGGCGCGTCCCGGTGTTGGCACGTATCCCAAGTCCTCGGCATAGGCTTCCAGAGCCTGGTCGACGTGGCCTTGCTCCAGGGACAGTGCTGCGTACGCATGCCGTGCCGGGAGCATCCAACCCCACGGCTCCGCAAACGGCAGCTTGTCCTCGAGCGCAATGGCATCGCGAAGCCTTTGGAAGGCAACGTCAAAATTACGCCTTCTATACTCAATCTCTCCGTCCAGCATGGCCGACGCAACGTGGAGAATGTCAGTGATTTTATTAGGAAAATCCAGGCGTGTCGGGGGAACGAGAGAGGAAGCCGCCTTGAAGCGCTCCCTCTCCTCGTCTGCCTTGGCCACCTGCCGCGTCGCAGCAAAGGCTATAGCTCTCCCGTAATGCCTCATGACGTTGGTGACGCAGTACAGGTGCTTGTCCTCGAATGGGCCGAGCGCCAACAGCTCGTCCCACATCCCAAAGCGAATGTACACATGAACCCGCACCGCCAAGAAGAACTCCATCCAGTCGGCCAGCGCAGGCGTCTCAACCCGGAGCACGTCTTCCGTGATGGCTGCTTCCATTCGCGTGGTCGCCGACAGCGCTATTTGCGATTTGCCAGCCAGCATGGCCGCGTAAATGAGAGAATGATAATCGTGCATCCGGTAATAGCTGTAAAACGTCAAGCCACCGTTATTTCGAAAGAACTTGTCGTCTGCAGTGGTTGCCTTGAGATTGTATTCTACCGCTCGTCGGTAATCGCCAATGAGAACATCAATATGAGCAGGCATATGATAGGTATGGCCGGTATCCGGCACTTGGTCGCGTATCATGTCAGCTGCTCTCAGCGCGGCCTCGGGCGTGGCAGACATTTCCATGAGATGAATGTACATGTGCGCAACACCAGGGTGCTTTTCCACGCCCGGCAGCGCCAAGTTTCTCTCTAGTAATTCCTTGACCTCAAAGACTGGGGAGCTCGATATCGGAAGGCCAGTGGTAGAGTCGAACAGTCTTCGCGGGGCGCAGTTCATCAGTGCATCGGCGAACAAGGTGACTGTATCAAAATCACCATCGCCAAAGCGCCGATGCATCTCACGCATGGCATCGGCGTATGCTTCATCACAGACACTAAAGTCTCTCGTCGGATCATCGGATGGATATCGCTTATCAAGCGCCCGTATGAGGGCTGCCTCCCAATCCGTCGCGTGCTTGATCCTGCGTTGAGCCATCTGCGAGTATTTATAGGTGGCCGCAATTGCGTCAAGCTTGTCTCTCTCATCGAACAGACGCCAAGTCTTGTTGTAATTTGGCCCAGAGCAAAAAGAAACACCCCAATACGCAATGGCCAGGTTTTCATCATGGCCAAGTGCCTGCTTGTAGCAAGCGATGGCTTCGTCATGATTGAAACAATAGGTCCAGAGCAAGGCCCGGTTGAACCACGTTTGAGCCTCTGCAGACTGTGTTGAAACCTGCAAAGTAAAGCTTCCTAGATCGTAGTAAGGGTCGCTAGATGCCCTGATTTTCACTTGGTTGCCGGTTGGGGAGTCCATGCTGTGATTGTGACTGGATATTGCTGCGACTTTGAACGAGTGATGCAGGGAATGTGGCTGCTTCTCTGGTGTTTCGGCGCACTGCGCGTGATCGTTCAATCGCAAATTAACCGGATAATTTTTTTTGGATTCAAGACAAAGATGACACCTTCAGAATCTACTTTTCCGTCATCCATTTGCTTATCCACAGTCGCAGGGTCTCTGCGACGGCATGTCGGACCTTTTTAACCCAGCCTTCTCGGATGATTGAATTGAAGCTGAATAGAACCCCGCACCCCGCAACCCGCGGAATGTTCCACCTATAAAGGAGCCTATAAATTCACTAATTAGTTGTCAATTAGGTGCTTACAGGGTGGTTAGCGCTGGGATCCTGGTGACGGTCTCCCGCCCGCATTACTGACACACCAAGCCGAGTAATACTTGGCATGGCAAGTAATTCTTCGCGAACCACTTCCTATTATAAGTGACTCACTGTGTTAGCTAGTCTTCTATGTCTTCAAATGTAAGAATGTCTCGTACAAATACAGCTAGAAGCATGCCTTCTCCCGTTAGATAGCCATTACTGAAAATAAAGTGCATCACTGAAATTCTAGTGAGCTGCACATCTTTAATCGTAATACTTTGCCTTTTTACCACCAATAATTGGCACCTCTTCAACCTCGCCGTGCGGTCCTTTTGCCACGCCTTTGGCTACCCTAGCCTTCACCCACTCACCCGCCGTAATGCCCACGGCGCTCTTGTCCGTGACCTGGTCAAAGCCCAATTGCTCCAATACCTTGCTCGCCACAGGCTTCAATTCCACATTGTCCTCTGGGCGGACAAAATACAAAACCCCCAGGCGCTCTGTGTCCCTCTGATCAGGTGGTGGTGCCACAACACGGTGGATGCTGCTCTTGAGAAAGCCATTGGTAAAGAACTCGAGCGAGTCGGCCACATTGACCGTAATACTACCGGGGTGTGGCTTCACCCACTTCCACTCGCCATCAGGGGTTCGGACTTGCAGCGCTGCGACAGGCTGGCGAAACAACAGCGTGAGGCTGCCAAAGTCGGTGTGGCCCTTGACCCAAACATTGCCGAGCTGCTCATTCTCTTGCTGTGTTCTACGGTGGTACTTCATATACCGTAAGTGGCAGTCGCTCTTCTCGTCATAGCGATGTATTTTGAGAAAGGCGTCCTCTGGAAGTTGCAGAATGATGGCGAATAGTGTAAGAAGCTTCCGCACAACCTCATTGTGGATGTGGCGTGCAAATGCTTCAATTTCGGGGCGATTCTGGTCTACGACCTCGGGATGAGAACGCTCCAAAGAGGGAATAAACTTTGGGATATTGTATATCTCGGTGTTGTCGAAAACACCTCGACTTATTTCCTAATGAAAACTTAGACGCGATTGTCGTATAGGCTCTACACAAGAGTCGACTCACGCGAAGGCCCAAAGGCTTGTACCCATTATACCCACCATGCTCAAGGTCGGCACGATACTTGAGCTTTTCTTCCGTAGGGAGACTGAATAGCTCTTTTCCGATCGAGAATTGACGGTCCACTGCGTCTTGGGACAATCCAAAATTGACGATATAGAAGAAGCCTACTGATAAATCAGTCGTGCGAAAAGAATGAGCACCAGAGTATGGCACTGACCTATCTTCTCAATAGCTTCATGTAACTGCTTCGCTAGCTCTTGTTTACCACCTGGCTGATCGAACCGAGACAGATCTAGGGTGGCCAGGTCGGCCCAGTCCACTGCGCAAAGCGTTAGATCAGAGTAGAACAGCGCTCTCACGACATCTGCTATATTAACGACATACGCTCATATGAGGTTTCCGGGACTTGATGATATGTGGGAATCTTCTCGCCCGCCGAAACAGGAGATGGCTTTCGAGTCAAGGTAGACATGATGACAAGTGGGAATGTATTGCTGAAGTTCTGGTGTAGCTTTCTAGTCAATTCGGGATTTCAACGCAAGATCAAGTAGATTTATACTTGGTTTATTTTAGTAGGCAACATCAAAGGCGTGTACACTGGCCGATTCGGTCAGTTTCGAGTGTCCTTCACATTTCACGAGATCGACAAGAGAACGGTGGTAACCCAGTTCACAGCCTGCCGTTTTAGTGCATACGCCTGTTGCGTGCTTGGCAGTCCTGATGGCGACTCCAATTATTTGGTCCGAGCCAGTCATATATCCTCCGCCCGCAACGGTCGGGATGCGCCCCCGCAGCTATTGAACATACTTCAGACTGTTCAAGATGGTTATGAATGGAAATCATTTCAAAATTTTAGGAGGTCTTTATGGGCAGTATTGTGTGGATTACAAGCCCCGTACAATTCATTTGCTCGGATGTTGACCTTCGGATGTTATTCTCCTGATGGCATTTGCCGGACATATCTGTCTCGTCATCCAAGGTCGGAATTTGCAATGCTCGTGTAGATCACCAGTCTGAGTGAGGACTACTTTGTTAAAATAGACACGGAAGTCGCTTCCTACATGGGATGATTCGGCAAAAGACAACACCAAAATCTATACGAGGCATTGGATCTCAATCCCGTCGATGTGTACAGTCCGGTTTTTGACCACATCAGCCCCAATCATGGCCAACTCCAGCAGTGCAATCGAGACTCACAAAGATGTCGAAGCAATTAAAACGACCAACGTTTATACTAATAGCGCAAATGACCAGGATGCACGCGGCATTCGATTTGTACCGCGGGGCGAGGCTATGCCAGAGGCCTCATCCTCGCAGGAAAGCATTGCAGGGTACGATGCAGAGCTCATGAGCGGCCGAACACTACTCTCGGCAGAGGAGGAGAAAAAGCTCCTGCGCAAGATTGATTGGCGTTTGATGACGCTATGCTCCCTTATCTTCATGTTCAAGCAATTAGACAGCCAGAATGTAGGCGCAAACCACGAGCAAGTTGCATATGTGACAACGCCGACTAATGAGCTTAGATATCGAATGCCAGAATCATGAATCGGGGAACAAGCCACAACATTATGACACAATTGGGCATGACTGCGGACGAATATAACCTCGTAACAGTCGCCTATTACGTGAGTCACACTCTTGGGAAACTAGTCCTCGTCTTCAAACTCATCGCAATTCTAGATCCCCTACATTGTGGGTGAGGCGCCTTCGAACCTTTTACTCAAATACTTTTCGCCTTCGAAATGGCAATCCAGAATCATGATTGGCTGGGGCATCTTTCTCATGTGCCATGTGCCTGTCAAAAATAAAGGAGGCTTATATGCAACTCGCTTTCTTTTGGGCTTGGCCGAGGCAGGGCAATTTCCTGGCGTCATCCTACAAATGACGTACTGGTACAGACCGGATGAAATGTCGCTTCGTCTGCTATATTTCTGTAAATAAAACTTCCAACTGTGCTTGTATTGTCTAGATGCCGCTAACTGATGATTTTTTCTAGACATTTGTGGAAATACTGCCGGCATTCTTGGCGGATTACTTGCCTATGGATTTGACACGATTTCAGGCGCCGGCGGGCTTTCAGGATGGCAATGGTTTGTTCCCATGAGGGAGTTGATGTCTGAAGCAATGAACTGACACAATCTTAGGCTATTCCTTGTGGAAGGGCTCGCGACGGTCCTATTCGGCTCCATAATCTGGTTTGTTCTACCAGACTGTACGGATTTTTCTTTTGCCACCCAGAAGGATGAAAGAATGCCTGCTAATATTTTACGCATTCAGTCCCAGAAACTGCAAGCTGGCTCACCGAAAGAGAAAAAAAGTTTATCCAAGCTCGTCTACCGGCAAACGCTCCTCGAGCTACCGAAGCCAACTTCAACTTGTCCGAGATTTTTGCGTCTCTCAGAGACAAGAGGCTTTGGCTCTTCACTCTCATCTGGGCCACCTTTACTGTCGGAACACAGGGTGTTACATTCTACCAATCCACCGTCATCGCTGACCTTGGGTTCTCGTACGTACTCAGTCTTCAAAAAGCAGCCATATCGATTTGCTAGCGTAAACTAATTCGGTCTCAATGTGCGCAACAGAACTATTGCCCAAGCTCAGCTCCTCAATCTTCCAATCACTGTCACAGCCTTGCTCATCATCGCAGTCACCGGAATCATGGCTGACCGGAGAAATATCCCGAGGCCGCTGTATCCTCTCACCTTTCTCGTCATCATCATCATCTGCTACGGGGTCTTTGTGGCCCATCCAAGCAGCGCTGCCATATACGCAGTCACTTTGATTGGGAATGCCGTGACTGCGGCATGGTTTCCAGTCATGTGGTAGGTCCCAGGCACAGCTTTTTATCCAACTTTGAAAATTCCCGGGCTGACAGTGAGATGAAAACAGGCCATGGCGTGTACAGACCACATCCCACGCAACGGGCTCGGCCTTTTCGATTGGCTTCGTCAACAGCTACGGCCAGATCGGCGGCGCACTCGGACCACAAATCTTTAGAAGCCGCTATGGCCCACGGTACACTGTACCTTTCTGTGTAGCCATGGGGTTAGTAGGCGCGTGCATCATCTTGACGACGGTGACTTGGTGGATCACGCGGTTTACGGAAAGCGAAACAAGGAGGATAAAGCAAGCAAAGCTGGCAGCTGATCGGAGGGGGGAAACGGTTCTAGGGGACGTTGTGGACATGGACTTGAAGCCGAGGGCGTGAAACATTTCATGGCAACATGGCAACATATCGTGATGGAGTACTAGGCCAAAACTTTTGCACGAGATCGTGAGGGGCTACCCATAGCCTTTTGGTAGCATGAGCAGACGGTGCGACTTATAGCCCTCATGTTAGCTGCAAGTTGTATTGTGTGTGCTTGCCTTGCAAGATAGCATCCAATATAGCAAAGGTGAGCAGACTGAGCCAATGCTCCCTCTGCGATGCTTTTGGGCGCCGCATTCTATTACAGAGATCACACACAAACCATTCTCATCTACCGTACACCGTGATTTTTGGCTCACAGTCTTCTAGTAGACAGCTCAAAAACGCATACATATGTATGAAGAATTCAACACCGGAGTGGAAGCGAATTTGCTGAGTGAGTCTAGGAAGTGCCATTACTAGAATTCTCTACAAGAATTGTGTATTTTTGTTTCTGCCACGAGTTTAAAGACTTCTCTTCTCTAACCCAGATCAGTGATAGAAAGAAACTGACCTGCCTGTACACCCCAAATAGCACTGTGTACACTGTAAAAACATGAACCAAACTTCTGCTCGTGCACGATGCCAGACCATCCAACTCGCCCATTCAAAAGCTGTCGCTGGACTGACTGCGTAAAAAAAGAATACACAGCTATCAACAGAGGCGAGAAATCCGGCCGTCTTCAGAATCACTCCTTGGTCCAGCCCTCGACGTGGTTTGGGCACGTCTTTTTGCCGCAGTCGGTCATCTTGACCGTGCCCGTGCTGGTGCTTGAACTGTACATGCATTCGTTGACGACTCCATAGGCGACAGACTCCTTGATGGCAGCCATTCTTTTGGAAATTCTCTAGTGCCTGAGAGTCAATGAAAACATGTAAGTACAATTTGCAGAAATTTTCTGTCAAGTTGTTTTGAAAGTGTAACAAGAGCTGTCGAGGAAAGAGAGTGGTGGCTGAAGCGTTGAGCGATGAGCCACGACAACAAACTCAATAGACTATTTCAAACGTCGCTCATAAATAAGAAAAAAGACCACTTATAGAGGAATTTTTACCTGAGGGATATATACAGTCAGAGAAGAGGGATGAACGGTGAAAACGAGGTGCTAGAATTTGATAGCCCCGATGATCTTGAGGAAAGAAGCCATGTCGAGGTTGGAAAGAAAGCTACGAAAAAGCTACTTGCTAAAGAAAAAGCCTGAAATAAGCCAGATAATTTGATAGCTTGTAGTCTTGGGTCCTTTGCATGCCGGGGACCTTTGGTATGCCTTGGATCTTTGGTATGCCTTATTAGAAGCGCTTGTCTGACCTACCATGTGCTTTGGACATCTGACCTACCATTTTGTTTCAACATCTGACCTGCTATACGTAGTATGTTGCTTCAACAGCACCCATCAGCACCCATAGGGTAGGCCGTGTAACACTACCTAGCTAACTGCCGAGATTTAAAAGTTGGCTACTGCAAGACACACCAAGTTATGGCACCTATCATTGATTACGAGATTCAACGCCACACTGGCTGGCTTTGGTAATAACAAGAGCAGGGGCTTTTCGGGAAAAAAAAGGAAACAAAACAGAGAAATGGGTACACTGCATGGCTGAAAGGCGTCCATCTGTCGCACTCCAAAACAAGATGGAACATCCTTAATAAACGTGAATTAGCCATGACAGGCCAAGGACCACTTTGCAAACACGTAATGCTTGGATGCATGAAGAATAGATTGGGTGGTCACTTGTATTCAATGCCATGGATGTCTGCGCCGCCGACACATTGGGAAAACGCGAAAAACGCGAATAATGAATGGCACAGCATAAAGAAGATAAACAATGCAAACAAGGTTATAGGTTGCACGAGACCTGCAGTACTCTATCTATCTGCGGAGGATCTAAAATTCATTGTCTGAGCGTCGGCTGTCATTTTTCAGCCAAAGTATTTAGTTACTGGCTGTGCTCACCCAACCTGTGAGCCCAATGGATGCGACGAGTCGCGCGGGGCGCGCTGTGACAGTTGGCGCACTCTACATTTTCATGCGCATAAGTGTCCGAGCACAAATCTTAGCTACTAATAATGTGAATCAGCTAGAGAATTACCATCGTGGCAACTCACTGCTGCACTTTCAGAGGTCCGCAGACCGCGCGCATTATCAACTCCTGATGACTGCGTTGGGCCTCGATCCGGAAGTTGCATCATCATCACCAGCTCTCAGCCAGAGACATTAAGAATGAACAAAAATAGGAACGAGCTTGGGTATCCACGCAGCAAGACCACTCACTCATGACCTGGCCCAAGGCTTGGACATGTGCGCCCCTGCAGAGCCGTTTCCTTTTGCTCGGCAGTTGCTGAGACAGACGAGCAAGGTCATTGGGCCAGCGCGCGGGGTTGGCAAGAAAAGGTTGCCCCGATTCATCTCAACAAACGAGATGAAACCATGTGAAGAAAAAAGACGCATTCGAAACCGCCACTTTTCGAGTGACGTTTTCGACATGTTTGAATGTCGTTATCGCGTGGCGAAGATGCATGAAATTATCAAGGACTTTGGGCCCTGCCTCTCAAGCCATGATAAACCGGCGGCTGATGAGAGCCCATGTCCCTGCCGTTTCATCGTGCATCGGCGTCCGGGGAAGCGAGAACAGACCAAGCAACCGAGATTGGTGTTGATCGCTGCACAGATAGCTACGGTGCTTGACGGCGCTTGCACAGCATGGCAACGCTCGCGTCTTTTCGCACATCAGGTAATACGTGCTGACTAGCGACTCGATAGACTTGGTCAGTGACACTCTTGCACGTGGCTTGCACGACTCTAATGAAAAAGAAAGGATGATGAGAAAGCAAGGAATGCAATGCTACAGTGCCATTGACAGCCGTCCAGTATAATGCCGTGCAGTAAATGCAAGTAATGGCCGCCGAGGACCAATCAAACAACGTGTCGCTAGAAAAAAGCACAGAGGAAAATTGGCCACCTGCTCGGGACACTGGGGCCCCCAAAAGGCTACATTTCGGCCGGAAGGCAGTCCGTGTGTCTTTGTGCATCCAAGTAAGTGGCTTTTCAAAGAAGAGGCGGTGGCCAATTGTTGATTCCTCGGGAGCATAATTTGCAAGTACCTAGCAACTGCCAAGCATCAGGCACATCAGATTGTATCTGCCTTGAGCCGTCGTCAGCCTGCCATGCCATATTCCTGGAAGTGGCTCGACTCTGGCTATGCCACAGCGCCCATCGTCGGTCAGCCAAGCGTCCGCCACGGTTTGGCGACGAGTTCATTTTCATTGTCAATTTGGCAAAATGGTGGGTTGACCTCCACCTGTGTGGCTTGCGCTAAGACCAATTGAAGCACCTCATGGCTTGTCGATCTGCGGGAGAAACAACAAAGTCGATGTTGCTTGTGGGCATTGCCCTTTTTTTTCCTTTGCACCGGCCAAGGCTACTGATAAAAATTGATTATGCCATGTTCTCGGGCCCCCATCCTGCGTGCCGCCAGGTATCGAGAGAATCGTCAATCAATGCACTCACGTTGGGTTCCTATTGACCCCTGCCGCAGTGAGCGACATAGAGGCCTTCTAGATACGGACAGCCCTGGGCACGCTGTCTCTTGTTATTTTTGACATTTGAAACAAGCTGGAAATGGACAAGGACTGTGAGATGGCGCCACACCATGTGTTGGTGGGAAGTTCCCCATCCCCATCCATCTCCATCGCCTTCCTTTTGTCCCGCTCTAAAACAGTGAAAAGATTTGCTTTGCCCGAGCACCGGCCCGGTCCCTAGCCCGAGGACAGAAAAGGGAACCAAGCGTTGGTGTGGCTCGACCCAAATTAAATGCCCACTTGGTCTTGCGGAGGGTTGCTTCTCGTCGCCTGTATTCTGGCTGATTCTTGAATAGTTCTTCGGCCCCATCGCTGGTCGTTGAATTCCTGCTTGATGCTGCATACTGGTGACAAGTTGGAGTTCTCTTTCCTCGTTGAAATGCATCAGCATGGTATCCGGCATTGCTCGATCCAGGCTGCATTAGCAAGACATGACGTCTGAGTTTTCTCCCGCCCCCTGCATATAGGTTTTGCCTCCGATAGTCTTGTGCTTGTGTGCTTGCTTGTCCTACCCAGAAAAAAAAAAGCCTACATAAAATCGAGTGAATGGACCAACGATTATCTTGGCCCACTGGAATTCCCCCGCTCTGTAATCCGTACTGGTAGGACTAAGGAGGAAGGTTCCTGACCGCATGGGTCTTGGGCAAGGGGCAGTGTGATTGGCCTTGCATGCGCAATTTGTGAAGAACAGTACAAGGATCACGACCAAGTGAGGAAGGCTACTCCGTCGGCAAATGTGCCTAATTCGAATGACACTTGTAATTATCGGGGGGGGGATGCCGTTTTTCGTCTTATGATTATTGTCGGCAGACACCGCTGACACGGGCGCGCAACGAGATCGAATACTAGTTGACCAACAAAGTTTGCCTGGGACGAGCGGGCGCCGTAATTCGTATTGAGCGTCGGCGGACCAATGTTGTCGTCCTTGATGACGCGATTGTCAGACTTCACAATCAAGTTGAGCATTCGCTATTCCGCTTGAGCATCTCCAGATTTTGGCGTGGTTCATCGTCCGTGAGATGCAAGTATGCGCGTGCCATGAACGACACGCGGGCCATGCTATGGCCGGCATTATTGTTGTTTGTGCTCTCGTGGGCAAGTGATCTGGGTAAGCTCAGCGGCCGGGCAGGGAACAAGTAAATTGGCAATGCAAAGGGGGTGGGTGTCATCAGCGAAAGTGATTGTGATGAGGGGGCGGATGTGTTCCGACAGGCTGGGCCGGGTAAATACATACAGCATAATAGCCGTATAGTATCGAATACGCGCAAGTTGCAACTGGCCTTCAGTGCTAATTGGAAGTTGGGTACCTTATATTCAAGGCGCTGCAACTTGGTCATCACAAGATCCTTGTAGCAGCGGCCCGTTTGACCAGGAGCTAGTGGCACTGGACCCTGGTTAGCCTGCAGGGCACAGCGGTTGGCTGTCATGAACCATGCTCAGATGGGAGATGAAAAGGAGTCTTCGTAATCAGGGAGCATGTACCAGTAAGTATTACTGAGTAATGGCCTCACAGGCTATGCTCGTCAGTATCGCAACGCTACGAAGCAAAGCAGGGTTTGCTGCAGTCTAGTTGCCTAGACTGGGCCGCGGTGCGTCTGGTGGCTATGCGTCCTTTTCGTTTTTTGCTACCAATAGAGTAGTCAGTTATTAACTAATCTGTACGGATACCAAGCCGGAACCTGCACACGAACCGATAAGTTATAAACCATGCGCGCCATGCTGGGGTTGCGGAAGCAGTGGGCGTGAATCCTGGGACGACTCGGTGGAGAAGGCGCTGCAACAGCAGGCGATTTTGGAGTCGATCCCTGCAAGATTAAGATAACAACCATGGGCACGTCCTTTTCACGGGTCAAGGGCGTCCAGAAGACGGATTGATGGCATTGCAAAGCTGGCTGTGGCTGCAGCAAGAAGCGGCCGCCACCACGGGGAACAGGAACAAGAATGTGTATTGGCCTCCTAACGCGGAGTAGACAGGCACCAAGACGGCTCCTGCTGCAAAGAGAACAAATCTTCAACGCGGTAAAAAGTAGATCCTTGCTACTTTGCAAGGCAGTAATGATTTGCGTCTACTAGGTAATGGTCTGGTACTCCGTATTTCGTGAATAATAATTAGGTGCCCCTTGCTGCAAGTTGCTCGTTCCCCAACCTGTCACTGCCTGCTCCATCTAGCCTCCCGCAGACCACCAGTGCCAAACGCCTAGCTCGGCCCAAATTTCGCCAAACTCCTGCCTTCCCTTTCCTTTCTCTTCTTTTCCCTTTTGTTTTGTACCGTGGACCGTCGCCCTGTTGGATTAGAAGCGGGCGTCGGAACTAATTTTGTTTCTTTTTCCTCTTGCGGGATGCTTCGCTTTTGCATCGTCGGCCGTCCTGTTGTGAGTCCCGGGCAAACCATCACCTCCACCACCACCGCCAATTTTTTCCTCGTCGTACTGTCTCGACTTGCGAGCCCTTTCAACTGACGCTCGCATCCAGTGCTTCAGAATGGTGCTCTCTTGATCGGGACTCGAATATCCTCCAATCGTTCAATCGCTCTGCTCCCGCACCGAAACCTCACGGCTACTGCTCGCGCCACCTCAATCCATGATACCCGAATACCACTGCGCCGGCCGCCGTCACAAATATCAGTCTTTTGCATAACGTTTCTTTGCGCGCGCAATCTCGATATTCTTTCGGCGCATTCCTACACTTTTCTTGATTCCTATTCTGTCTTTTATCGCACCGTGTTCTGAACATCATATGTACGCTCTCTTCGCCAACGACACCCCCTATCGCTCAAGCACCGAACCGAGATTCTGAGACTTCTCCATCGGCTTTTTTTTTGTCTGAGTCAACAGGTGCGTGCCTGCAAGTACTTTCAGCCATGCATGAACGTTATTGTGCCTTGCTGAAATTAATTGCGTCCCAATCTGCTAACGATTCTACGCTCCAGTTCTAACCTCCTTGACGAGTGCAGAGTGCTAAAGACACCGGTTTTTTTCTTGTGCACCACTTGGACGGTGCGCCACGACAGCTCATTTCATTGACAATTGTAAGTTGGTCTTACCCGCCCCGGCCCTGCCCCAAACGAAATATTGCTTTTTTCTGTGTGGTTTCGCCCTCCCATGTCAAATGCGCTAATGCAGCTCAGTCACTGGTACATACTCAGCCGACCAACCCGCTATTGCCAGCCCGACTTGCAGGGATCTTCGTGGCTCGCGGACCTACCAGCCCAGCTGGAGCCCCGCTGATTGTCTTGCCTCCCAAAGCTACAGCAGCATCAGACAGGTCGAGAGGCGAAGAAAAGGAGGGGTCTTGTATCTGAGGCTTTCTGCCCCTTTGACTTCGGTGGCTCTCCTCTTCGCTCACTTGTCACGATGGCCGAGTGGGAGACGGAAAACGAGCAGGCGGGCGGGCTCACGGCTCACGCGACCCGTAGGTCGTCTTCGAAATCCGTCAAATCTCGAAAAAGATCCAAGACGCCGCCTAATAGATCCATTTCTCCTTCAACCGCAGACAAGAGCGTGAAACGATCTTCGCGCGACATTGCCATGGACGAATCCATTAGTATTTTGGACCCGCGTCGATTTACACCAACTCTTCATGCCAATCTCGTTTCCGAAATTCTCACTTTGCGCAGGGACCAGGAGGACAAGACGAAGCTCATTGAAAGTCTAGAGACCTCTCTCTTTTCTACAAGGGAGGAAAATGAGTCACTACAGGCAAATTACGCTACTACCGGCAAGGAGAATCGATCTCTGAAGCGTCAACTCTCCCTACTCGAGGGCGGTACGTCTTCCGCTCTAGGAGAACTTGCTCGTGAACGGGATGATGCTGTCGAATCCATCGCAGAGTCTAAGAAACGACATGATGCTGCTCAAAAGAAGATTCGCAGCCTTGAAGAAGATTCTCAGCGCGTGCATGAGCAGTGGGCCAAGGAAAAGGATGAATGGGAAGATGAGAGACGCAAGTTTGAGCGTAAACTTCACATCACCGAAACCCGACTCAAGACGATTCTCGATGAAGTAGCAGCTTATCAAACTGTTCAAGCGAATGGCGAGGAGATAGAAGGGGAGCCCGAAGACACACAAAAAGACAACGACGGCGCCAGCATTCGCACCATGAGCATAACCGGGAGCCTCCGCTACTCGCTACTCAACAGCCCTGGGGCAGCCAACGGTCTCGGAGCATCCTTGGCGGATGAACTCAACCTTGATGACGACGATAGCGATGCTGCGGCCACCGAAAGCGTCTTTTCAAGCCCCCGGCACAAGCGCACAACCAGTCGCGAAGCAGCACCGATTGGCAGAATGCATCGCAGAGATCTAAGCCTCGAAAGGGTGGGGCGACCCAGGTCACGCCTCTTCTTCAATCCCAATGTACTTGGAATCCTACAAGGCGAAGACGAAGAGCAGCCATCTACCCCCATCGCGCCATCGACGACTTACACGGACACTGGTGTTCAATTCTCGCCTCCACCCTCACCCAAGGTGGAACCCACTCGCAGGCTAGAGGCGGACAACGTCAGCCGAATCGTCAATGAGATCGAGGCCAATCAGCGTCGCAAGCGAGTCCAGCCTGGCGCTTTGCCGGGCAAGCCCATTGCCGTTGAGGACCTTCACCAGCGAGCGATGGTTTCTGCCGCTGCACAAACTATTGAAACACCGCTAAGCCCGCCTAGAACGCCCAAGATGGATTTTGAGCCAGTCACGCCCCCGCCCGAGAAAGTTGATTCGATCATGGTGTCATCAGCGACGCAGACAGAGAAGGAGCTGGAGATGCCTACTCTCAATCTTGTGCCTCCTATGACTCCCCCTTTGCCTGCTATGACCATTCCGAGCATCAGTGTACAGCCTCCCACCAGCCGACCAACTACGCCTAGATCGCCCATGTTGCCGCCTTATATGAAGAACTTTGGCTGTCAAGTCAACATCTCTTATGATGTGCCAATGGCGGAAGCTGCCGTACAGACTGAGGGCATTCAGGTCGACAAGAGACTGGCTAATCTGCCACCACACCTCCAGCCTTCCGCCATCTCTTCTCGGCCGACTTCTCCCAGTAAAGATGGCGTTGACCGCGAAAAGACCTTTACGCCGGTTCCCGGCAATCTGCCGCCACGTAATCCCCGTCGTCCGGGTAGCAAGGCTCTGCCGGAATTGCAATCGTCGCCTGTCTCGATGAATGGAGATGAAGAAGACAATTTGGATACGTATATTCGCGATGAAGATGCGGAGAGCACCAAGTTAAGAGCTCGACGACGCCATGGTCGACATTCTGGAGATTTTGAATCGCAAAGTTCTGATGAGGCGGAAGAGTTTGGAGAAGCTGACGTCAGTGACTCCGAGTACCGAACTGCTCTTTCAGCCCCGCGACCTTACTCGAACGCGAGTCGTCCTAGCAAGCGGAACTCTTTCGGCGCAGCCACAGCTTCTTTCGAGCAAATGGCCATGAAAGGTGCCGTCGGTGGCTCCGCCAAGTTGTATGGTACCGATGTTTACGAAGCCGGTCGATCGGATATGGATGTCGGTAATCGTACTCATAGGCGCAAGCTCAGCAAGCCCCTCGAGAGGTCTGCCGCTCCTGGAACTGGGTCCAGTCGTTCGAGTGACATACGCAAGCATGCCATGATCCAAGGCTCCATTGCTAGCCATCAGACTAGGTCTCGAACCCCAAGTCTGCCCGACGGCGGCAATCCTCCGTTCCCAATACCGCTTCGCGATAGCTCCAAACGCTTGTCATCTTCTTTCATGAATTCGCCAAGCGAGGACTGCAGCCCTACTAGAGCTGAGAGCTCTTACCGCAGAGGCAGCAGCCGCGGCAGTTACTATGGCAGCAGTGTGCGCAGGGTTCGATCAGCCACCGCGATGCCGCGCAACCATAGATACCGCAGACACGGCAGCCGATCACCACCACCTTTGTCCATATCGACAGAGGCTCCCGAGAGTCCGGGTTTGCCTCCCTTGCCGCGCAATGACATCACAACCCCCCGAGGCAAGGAACCTAGTAGCTCCTCTTACAGACGTCACCGTCATGAGCTCTCCGCCAACACCGATAACACGCTCAACACAGAACCCTCGCGCGCCTCCCACGGTGGCCCCCAAGCGACTGGCGTTGTCGACGCCATCGCGCAGACCATGGTCGGCGAGTGGATGTTCAAATATGTTCGCCGTCGCAAGTCCTTCAGTGTGCCAGATGCCACTGGCAAGGACGACACAGGCAATGACCGCCACAAGCGATGGGTTTGGCTCGCTCCGTATGAAAGGTCTATCCTATGGAGCAGCAAGCAGCCTTCTTCCGGCAGCGCGTTGATGGGAAAGACAGGGCGCAAGCGTAAGCTCCTCCTGCTCCTTATTCTTGAAATTACCCAGTGCTTGCTCGTTTGGTTGTTTGGCATCATAGGCTAACCTTTTGTGCGGTAGTTACCATCCAATCTGTCCTTGACGTCAAAGACGATAATCCTGTCCCCAAAGGAGTCTCAACTATTTTTAATCGCTCAATTCTCATTCTTACCCCTCAGCGCGCTCTAAAGTTTACCGCCAGCTCATCAGAGCGCCATTATCTTTGGCTCACAGCCCTCTCATTCCTTGCACACTCGTCACAAGCTGTGCCGGAGAACCTGTCGGCACCGCAGCCTCAAATAGCCAAGCAGCCACATCAACGGCCAGTCCCTGACTTTGAAGTTGCGCAGACCAAGATGCGTCGTCCTGGGATCCGAGACTCAATTCGCCTGGCCAAGAATAAGACTGCCATTGGCAGCCGTACTGGTCCTCCGAGCGTGCCCAGCCTCCCCAGCAACCCTCCTTCTCGTATGGGTGAGGTATCAAGCTTTCGCCCTCCACCATCCACTGGAACAGCATCCGTCAGCCATCAACGAGAAGCCTCGCATGACATGGCCGAGCCTCCGATGATCCAGCGCTACAATGAGCGGTCTCAGACATCTTCGCATGGCCGCAAGCGAAGCAACACGGGTGGGCAACAGCACGTTCCCCCGCCGCTCTCGTTTCGAGGCTTCTCTGGGCCTCTTAACAGCTCCCAAGACAATGGCCACAGCACTTCGACCAACACTCCTGCCTCTTCGGACATGTTCCAGTCACAGGCCTCAAGTAACACCACGTGGGGCGGCTCTCAACGAGCATCGGAAGCGTCAAGCAGGCCGAGTAACTTTTTTGATGCCATTGGAACAGTTCGCATGGAGGCCTTTATCAGCCCGTTGGCAGGCTCACAGGCAGCACAAGGCTCTGAGCAGGATGAGTCTCGCCACTTGGCCCGCCGACGCAGCAAAGAGCACCGCAGACGCCACAGCCGCAGTCGCAGCCGCAATCGTGACTTTTGGAGCCACACACGCAATGGCGATGGCCGCCGTGGCTACGATGACTTTTACGGAGGTAGCCGGACAGCCGGCGAGGAGGAATACTTTCGAGACGACCCTTTTAATCCTTTCAAGGATTTTTGAGCGTCTCTTGTAGATACGCACATAGCAAAGCCAGAGGCTACGACAAACAGTATTGCACCGGCATTTACAGGACAGCACTGCGCTTTTTTTTTCTTGTTTCCTTTTTATTATTTTTATTCTTGTTGAAATGTTTTTATATCATGGGACTTGGACATGGACGATATATGCCAATGGACATTTGGTGGTCAGCTTACAACAGCATCTTCTATTCAATCAACTGGCGTGGTGTTTCTTTTTTTTTTTTTTCCTCCTCTTTTTCTGGCATATTGCCACTGCCACTCATTTCCTATCTCATTCATCTTGCAAGTTTCGAAGAATAGCAATTACTATATAGCTTTCAATAGAATCCGACTTGTGTATACTGCATGCCAAGTGTCGCTCGTAAGGATGGTGGACAATGTCAAGTTGCAACACTGCGATGAAAATATTGCGAGCAATGGAAACATGTGCTCTCGGATAAATGTAAATGAACAGCTTTGAAACGCCTTGATTTAGCTGATGTGTCTAGAATAAATGTCCAGAATAGAATGAAGAAGGAAAAGAAAAAAAAAAGATTGCAACAGCTTGACGGGCCAGTAGTATGTATACACAAGAAGAGTTGTAAAGAAAAAGATTGACAAGAATGAATAAACAATAAAAAAATCAATCAAAAAGATTGCTCATCAAAAAGAGACTTCCCCCAACAATGCCCGCCGCAACCAACATGGTCAGGATTGCAGCACCAGCCCTATCCGCCGTGACGAGCTTCCTCGGCTCCGGCAGCGGCTGCGCCACGTTGCTTCCCGCGTTTGGATTGCCCTTTGATGTACCGCGATCCTCGCTCGTCGCCGGCGGCTTCGCATCCTCGAGCAAGTTGTAAAACACCGCAGCGAGCGCATTCATCTGCGGGCCCACGCCAGCCAGGCCGTCGTACTTTTTGCCCTCGAGCCAGGTGAAGCCGCAGGCGGTCCCGTCAGCGCCCTGGTACTTTTCGTTGCGCGGGCCGATGCACGCGGCGGCGGCGTCCTTGGCGGCCTGCTGCAGAATGGTTTTGATGCCGTCCGCGGTCCAGGGCGCCATCTGCGCGGTGAAGGCGAGGAAGCGGATGACGTAGCCTTTGAAGCTGACCTGATTCTGGTCGCAGCCGCGGGCCGTCTTTTCACAGGGGGGCTCCCAGAGGTGGCCGCCCTCTTGCGAGATGAACATGCCCTTGGTGAAGTTGAGCAGGCCGTCGACGTGGGTTCTCCAAATGTCCTTTTTGGTATAATCGTACATGGCCGCGGTACCAGCGAGCCAGATGCCCGCATTATAGCTGAATTGGACATCATGCAGGTGGCCGCACGTCTTTGTATCGTCAAAGACGTTATACCCATCATACACTTCATAATTCTTGCCAATCAGCCCGATGCCCTCTTGCCACTCGTAGATTTTGGTCGCCCATTCGGCATACGTATCGTTTCGGGTGAAGCGCGCAAGACGAGCGGCCACGTTGAAGAAGCAGCCGTTGGCGATGCTATTCTTGTAGTCGTAGCCCTTTAAAAAGGAATAGACCTGCCAGCGCAGGCCGCCGCCGCAGAGCCCGTTTTCCTCTTGCCAGCGAATGACGTATTCGTTGAAGACGGCCTGCGCGCCGGCGAGCCACTGCGGGGTGTCCGAGGGCGGGTTCGGAAAGGCGGCCTCGGTGGCCATCATGCTGGTGACGGCCCAGAAGCCCTGATCGTCGTTTCCCATGGCGTTGGACTGGTTGCGCGGGAGGTAATCGCCAGCGGGGGCATTTATCTGGTGCATCATGCCCTGCATGACAATGTCGTTGTATGTAGCGTCGCCAGTGTAGTACCAGTAGTCGATGAGGTGGCCAAACATGCCGCCTGCCTCCCACCCTAAAAAAAGAGACGAAATGTTAGGAAAACGGAGAATGAAAAAGCCGGTTTGAATAGTTTTGTTGGTCATGTTTACAGTAATAAGAACCCGGGAGTAGACCGGGGATACCGCCCGTGAGGTTTCCATTGTAGTACTTGACGAGACCGTAGGCTATCGTGCTGGCTGCATCCTTGATTGATGCTGTTGTCTCGAGGTCAGTAGCTGAAAGGGCAGATGGGAACATGGGATGGGCGCAACAACGTACATTTACTCGAAAGGTCTATTTCTAAAGCTTTGATGGGTGCTGCCAGCAGCAGAGACAGGACGCTGACTGCCAAGGCCCTCATTCTGGGTAGAGTCGACCGGCGCAGCCGGAGCACATTGGCTTTGGGGAAAGAAGGTTCTGTCGAGAATCGTTTGGTGACGGAGAATCAAGGTTCGAAAGAAAGTGAAACAAAAACGACGCTGCGACAAGTCAAAAAAAGGAAAAAGGTATCGGGGTTTTTGAGAATCGCCAGCACTGTTTGGCGGGAGAGGATTAGCCAGGCGGACATGGTGGGCATCAAGACCTAACAACGGTTTGGTTTCTGTTTGCCTCACGCGACAGCAGGACAGCAACGGCCTCAGCCGTGTGGGCCGAATTTCCGAAAGGATTGTTGACCTCCTTTGCCCCCCTCTCCCCCCTCTCCCCTCTTCCTCCCGCAAAAAGAAGAGACAAAAATAGATGAATAAAGTGCCAAGACTCGGTGCGGCTTAAATTGGCCGCGGTGGTGAAGGTGGGTGATACTCTCAAAGGGTTGCTACCCGCGCCATGGATCTCGCTGCGCCACATGACGCGTAACACCCGAACAAGGGGATTGGCGAAGAACAGGGCAAGGTAATATCAAGAAAACGAAGAAACTCGGACCACCGCGATTCAATATATGAGCGTCTTAGATCTATAGAATGGGAGGGTTTTCCGCGCCGAGGAGATGGACTTTTATTCAACGGTCTTGTCCAAGATTGCACTGATACTTGATCAAGAGAACCCCACAAGCAGCCCGCCCCTTGGGACATGGGGCGCTAACCATCTTAAACTACAGCGACCTCCTTAGCTATAATAAAGAGGGTCGGCGCTGTGATTACATTGTGTGTCCGCAGATGCTTGGCTAAAGCCCCCTTGAATAGACGTATCTTTTGGACGCCAAGAATCTAGAATTTTTTTTTTATTAGATAGGTGGTGTTATTAGGTGACATAATCTCACCATACTGGTATGTGTACCAACGGAGCAAAATCAAGGTACGAGTTAGGATACTGCCAATTTTGATGCGACTACCTATATTCATGTGGTCTGCAAGACAGCAGAAGACGTGTACCAAATCCTAGTGTAACAGATTAAAATGTGAGATTACACGTTGTTGAATTCGGTATTGACGACGATATTTTTTACCAATCCATTCTGGCATAGCTAATGGACTCGGTAGTTGATCATGTCTCTCAGCGTCCTTCACCTACAGCTATTGACAGTCATGCGTACCGTCATCGTCAACGCTTAAAATCGGGTCGTGCCTAGTTCTACCATGCACTCGGACGCTGGCGACCTGGTCGATCATTATGCCACTACTTAGGGTGAAACTCGAGCATTTTCCGCATCAAATCCAACATTGCCACCAAAGCTCCTGATGGGCTTGACATACGACACCCATCATCATTAGCTTCCACTTAATCTCCTCGCGCCTTTCATTTTGCTAGCCTTTCCCCCTTGGCACAGGTCTCACTGTGTAACTAATAGCTTGCTTATAAAGTCGTCATCTGCATAAAAGTAGTTGCGGCTCTCCGTCAATTTGCTCGACAGGGTTTAATTCAGGTTCACCCTCATTGTTGCCAAATTTTCTCGTCATGCGTTTAAACTCTGTGCATATGCTTGCACCACGAGCTTGTGCAAGTGGAGATTTGCGAAAGCCGGTCTTGACTATGCATAAAAACAAGCTTCTTAATCCAGGATGCGGGGTTGCGCCTCCATCAACGAAGCCAAGAGAGTCCATGTCCGGTTCAATTAAATATCTACTGCTTACTCGCTTTCACTAGCGTGGAGCCAACTCACGTAGGTGCTTATTTAGAAGCTTCGGCGACACTTTCACGGGTGCCGCCAATGTTGACAAGGTCGCTCGCTAGCACAGCGCGCACCTATGCCATCAGGTAGTGAATAGATCTCCAGCCACGCTTCTTGAAATTGTTTGCAATTTCCCGCTGCACATGCCGGGTCTGACGATAAAAAAAAAACATTTTCCGCGTCATCAATCGATTCGTAAACCCCGAGCGAGCAACTCGAATATGGATACGCACTACGAGAAAAATCGACAACTCCGGAAATCTTTTGGTCATTCTCCGGCCCGCGCCTGGCCCTTCTGCTCTTATTGACTAGAACAAACGACACTCGTAAAATGGAAGAGGATGACCAAGACGGAGTATCGAGTGAGAGTAGTGAAAGTAAAGAGAGCGCTGAAGACCAAGCAAAATGAGGGGACAATGACGAAATAAAGGACAGGTAGCGAACTGAAAGGCCAAGACGACCCTGACGGCGCACAAACGAGTTTATAGTCTGGCAGCCAAACTCTCACTCACTTATAGGCTTGCTAGACAAAGCTTGCGAGGGAATAGTCACATGCTCAAGGAAGCACTTATCGCAAATGAGACCCCTTGCTCCATCATCTGCAACCCGATGAGCCTTGGCGCACTACTCCGTACAGAGACATATTCTTTGCTTCCATGTGTCCTCGGCTAGACGCTCTCTTCTGCAGTACTACTATATCCGGCGTGTACTCGATACTGGAACATTCGAGACATTGCTATGCTTTGAACATGCTGAAATGATGTACTAATGTCAGTCTCAGCTCTACTGCTGTAAGGGTCCCCCCCCCCCCTCACCCCTCTCGCACCTGTTTCGGTTGCTAGCTCTCCAGAATGGTACTTTTGGTGCTCATGGTTGGGCTTGCCTACATGCATATGCTGTCAAGGTAAGGGTCGCAGTCACAGTCACAATGCCGCCGGTCACCGAGGAAGTAGTACCGACGGCGCGAGACTTGGTCTTACTTTTTTTATACCGCGCACAAAGGTAGAATCACACTGTCTCGTGTGCTTTATAATACACATGACAGGTAATTGCGACTTGCGACAATCTCGACTTTGAGGTAGCTGAAATACCCCCCCAAAGCGACGATCCAAGCTACATATTTGATCATGTTTCATGCGTTGTATCTTGGCTCTTGGTGACACTGAGACAGCGCGAACGTGTGGGTGCTGTAAGCAGCCACGGCACCGTTTTCCCATTATCCCAAAGTCTTCTTGGGCAGACTCGTCGAGGCATAATAGTACTGACTGGTAGGCGAAAAAAGCCGCGTCTGCCGACATGACCGGGAAAATTACGGGCGGCGCGGCAAGTAATTGGTCGGGATTACTGACCTGAGCTGGAAGATAATTGAACCAAGTAATTCGAGTTATAAAGCTTCGAACGCCATGTTCTGCGATTATATTTAGTTTCAACCATAAGCACTACTAAGTGAGGTAGGTAAGTATCGTATCCCAGGCTGATACCGCTAAGGAAGAGCGACGTACCTACAAGGCTACCATGTATCACATCAGGCAGAGTTTACTTTTTCCTAGAGAGAGTTACCTCGTAAGTGTAACACTTACGCACCACAGCGAGTAGTCTGGAATGACCCTGCAGGCTTATTGGTCCTCGCCGCATGTTATCGCAAGCCCGCCCGCTAAATTGTGTTCCTTCTCGTCCCATCTTACATGTGCCGTATTTCTTCGTTGACATCTTAAATAATGAGCTATGAGCAAGGGAGCATCGACCTAACTGCGGATGCCTCAGCTTACCATAGAGTAGACCCTTGCGAACATTGTTAAACATTGCTTCTCCTTGAAGACACCTTTGCTTAACCATCTCTTTTTGATGAGACGCGTGATGATTTAGATACGAGATCTGATTACAGTGTGTAAGAATGCATTGCTACTAAATGAGCCCGCCTGATTGTACGATTTTTCTTGCACCTCTCGACAACGTTACTTTTATAGCGACACTTGTAAGTTGGCGACGCAGCGGCCTGCCATCTGACATCGGGGTGGCGTCCGGATCTTACGGTCCCGTTTTGGCAAAGATGAGAGAAATGATAAGTCATCAAAGATCTACCAATGGACTTGCGTTGCACAGTTTTCTTTTTTGCCTAATTGTGTAAGGTGTAATTGTGTAAGGTGTAGCCTGGGCGTAGATAGACCTTGGGCAGAAATACTGGGACAGCGGGCCTGCTATCCGAATTCGGGGCGGCGTCCGATTTCGCGGTTTCTTTTTGGCTGAGATGAGATACATGACAAGTCATCAAATGCCTCACGATAGACGTGCGTTTTCAAGGTTCTATTTGCCCAAGTGTGCAAGGTTTGTACGTAGATGGATCTTGGGCAGAAATATGGGACGCAGCGGCTGCCTTCGCAACCAATTATGAAGTCGGCTTGTAATAAGTGTCAGCTAAATGGTGAATGAATCACACTTGAGTTTTCTCAGAACGCTCGGCTGGCCCTGCAGTCTGCAGGGCAGCTGACTTGGCTAAGAATCTGCCGTTGCCATCATTTATGATTGCTGTTGCTACGGGCTCTGCCGTTTTCCTTGTCTTTGCCATTTTATCCCAGGCCCAACGTGCAAGGCTAGCTATTCTTTGGCTTTCTCGAGCAGGCGACTTTGCAATGGGCACGTTCGCACAAGGGGCATCATCAGGGAACAGGCACAAACGAGGAGCTCCAATGACAAGATGAGGGTGCCTCACCTGTTGGTAAGCTCTTCAGATATCCGAAGCCTGGCGCTATTTCGCTTTGACAGCTAGCCTATCGCAGATCAAATGTGATGAAAGCAAATCAGCTTTGGTCGACGGTTCGTCGGAGCTGGGAGAGACCTTCTTGACAGCTGAACACACCGTCACACCGACTTGAGTCAAAAGTATGCACTTCTAGAACATAAGAAGACAGATTGGCATTTCCGTCAATCGCCAGTCACTATAATGCGAAAGATGGATTAACCCCGCCTTGCGTTGCAAGACAGATCGGCATTCCCGGCAATTCCCAGTCAATATAATGCGAAAGATAGCTAAGGCGAGAGACGGTAAGCCCTAACTAACCCCGCTTTGTATTGTAAGACAGGTCGGCATTTCCATCAATTCCCAGTCGCCATAATGCGAAAAAATGGCCTGATCGAGGGACATTGGCCTACTACTAATGCTATATGCTCTAGCTTTTATTCTGAGTACACGTACATCTACTTATCGCTTCTTCTATTCGATCTCAAAGTAAATTATGACAGCGTAACACAGGTTTGGCTACGACTTACAGCGGATCTACCAACTCTACTCACGGCTGTCAAAGTCGCTGCCACGCGACTTACCATCAACAGACGCATGATTTGAGTTAAAGATTTGTTAACCCCCCACACGATATCTCTCATCTGACTCGGCTGCCTTTTGTCTGCATACTTTGCTATTGAAGGTCGGCTTATACCACCTCTTCTTATCCTAGATAGAAGCATCAAAGGATAATACTCGATTACTGGCGTATTGTAAAGGTGAAACATATAAAAATATCAAGTTGTATCATTGTTTCAATCCATATGAAATAGCCATCAGAGACAACCCGTCTTAGCAATGATACGTGGCTGGCTGGACTGTGCTATGTGGCTGGCTGAGCTATGCTCAGTGGCTACCTGATCAGCTTAAGACTGATTGTAGCCTATCAATACTCGCAACAGCTATAGAGAGAGGGTTACCCAAGAGTTATTATGATATACCAAGTATTCCACACAATCACTAGATGAACTATGGTAGCCTCGTGCCTGGCGATGTTGTCTACATCAAGGCAGGTAATAAGCTCCCCGCCGACAGTTGACGTACAAGTATAGAACCGGCCTTTTTACTAGAATAGCTTATAAAGAATATGTATATATATGTGTATGTACATATATGTATATATCGACTGTATCAGCCAAGGGCGATGAGGTAAGAATCGTGCGATTCTTATATATGATCTGGTTGTTTTCGTAGTCATCTGAGCTTAAGGTCTTAAGCCTAAAATGCTAGTAGATGAATATTCCAAAGAGATCAGAGACTATAGCTGTGGGTACAGGACTGGGTGCGTCTACTTTTGCCATTGATGATTGGCTGTAGCTGGGACATGCGCCGCCTCGGTGTGTATGCCCTGCCTTACCTCGGCTGTCCAACCTTTTGGAGATGCTTTGTGACTATTCTCATTGGCTTCGCAGCTGTGATGGCTGTGCAAATGCTGCCCAATTGTCTCGAAAGTAGAGTATATAAGGAGTCAAACATACAGTAAATCATGTCTTATGGAGGGAAGCTGAATAGACGTGTGTAGGACGCGCTTTTACCAGTAGATACTAGCTGTAGACGACAGTAAGACAAGGATGTCACTGATTGAATTCTGTAGAGACGGGAGAAGCTTCATCGAATAGCTATGAGAAGTAGGTCTAAACTCGGAACTGTAGAATCTCAAACAAGCAGCGACCTAGCTGGCTCTGAATATAAAAGGGCAGGACAGGCCGCGCAAAACTGTTCCCAACTTCAGCAACACATCCTTGACATCACCAACTACTTACTCTTCAAAAACAATCTATTCGAAACAATCTCTACCAACATGAAGTTTGCGACTACACTCCTCCCACTACTCACTACAGTAGTTGCGGCGAGTCCAACTCTAGTGGAAGATGAGAACCTAGAGACGAGACAAGTTGGGCCTGTATGAACCTCTTTTCTGACTAAGCTTCACCGTGTTTTATGTCTCAATTGACTTGATGAATGCTTCTAGGTCGTTTGCTACCTTTTTACAACGACAGCTTCGTGGTTCTGCAGTAACATTGGGAGTGACTATCCGTGGTGCCAGGATTACTTCAAGCTAGGGGTACGTGTTCCATTCTCACTTGATAAGGAAGAACTCATCTAACAATTTTAGAAATGCCTCTGTGACGCGAATACGGCCCCAATCCAGAGGAAGTACCAATGCGTCTCCGACGTATGCTTGCCAATTGCTATGCAAAATCAGCTACACAAAGCTAACATATCGTGTAGTTTAGAAAGATAATCAGATAAGCACCACCTATCATGATTAGTATGGTAGGATGTCAGGCAAGTACAAATCATGAGTACCCTTGCAAAGAGGCTGGCTAGAAGGAAAGCTTGTTATTCTCCCCCTCTACACTTGCAGTTGATCAAGGCAATCAAAGCTATGAAGGCACTAGCTAACTGATTACTCGTTTAGTGATGGTAACCTGACTGGAAGGTATTTTCCGAATGCTTGTTTGGTACTGACTATTGATGGAAGTTGGCATCTAGTCGTTGTATGGAGTTCTCTACAGAGTTTAAGCTCGGCCGACTAGAAGCGGGATTATATCCTTAAAATTAGTAACACCAATAAGATTACTATCAGACTAATAAGTGCCGTAAAATAACCAAGACAGAGTGACGGCTCCTATTACTCTCTTCCTTGAGTATTGTACGCCATTTTCTAGTAATTCCCTACCTACCACTATATTTGTCCTAGTAGCATCTGCGAGTGGCGTGGCGTAGAGATTGACTGAGTAGACGCAGGGATCAATAGGCTGCCTACCGGTGGCAGCGACGTAGGGATTGGCCGACGGGACGTAGGAATTGATCAGCTGGCACAAGGTTCGTTCTAGCGGCAAATGAAGCCGCACAGAAGGCCGTGGCAGAGTGAGGCTCAAATTGATTAATTCCTTTATGCTATAATATGCTCATGCTAGGTTATGTGTGGCACGCAAAAATTGTGACTGACAAGATCCAGGATCAAAGTGTACGCTCGAGTCGGTCAACGTCATCGTCAGGACCTGCTAACTAGTCAGGGCCTCTCTGACGAGACGACAGCGGCGACGTATAACTATCGACGCACTTGGACGTGACGGCGTAGAAATTAAAGAGGCTGTTGGTTGGGCTAATAGATTACTTGGGAGCCGTCCAAAAAAAAAAAAAGATTCCTGACGGCAAGGTTTTCCCTGCAAGAACAACACCATATATACGGCGCTGTCAATCTTGCTGGAGCATGCACAATATAGCGCCACTCCAACTAGTGCGCACTACTCGAGCTACAGTAGTTGTAGTGTAGTGTAGGTAATATATATTCTTTGATCTTGGTCAAATCGTTTCTGTATGTCTTGGGACCATGAACGTCCTTGACAGGAACAAAATCGCCCACTGCGAGCACCCTGAAACCGTGGTGACTTTTCCACACAGCACACAGCACACAAAAGCAATTTCTGTCCCGGGGGGGGATGCGAGGTAGTCCCTTGGACACGTGCTAGCCTCGATTCCTGTCAGTCGGGGAATTATAAGAGCGCTGTGGCGCGCCCGTCCAGCCGCTTCAATAGCGGCTTGCATGTAGCGAGCGAGCTAGCTTGCGAGGGAGGCCTCAAGCAGGCTGTGAGAGCTAGTGCTGCTTCTTTGCGAGAAGCGTCCGTTTGCGGCCCGCGGGCGCCGCGCATTTGCAGAGGGGTTAACATACAGTGTCAATGAGTTTTAGTGAGTCGTCGTCATTTTCTGGCTGTAAAGAGTGTGAGGACGAGGCGTCGGCATCACAAGCCCTCATGAACGACGGGCGCTGCAATCAATATCGCTCATCATCCCTGCCAAGACGAGGTCAATGGGTCTTGAACCGGAGAGGGTTCTCCAGCTTCAAACACAGGTTCGAGCTTTCTCTTTCTCGTACATTGTCCATATATATAGTGATTTTTCCATGAACAGGGCTTCCACAGCTGTACGCGCTCTCCCACCACTTCCCCATGCTGATGGCTGCACCCACCCCCCTTTGCAAAAGATGCACACTCCCACTAGTTACTGGTCTCGCAAGCTCTTCTTCAGCCGACGAACAAGGCATGAACAGAGACATACATGCATACAAGAGACACGAACCCTCTGAAAAAAAAAAAAAAATTGGAACCCCTTTCCGTTTATCATCGGCCGGAAGAACAGGCCGAGAGCCAGCAAGAGCAGCAAGATAACAGCGCTAGACGACCGGCCTCGGGGGGGCCGCTGACGTCGCTAATCAATGTGGCTGCCGCCAGTTGACATGCACCCGTCGATTGACCATTCAAGGATGAGAAATGTGGCAGAGCTGGAACTGTTTTTTTATTACCTTGTTGCAGCTAAACTGCCTAAACCGGCTGCACTCCCACGCTAAAATGCTGCACTAAAAAGCTTGTCCTGCCCCGACATCAGCCCTGTCTCTTGGTTGTATATCGCTCATACCTAGACCTTATATCAACTTCGTCCACGATACTTTTACTTTGCTATCCCGCGACAAGAAGGGAGTTTATTCAAAACCCCCCCCCCCCCCTTTCCTCTCCACTTGCCGATCGTGACACTCCGCCTCTTCTCCTCCTCCCTCGTGGCTTTTGCCCTCCCCCCGGGTCACTTATCCGTCGTCGAACCCATCTTTTTTCGTCTCACTCCACCGGGGATTAAACGGCTCACGAGGCTGTGTTGATGAGGCAATTTTTCTTTCTTTTGATTCTTCATGTCTTTCACACACATTTCATCTTCTTCTTCTGGATTTCACCCCCCCTCCTTTGTTTTTTTTCTGGGTGTGAAGCTATGCATCATGCCGCATCTGGATCGCTGGTGTCAGCCATGCTTCAACCAACCTTTGCTGCATTGCTGAGCACCCCATGCCGTGGACGGTAGACACAGGCACGCACACACACACACACACGCACGCCCGTCAGAACAATCACCTCTTTCGCCTGGTTTCTTTTATTGTTTTCCTGCAGGCTGCAGCTGATATGACTCGCAAAATGCCAGTTCAAGCTTTTTGCTTTTGTGCCTTCAGCTCATGCAATATTGGGTTAGCTTCTCGTCTTCCCCAATTGAGAGAATCCGCGCGCGCATTCAGGTCAAAGGCCTCGAACGAATCCTCTCTTTTTTTTTTTAAATTGATTGCTGTAGAGTATAAAAGGCTTCCCCTCTTCGCATACCGAATTCAAAGTAGAATTGGCCAAGTTTTCATAGTAGTGCTGCGCCGGTCTGGCCGCTGTCCTCGTGAAAAACTTACACGTCCAACTGTCTCTTCGCCCCTTTTTCTTTTTCCTAATTCATCAATCTTTCTCCATTTGTCCTGAATTGCATTCTCATGGCTGCCGAAAAGAGTGCAGATGCCTCTGGCACAGAAAGAGTTCGCTGGCATGATGAGGAACAAGGTCGCCAGCGGCCGCGGTCTCGCTCTCGCTCTCGCCCTCCTCGCCTAAGCCGCACCAATTCCACTGATTCCATGGCGATTCGCAGCATTTCCCGAGCGCAGGTCGATCCAGCCGTGACTCTCCCAATTCATTATCGCACTGTGTAAGCATCAATTCTCCTTTCATCACTCTTTTAATTGCTTGCTTGGCTAATACCTAAAGGAAAACAGTTCGTTTGGTATTGAAGAGTCCAAAGGCAAAGAGCGTGCCGAAGCCATCCGAGCCGCTGATGCCACTGCCAAAGGTAAAACATCACATGCACAACTACGGTCGCACGCCCAAGTTTTTTTCTCAAAAAAAAAAAAAAAAAAAACCTCCAAGCTCACCCTCTGAATAGATCTTGGTGACCTGGAATGGCACATTATTGCCGCCCAAGAAGTCTCATTGCGCCTCACAACCTCGCCCCAAGATGGTCTATCGGCTGAGCAAGTCGAGCGCCGCCAGCTTGAATACGGTCGCAACGCTCCGTCCCCGCCCAAGACGAATCGCACAATGACAATTTTCGGCTACTTCTTCAAGGGTTTCGGCGGTATCCTGCTCGTCGGCAGCATCCTCGTCTTTGTGTCCTGGAGGCCTCTCGGCGAGCCCAACCCGGCACTTGCCAACCTTGCCCTCGCTATTGTTCTGCTGGCCGTCTTCTTTCTTCAAGCTAGCTTCAACATGTTCCAAGACTGGTCCACGTCCCGTGTCATGGCTTCAATCAAGGACATGCTACCGGAGCAGTCGCAGGTAATGCGTGACGGGAAACTCGTGCACGTGCCTGCTGAGGAGCTTGTACCTGGCGATGTTGTCCGCATCAAGGCAGGTAACAAGCTCCCGGCCGACCTACGTCTTATTCAAACCTCTTCCGATGTCAAGTTTGATCGCTCCGTCTTGACGGGCGAGTCTCGTCCTGTGCCGGGTACCGTCGACTCTACAGATGAAAACTACCTGGAGACGCACAATATTGGTCTTCAGGGCACGCACTGCATCATTGGTACCAGTACGGGCATCGTGGTCGCAACCGGCGACAAGACAGTCTTCGGCCGCATCGCCAGCCTGACAAATGAGCCCAAGACAAAAATGACGACCCTGGAGAAAGAAGTCTTGTACTTTGTGCTCTTCATTTGCGGCATCATGCTCACCATGATCACCGTTGTCCTGGTTCTTTGGGGTGCTTGGCTTCGCAAAGATCACCCTGGCTTCATCTCCGTCAGCGCCCTGATTGTCAGCTGCGTCAGTGTCGCCGTTGCCTTTATTCCCGAGGGTCTCCCCATTGCCATCACGGCCGGTCTCACCATCACTGCCAATCTGATGAAGAAGAATGATGTTCTCTGCAAGTCGCTCAAGACTGTTGAGACGCTCGGCTCCGTGTCCGTCATCTGCTCCGACAAGACAGGTACTCTGACGCAGGGTAAAATGTCTCTCACTGACTGCGCCATTGGCAGCCTCAACCTCAGCACCGAAGAACTTCAGCAACAGCTGGTCAAGGATGAAAAAGGCGGTGATTCTCCGCTGCGCTCTACCTTTGGCCAACTCGGAGCCCTCGCTGCTCTTTGCAACGCCGCGGAGCTTGATGCATCACAGGCAGATATCCCCTTGGCGCAGCGCAACATCTTTGGTGACGCTACAGACACGGCTATTCTGCGATTTTCCGAGTCCATCGCTGATGGTAATGTGGGCTACTTTAGGGGATGCTGGCAAAAGGTGTTTGATCTCGCTTTCAATAGCAAGAACAAGTTCATGATTCGTACGTTTACCTGCAGCCGCAAGGAGGCTCTTCCATATACGATGCACTCATCTGCCGCTTCTCAATTTGGCGACGACGATATTCTTCTCACCATCAAGGGTGCGCCTGATGTACTTATTGGCCGCTGCTCCGAGTACCTCACACCGAGTGGCCAAGTGGCCTCCATGGATCAAAGAGCTCTTGCCACATTTGAGCACCTTAAGCAGGTATACTCATCGCAGGGCAAGCGTTGTCTGCTCCTCGCCCGCAAGATTGTTCGCGGCAGCTCCATAAAGAATGCTGTTCAGGACGGCGCTTATGAGACGGAAATGTCCGAATTGGCCAAGTCTGGTCTTGCCCTCGTTGGCCTGGTTGCTATTGTCGATCCTCTCCGGCCCGAGATCCGGGATGTCGTGTCTACACTTCGCGGAGCCGGTATAAGAATTGCCATGGTGAGCTTGACTCAAATCAGCCTTCAGCCCGCATACACTAATGGTTGCTTCTAGGTTACAGGTGACTTTAGTCTGACGGCGCTGGCCATTGCTCGCGACGCCGGAATCGTCACATGCGTTCACGTCGACGGCGCCAGCCACCTGGAGCGCAACCCCGACCCTACCTCCGACTCAACGGATACTGAAGAAAAGAGTAACGGTAGTGGCACGCGAGGTGCCCTCGTCATCAGCGGCAGTGAGCTCACGCTGCTCAACGACTACCAGTGGAACACGCTCACCGAATACGAGGAGATTGTCTTTGCGCGCACCACGCCAGAGCAGAAGCTGCGTATAGTGCGCGAATTCCAAAAGGACAATGTAGTGGCCATGACGGGTGACGGCGTCAACGACGCGCCGTCGCTCAAGGCGGCCGATGTGGGCATTGCACTGGGCAGTGGCTCGGACATTGCCATGGAGGCAGCGGACATGGTCCTGTTGGACTCGTTTTCGTCCATTGTAATTGCCGTGCAGTACGGCCGTGTCGTTTTTGACAATTTGAAAAAGGTTTGGTGTGAGAATTGCTGTTATCACTGTTGGTTGAACTAACGGATGCAGGTCATTGCCTATCTACTTCCTGCCGGCTCCTTCTCTGAGTTTTGGCCCGTCATCACAAACGTCGCATTTGGCCTACCTCAGATTCTGTCTTCTTTCCTGATGATTATCATCTGGTCAGTCATGATACTCAGTCTACCGTCATACATTACTGACCAATTAAAAGCTGCTTCACTGATTGCGTGGCTGCCACCATTCTGTCCTACGAAAAGCCAGAGGCCGACGTGTTGCACCGCCGTCCCCGCAACGTAAAAAAGGACCGCCTGGTCAATTGGCAGCTCATATTTCAAGCGTACGGCATCATTGGCATGACAGAGACGCTAGCCTCGTTCGCCATGTCCTACTGGTACCTAGAGCGGAACGGCATCGCTTTCAAGGACCTGTGGTTTGCCTTTGGCAAGATCCCGCCATACGTGACCGAGGACTACTACAACGCCAGACTCACAGAGGCATCCTCCATTTACTTTGTCAATCTGGTCGTGATGCAGTGGTTCAACCTAATGGCTGTGCGCTGCCGTCGGCTAAGCATCTTTCAGCACCCGCCGGCGTTTAACAAGGCGACACAGAATCTCTACCTATTTCCCGCGATCCTGTTTGCGCTGAGCATGGTTTTCTTGTGGTGCTACCCACCAGCAATCCAGCGCGTTATCATCACGGCGCCGGTGCCGGTGGAATACTGGTTCCTACCATTTGCGTTTGGCATTTACATCATCTTTATCGATGAAGCGAGACGGTTTCTGGTACGCAAGCACCCAAACAGCATCATTGCCAAGGCTGCGTGGTAAAGCAGGAGGCTAGTCCAAGCTGCCGTAGATAGGGAAAAGGAATATGCGTCGCTCATCGTAGTTTTACATTTTAATCTGTGCACAATCTACATTTGTTTGTATGTCCTGTGAAATGAGTAGAGGAAAATAAAGTACGTGGTCACGAAGAATCGCCCTTGGTAGGCTGTATAGCAGACTGATGCATGATGTAGGGCAAGGTAGGGGAAGCGAGGGCCTACGTGCCACGGGTTCATGTGGCAAAAGCATCATTGTAGTTTCCGCGATGAAAGAACATGGGTCGAGGGGTCATTTTGGGAGGCTGTTTGCTAACTTTGTTCGATGCAACTTGGACGAAATCCTGTGGAACAGCTCTGGAGATGAATCGCTATGCGAGCAAAAATGTGGCAAACGGAGAATGGAGACTAGAATAGGGGAATGGCTCAATAGGCGGCTGCGTCGTTGCGAGGCGGCTGAATAAATAATGAAGGATAATCATTTATTTATTCAACATGGGAGGAGGGATTAGACAGTCCAGTGTGATTGGTTGCGACGATACAAAGAGTATCTAGTACTGGTGAGGCTTGCTACAGTACTTGATATAACGTACAAGCAGTAAGGTGCTCTTATGTACCCTACCGTGCATCACGCGTAGTGACTACCTGGCAGCTACCCGTCCCCCTTTCAGTGCATACCAAGCCGTCACTAGTCCCCTTTTAGTCATCTTTTCTCGGAAGGGCGAGGCTCCACCAAAATCTTTCTTTGGTGAGCGAGCGTCACGTCTGCCTCCGCCTGGGACAGAGTAGAGTGTCCCAGCTCCCAGGACCCGGGCGGAGGCAACAAGAACCTTTTGCCCATTTTATTGTGCGCCGCCTCTGGCCCAAACCGCCAGCATGAGACCAGACCACGGCACCAAAAAATTGCTACCAAGCAGACAAGCCCCAGAATGAAAAACCCTCGTCGCCCCAAACCCTTTTCCCCCTTCCCATCATCATCACCATCTCTCCCCTTTGCCGAAGCAACCCTTCGTCGGTACCGCATCACCACCATCGCCAACCGCCCGCCAGCTAAATCTGCTCCACGTAATACGCCCCTGGCACACGTTCGGCACCACACCACGCTGCCTGCCTAACAAACCTCACCACCAACGGGCTACCAGAGCAAACGCCGTGGGCGAAAATTTGATCCACCACCACTTTGCACTCGGCTTCATCGGTTCATCGACACCCGCCATCTCCCATCGTCGACGACCGATACCTTGACTCTTTTCGCGCCGCTGTACCGCGACGCCGCGTATTTAATCCGTCTCAACCACCCAATTTTCCTTCCATGGCTCCACCGAACAAGACATCTGACGGCCGACGCAAGTCTGGAGCCAAGCCAAGCTTGGTCGTCACCTTGTCTGTCCCTTCCGCTGTCTTGCGCGAAGCCATCGGCATGGACCCGATCAAACCAGAGTCGCCCGCCGCTGCTAGCGACCAAAAGGACTCGAGCGACCAAAAGGAGTCGCCGTCCACACCGGTTCCAGCTGCCAATGGCAGTGGTGAGAACGCGTCCGATTCGAACGCTGCCACACCTGCCGGTGAAGGCACGCCTGCACCGTCCGTCATGGGACCTCCCACTGATGGTAGAAAAAAGGGCGTCAAACGAGGCGCCGCGGCGACGAATGAGGGCCAACTCAAGATCCGGGGCAAGCCAGGCCCCAAAAAGAAGCCGCGTCTGTAAGCATATATCTTAACCCACTACATCTGCATCGCCAATCGCTAACCTTGATTAGGGAGGACGGTACCATTGACCACGCCGCCGTTCGCGCCAACGCCGCCGCTCACAAACTCGGTCCCAAAGCAAACCAGGGCGCCATCAATGCCGGGCTGCGAGCCCTTGACAGATCGGGCAAGCCGTGTCGCAAATGGGCCAAGGGCCATTTCACGCTCAAGAGCTTTACGGGCGCTGTATGGGAAATCAATCGCTGGACCGCGCCACCCAAGGCCAATGGCGTCGAGGGCGACTCCGAGGCTACGCCGGCCGACTCTGCCGACAGCAGTAACAAGGAGAACAAGGAGAATGGCCAAGAGAACAACAGTACTGCTCCCAGCAATGGTGGTGGAGACGCCGAGATGCAGAGCTTACCCAGCGTTCAAGCTTCGTCGCCCGCACCCGCACCCACACCCGCGCCTGCGCCTGTCGCCGCTGCTTCGTAGGCGCTCCACGGCGTGTTTATCACAGCTTACATGTGACCTTTCCTTGAGTTGTTTTTATTTTTTCAACGCAAGTCTGTCAGATGCCGCCGCATTGGCTTGCATTGCGACAGTACTGTTATTGGGCTTCACTTTGGTGTGGGTTGGCGTCTACTGATTGCATGGACAGGCTGGGAGTAAACGCGGCAACCTTGCTTCGATGGCGTTAAGGGGAATTGAACTGTACGCATAGAAATTGTAAATATAGGACAGCGAGCCATGGTTTTTATATTAGATAGCGTTGGATGGGCAAATTTAATTGGTATACCCTGAGAAACGCTTTATCCCGTGTGTCTATGTGACGCCAGGCGTACGTGCTGGTAATTGCCGGAAAGCCTTGAGAGGATACGACATGGGCGAACAGCAACGCAGGCAACGCTATTACTGGAAATTGATCGTGAGATGGGTAGGGATACTTACTTGGCGTTTTTCATTGATCCGACTCTTTTCAAATCTATTATCAATCTATTGCTGGCATGAAAGCTCAGACTGGTTGCAAACTTGCTTGGCAATACCCCATGCTTACTAACATGACGACTCAGTGCCCCTGGGGGCCTGACGTCTGCTGCATGCTACATTGCTACAAGCAATTCGATGGGAAAGAGCATATCGAGCGTATAATACACCTGTCTCGAGATGTAAAGATGGAAAAGGCAAGCGATAACGTAATGCGGAAAACCAAAGGCCTCGATAGGCCAGGGCGCGGGGGTGTCAATGTCGATTCCTAAAGTCCGTTCACGAGGTTGGACTAGAGCAGCGTAGCGGCGGTAGAGCACTGTGGCCAAGCAAACAAGGCAGATTGCAGGCGCAAAGACGCGTGAGCAATTCCACTGCATTAACCCAGGTAAGAACATTGCAGAGCCGAGCGGGTCATTGATCGCGGCGCTTGGTCGAGTCGGTCGCAGGAATCGAGGTAGCTTAAGCTTCTAGCAGTCTACTTGTCCAGGGCCTGTCACCAATAGGTTCTATGCCCGGCAGCTGTGTAAGTAGTAGGTCGAAGCAAGTGAGGTATATAGATCTTTAGGTGCGTCATTACAAATTAATAAATAAGTCTATCTGTCAACGTATCGCTCCAGGGTATACGGTTCTCATGCATTCACAGGCAGTGGTCGCAACCACTTCGGACTTGATCATGGCAAACACAATGTTGAGAAACGATTAGATTTGTCCATTTGCCGAGAGAGAAAATCCCGCATTCCTATTTTTAAATTCGTCATAATGCTCTCGGTTCGCTCCTCGGGTCCCCCTGAAATGAAATAACAAATCCGGTCACCCATACCAGCGCTGGGGCTTTTTCTTTGATAGCTAACTACGGATACTCGGAAGTTAATCTGCTACCTGCGAAACCCCGCGCGCCAAGTGTCTTTCTTAGGTACCAGACTAATCCAGGCCCAACCCAGGAAGCGGTGCTCATCAATCACAGGAAGCAGCCAGCTCCAACCTCGATTGTCCCGCTCTCCCTCCGCCACGAGCCGTGCATCATCGACGGCCACACTCCCATCGCGGCTTTTCGACTTGTCTCTTCGCGTCCTTTGCCCCCCGCAGCTCGGCCCAAACATATTTTCTTCCGGCCGCACACGTCGGCTGCGCGCATTTTCTTCGTCATCCGTCACCCCCCCCATCACGTCCTCGATTAACTACGACCCGAAACCCCCATCCGGGGTCCGTTGCATAGTACTTACTGCCTGTTGCGCCGTCAACCCCCCTCCAGCTACCTGGCTGCTGCAACTCCATAAAAACCACGACGCACAACCACGCTGCCACGGTGCTCTCGGCCACCGCTGTCCCTCCTGTATTACATTTTCCCCTCTCATGCCTGACTCTGGTCAGCATCGCTCATCTGGTGCAGATCCAGGCCTGACCCCATCGAGGCGCCCATCCTCGCAAGACCACGCCGCCGCCACCGCCGCCGACCCCGGACACTGGGCTTACAATTTCTATACTCACCCGGCCCGCGTCTCGATACTTGACGGCAACGGTGATCTGACCATCGACCCGACCGCCTTTCTCTTGTGCTCCGCTGGGCAGCTGACTGCCACCATGGACGATTCGGCTCCCGCCAACAGCCTCATGTGGCGCTCTAGCACCAGCCTGCCATCTTTCTCTAGAGCCTTTGACCTGTTCACCAATGGCGATGCTGATGACGCCTCCGACGACGGCGAAGACCAATTCTTCATTCCCTCGTACCTCCAGTCGTCGACGTACATGCACAAGCTTCAAGAGGCACACAGATCACGCACACACTCAAGGCGAGAGCAAAAAAGGAACGGCACCCTGTCCACTAGCAATGGGTTTTCCTCCAACCTTCTGCCTACGGGCTCTCACCGCGGCCTCTCCCACAACGTTGTCGAGCGCGGTGTCTTGTCCGAGGACAAGGATGGCCTCTCCCCGCTGCCCACGAGATGGGACAAAGGCGACACGAGCGGTGGTCTTGACCTCCATACCGATGGGCTCGGCGTCAAGTATGTGGAGATTAAGGGCCAGCTTGATCGCGACCACGAGGCCTGTGGTATCCGAGCCGACCATCACATGCCGCTGCAATGTGGCATATACTATTTTGAAGTCCAGATTCTGTCTGGCCGACGTGACGAGTGCGCTACGCAACTTTGCCCATTCCGGAGAGCACGCAATGCTAACATAGTCTAGTACCTTTATTGCTATTGGATTCTCTACTAAGGCAGCATCTACAGCGAGGCCTGTTGGCTGGGAGCCGGAATCGTGGGGTTATCATGCCGACGATGGCCGATGCTTCTCTGGGCAGAACATTGGGCGACCTTTCGGGCCAACCTTTACTGTTGGTGATGTCATCGGCTGCGGCGTCAATTTCCGCGATAGAACATCATTTTTTACCAAGAATGGCGTCAAACTAGGTATATATTGTCTGCAGAGGAGTGCCGGTGCTGTGGGCGCAGCTAACAGAAGTAGGCGTGGCTTTTCAGGATATCACGAAGAACAGACTGTACCCCTCCGTTAGCTTGAAAAAGACGGGCGAGCATGTGCTAGTCAACTTTGGCCAGACGCCTTTTGTGTATAATATAGACGACATGATGAGGGTATGTTTTACTTGGAGGGTTGTATGAGACATCGCTGACCGTACAGGAACAACGAGAAAATATACAAAAGAACATCGAGTCGACCGACACCTCGAAACTCGAGCCCGGCCTTGGCGAGACAGACTTTATTCAGGCGCTGGTGATGCAATTTCTCCAACACGACGGCTATGTTGAGACCGCGCGCGCATTTGCCGAAGATCTCAAGATCCAAAATGAAGCCTTGAGCTCTAATACAGGGCCGATGTCCAGCGTCATAAATATTCGTGACGATGAAGATGCCAACAATCGACAACGTAGGCACCACGGCTGACCTCTACTGTCGAATCGAAGCTGACATTTCCAGGCATCCGGAGAGCAATCTTGGAAGGAGATGTCGATCGAGCTCTAAAATATACAAACGCATACTACCCTCACGTTTTACGAGAGCACGAAACCGTGTACTTTAAGCTACGCTGCCGCAAGTTTATCGAAATGGTCCGTAAGGCGGCCCAGCTCAACATGTTGGCAGAGGCTGCAGAGAACGGCAGCGCCCAGGATATGGACATGGACGCTAACGGGGACGGCTACGAATGGGATGACGCGCCGGTAGCACAGAACGAGAGTGAGGTATTAGACCTGGAGAGAGATATGCTAGAGTATGGCCAAGCTCTGCAAGCAGAATACGCCGAGGACTCGCGCAAGGAAGTCGGCAAGGCTTTGGACGAAATCTGGTCGTTGATCGCATATCGCAACCCACTGAAGGAACCTCAAGTCAGCCACTTGCTGACCCGCAAGGGCCGAGTGGTTGTGGCAGAAGAGCTCAACTCTGCCATTCTATGTACGCATTCCTTTTGCATTCACCCTGTCGGCTACTAACAAGTTGCAGCTTCCTTGGGTAAATCGTCACGGGCGGCGCTAGAAAAGGTGTATGCTCAGACGAGCGTGCTTCTGGAAGACTTGAGACAGGACGGCGGCGACGGCGCCTTTACGTCGGTCGGGGATGTAATAGGTGAGATTCAGGCCGAGAACAGCGCTTAGATGGCAGACTGGTGGGAAGAGATCCTGGACTCTTCGCCGTCAACAGCGCTTGCTGCAATGGTGGCAAACGCATGACATGACATGGAGTTTGGAGTTTGGCTATTTTTGAGAATTGTTTGCGAGTTTGCTTTCCAGACAGCCTGTAGCTTTCAGAGGCTACCGCTTGCGCATCACTTCTGCACTATCATTATGAAACCATCGGCCGGTCGGTGCTGTATCTTACTATCAACTCAATCATTTACCTGCACAGGACTAGATATTCTTTGTATTGCACGAGGACTCATGGTTGATTAATTGATCAAGCTGCCGTCTTGTTAGAATGAAGGATATATGTCGTGTGTGTAATGTACAAAATACAAATACATGTATGCAACCTGGGCTCAGTTTTTCCAATAGCGCTGATATAGCCTGTCCGCATGACGCACCAGATTATCAAACATTTTCAACCTGCTCACCAGCTCTTCATCACCCCACGTCAGCTGGCCACCGACAAGCAAATGTGTGTATGCAAACAGCTCTGCATCCAGCAGACCCGGTCCCTCTGCGCCGAGAAACCACTCTGCCTCGCCGAGAAGCGCTGCCAGAGCCGCAAACGCTTCTTCCGCAGCCCGAAGAAGCTCCTCTACATCAATGCCGCCGTTCTTGCGGCGTGTTGCTACGAGTATTTCCGTCGTGGCGGCTGTGCGGAGTGTATGGCGCTGCGTCGGCCGAAGGAGCGCCGAGGAGGGGAGGTACAGAGCGGTGAGGAGAGCGTCGTTGGCAGGGTTTACGTATAGAGAATGAAGCTATATGATTGCAGTTAGCAACCCCGCGTTTTTCTTGGGGGGAAGGGGAGGAATGAGGTAGAAGAGTGCGTACCCATGCGGGCCGGACACTGTGAGCAATGAGCGCCTGGTATGCGTCGATGCGCGGCGAGGGATCGTCGAGATTGGCGCTCGGTGCTTGTTGTTTGGCGAATCGCGCAATCTTTTCGCCCGTCAGCGGTACTACTGTCGAGTGTACGCTCGATGGGAGCATCAGAAACGGGAGGGCGCCCGATGGCGAGGCGTGGTTGGAGGACGACACGAGGCGAACGTCAATGTTTGCTATTCTTAGAATCGTCTGCCCGAGGCATCAGTAATGTTTCCACATCACGCTGCAAGTTCCCAATATGTTGATTTCTAAAAAACACACACCTGCCATTTCAAGCATGTCGGGTTGTAACTGGGCAATCCCAGTTGCGCATCACACTCGTGCGCAAAGACGTATAGCCGCGGCGGGAGCGCATCGTCCGTATCTGGGGCGCGCGCGGGGAGCGCCTCGGAGGGGTGCACGGCGAGCGGGAAAGATTTGAAGAGTGAGCGTATGGGCGCTGGAGCGGAGAAGAGTCCCGGGGATGACGAAGATGCCATTTTTTTTTAATTCGCCAAAGCCCTGCGAGGTGTGTGCTACGAGTGAATGTGCGACATTGGGGATTATGGGAAAAAGGGTAGTTGTTGGCAGAAAATGTTGGACAGTGACGTTGTGACGGGAAGCGGTGAGAAGTGGGCCGTCAACTTTTGAGGTGGGCGTGTAAGTTGGCATTGAACATGGATTTCTCAGGGATTGATTCAGATATGCACCGCGAAGAATACTTTTGTTAATTAAGAATACATGCGCTGAAGTCGATCTGGTGTAGTCCGGTGGATTCAGATTGATGGGTTGATGACAACCAGCCTCGTGTCAGGGAAATCATGAAGACAATAACCCGGAACAGCCACCTCTGGCACCTGAAGAAAAAAAGACTGTTGCTTTATCTGTTGATGCTTGAAATTGAGACGAAAGCTACAGACTATGAATAATGCCATCTGGGAAATCTAGCTACCATTTAGGCATTAACTAAACAATGTGAATTGTGGCGGGTCTTTTAGAGAGCACTCAAACGCCGCTATTCACATGTTGTGGCATCGACCCCACCAGGCGCAAAACCAGGCACGACGACTTTGCTCAAGTTACGACTTTTTTCCCATTTTTACCACCAAAGGGTCTCTTCCAGGGCTGCGGCTGCTTACTCTTGAAGAACTGCGAGCGAACCACATTTGACACGGCGGTTTCCAGCTTTCCCGAAGCTGCACCGATTCGCCCGACGATCCTTTTGCAAACAGCCCCCGCGCGCGCAATGGAGGCCGAAACCGCCGTCGAGCAGGCGCAGGCGCGCCACCGCAAAGAGCTCAAAGATCTGCAAGGGCGAATCACGAATAAAAAGAAGAATGCGACTAAAAAGACGCGAAAAGCGGTCAACGATGACTGCGAGCAGCTGGAGCGTGCGTTGCGCGAGCAGCAGGCGGCCGAGATTGCTGCGCTCAACGGAGAGATGCCAGCGGACGATACAGCGGACGATGCAGCGGACGATGCAGCGGACGAGGTCAACCAGACACAACTAGGCGCCGACGAGGCACTATCGCAACGAGCCGAAGCTGAATTAAATCTGGCCACGGAGAAGGAGACGGACAGGGTAGACGACAATACACAGCAGCAGCAGCAGCCTGGCAAGAAGCGCAACAGACAAAAAGAGCGATTAGCGCGGCGGGCCGCGGAGCAAGCAGCAGCCACGACCAAAGCCGAGATGGAAGCTTCCACCATGACGAACCACCGCGCCATGGAGAATGCCTACATGAAGAAGAAGATGGAAGCCGAGGGTCTCGTCGAGCAAGACATTGCGCCAGACGGGCACTGCCTCTTCTCCGCTGTGGCGGACCAGCTACAAACACAGCTATCGATTCCTCTTGGTGGCACCACCACTACTACTACTACTACTACCGTGAGCGAGACCAAAGAGCCTGCGTACAAGACGGTAAGACGTGCGGCGACGGATTTCATGGCGTCGCACGGCGACGACTTTGCACCGTTTGTCGAGGGGGACTTTGCGACGTACCTGGCGCGGATGCGCGACACGGCCGAGTGGGGAGGCGAGCCGGAGCTCATGGCGCTGGCGCGGGCGTATGGCGTGGGGATACGCGTGGTGCAGGATGGACGGACTGAAGAGATTGGTGATGGAGATAAGGTGATGTGGTTGGCTTATTATCGTCATGGTTACGGCCTCGGCGAGCATTATAATTCGTTACGGCGTCAGCCTTGAGAGAGATTCCATGGGGGGGGGGAAAGTAATTGACAGCAGTAAGCATGTGCCGAAAGTCGGCGGTACGAGCCCTTTTTTATCAGCCAAGATATGCCATGACAACCCTTTTCTTTCTTCTTCTTTTAAAAAGAAATGCATCTAGAGAATGTAAAGTGGCTAGCTAGGTTGCCGTTTCTTGGCTGAGTTCCCAGGCGTTTACCAACCATGCCGTTTATGAATATGAGGCTCTGTCTATGTACAGCACTCTTCTACCGCGTTCAATTTTCTTGCACATGTTCAAACTCTTGTCCCTTTTCTTTGCCTGTCCGTTTTCCTTTGTAATTTCCCAGCAGAAATGGGCTATAGACTCCAAACCGAAATGAAATCCCGCACCGAGCCATCCTCATTCATGCCCGCCTTGTGCGTGCGCTGTGGCTTGACAAGGCTGATGCGATGCAGCGCACCATCCGTGGGTTTTATATCGTGTGTCTCAATGACCGTGCCGTCGTCATTGTATCTCGGCTCGTGTCCGGGGTGCGAGAGCAGCGCTTCGTAGACCTCCGGGTTGACGCCCCAGGGCGGTCCCATTTCGGAGAGGGGCTTGCCGGACGGGAATTCAAGACACACGAGGCGGCCGTCGTGGGATATGAGCTCAGACATGCGCTTCGCCCATTGTGGTCGGAGTTTTGGGGGTAGGGCGCAGAGAAACTAGCGATTTTTGGTGTTAGTCGGGGAAAAGTCGACCACCAGGGCGAGCGAAGCGAGGAGAAAAAGAAAAGAAAAAGGCTGTACCGTATAGTCGTATATAAGATCAAACTTGCCAGACCCGTCCGTACCCAGCCCGTTTGACCAGTCCTGCGCAAAGAAATCCGCAACAACCCATGATTCTTGCCCAAGTTGTACATTGCCCTGCGGCTTGACGCCGCCAGGCGCCGCCTCGAGCGCCGCGACATTCTCTTTTGCGCGACGAATACCATCCGCACTGCTGTCCAAGCCGACGACGTCATAGCCAAACGTCTTGAGGAGCAGCACGTCGTGGCCGCGTCCGCAGCCAGGCACGAGGGCTGTGCGGCGAACAACAGCGCCAGTGGCATCGCGGAGCGGGTTGCCGCGGCGGTCGACGTCTTGCGCGGGGGCAATCAGGTCCGGGCGCTCGGTGAGCAGGTCGGCGAGGGCGAGAGAAGGGCCGCCGCGGTCCCAGGGGTGGAAATCATTTCGATATAGATTGTCCCAGGCAGAAGCCTGGTCTTGAGACGTGTGGCTGGCCGCAGCAAAGGTGTCGCGAAGGATGTTGGGGTTGGAGGTATCTGGGGCGGCCATGGTGATTGAGCAGCTCGTGCAAGATTTCGAGAAAGAAAAAAAAAGGTCCCAGGGACAGAGAATTTAAGGAAAGAGTAAGCGGGTTACGAGATGACTGTAAAAAAACAAAAAGAAGATTGGTTAGGGTGAAGTGACAATGCTTGAATGGTGTCAAGCTTGTCGGGAATCGTCTGGAGCGAATTTTGGTGGGGGCGGGGTGCAAAGTGGCGTGCCATGGCCGGAGTGGACCGGGATGACGTGCGGCGATGGAAAACGAAGAATCATGACTGTGTTTTACGGAATTACGGTCACTGAACAAGAGGTGAAGAGGTATTTGAGTGGTTTAACAAGTCTTATCTACGCAAGTTCTGATGGAGAGGCGGCTGCGGCGTGTGTCTGCAGCCGGCTGTACCTACATGGCACCACAACGTGCAGCGGGCGTGACGTAGGTGGGCGTGACGAACCGCGACACACTTTGAGTCAAAGCAAACACGAGCTAGCGACAGTAATGTGTACTAATAAATGATGAAAGAATTAAAGAGACGATTAAACTTATCGTAAAAAAAAAAATGAAGCCTGTTGATGATTTAAAGACCGATTGGTGTTGGGACCGGGGTTTCTGTATTCCTGAAAAGCTGCAGGCGCGCAATTACTGCAATGGGCGCCCCCAACACTTGGCCTATCAGAGCGCCGCCGTCTCAACCGGGAGCCTCGGCTGACAGCTCACTCCGGGGTTTGTTTGCCAGCTCACCTCATCCATCCAGCTCGCTGCAGTATGCACCCCCCATCACGCTGCATTTAAAGGAAGAGATATTGCAGGAAAAAAAAAAAAAGAGAGTCTTCTCTTTTTAACATCATCATCTTTTTCTTCCTGACATAGCCGTCGCAATGGACTCGTCTAGCCTATTCAACATCAAGGTATGTAGGCCCCCCCCCCCTCACCTATAATCCACAAGTGTCAAGCTCACCATGTTTTCCACCAGGGCAAGAATGTCCTCGTCACTGGAGGTAACTTGAACCCGCACCAAAAGCTTTTCATCCATGATCCATTGCTAAAGCAGGAAAATACATAACAGGCGCCAAAGGTATCGGCCGGATGATTACACAAGGCTACGCCGAGTCTGGCGCCAACGTCTTCATCACCGGTCGCGACGCCAAAGCATGCGACTCCGTCGTCGCCGAGCTCCAGCCCGTCGCCGCCAAAGCCGGCGGCTCCATCTTTGCCATCCCTGCCAACCTGCAATCCTACCAAGAATGCGAGCGCCTCGTCGCCGAGCTCGCCACCGCGATTGACCGCGCCGCCGGACGCGCCAAGGGCCTGCACGTGCTCGTCAACAATGCCGGCGCCGTCTGGGGCGCCGACATTGACAGCTACCCGGACCACGCGTGGGACAAGGTGCTGACGCTCGACCTGCAGCGCGTCTTTACGCTCTCGCAAAAGGCGCTGCCGCTGCTCGAGCAGGCCGCCACCGCCGACGACCCGGCGCGCCTCATCCACATTGGCTCCATTGACGGCATCCGCACCCCCGCGACGGCCAACTTTGCCTACTCGGCGGCCAAGGCCGGCCTGCACCAGCTCTCGCGGCACCTGGCGCGGGATCTCGGCCCGCGGTTCGTCACGAGCAACGTGATTGCGTGCGGACCGTTCCCGAGCCACATGATGAAGGCGACGCTCGAGGCCGCGGGCGACTACATCAAGAGCGAGGTGCCGCTGCGGCGGGTAGGCAAGCCCGAGGACGCGGCGGGGGCGTGCATTTACCTGTCGAGCAAGGCTGGGTGAGTTCTATTTTACCCCCCTTGTTGAATGTTGATTGTTTTCCATGTCTTTGTTTGCATGATAATCATCCCAATTTGTTTGTTTTGCTTGTTTGTCTGTGTTGCGCCCGCTAACATTTTTGCAGTGCCTTTTGCAACGGCGCAACGATTCGTGTCGACGGTGGCGCATCGCAGGTGGCCAAAATCTAACATGTAGTTGGCTCTTATCGTGTAAAGTAGCAAATCACTGATGACGAATTCGTCCCGCATAAGAAAAGTTCACTGATAATTAAAAAGACCATGCGCTGAGAAGAAGGGCTTGTGTAATCGCCACTGGCATGTATTATTGGCCAAACCAATCAACCAGCCAATCCATTCATCCGTTTACGTAAAAGGGGAGGGGGTATACCGGCTATGCTATTTAAATACAATCAGGAAGAGGAAATATCGCAGAGAAAATCTAGTATCCACCAAGCAGTTCTAGATGTAATAGCAAAAAGCAGAAAAACACCTCGAGTCTACGCCGGAAGCGATGCAAAAAGACGCGGGCCAGTCCAAAAGAAAATGGGCCAAATTTCAAGAGTGTTGCAAACAGAAATGCCGTCCCAACAATTAAGGTGCAGCCCACAGGGGTCCAAGCCGTCCTTTTGAGGCGAAGAATAGATTTGGGCGAAGAGAAAGAGATTGAGAGAAAACTTTGTCGTTCAGGGCTCAAACAGCCGTCGTCTCGAAAGTGGCACTGTTGCGAGGGGACCAAGTGGAATTTCAACGGCGTGGTGCGACTGACATGTGACGAGTAATCGTGCGACAATGCCAATGTGGTCGGGTGAAGGGGGAGCGAGTAGAAAGGACAAGCAGAAAGCGGTCGGTTGCGCGGAGAGAGAGAGAAAGAATCGGCGTCATAGACCGCAGTTTTCAAATTCGCGGACCATGACAGCGACCTGGGCGCGCTTGGCCGCCTCGGCGACGAGGGTAAAGTCTTTGAGAAAGGCGTCGGTCGAGGGCTGCTTCATGTCCTGCTGGGCCGGCGGGGCGGGCACCGAGGTCATTTGCTCGGGCGAGGTGCGGAGAGACGACGAGGCAGAAGTATTCGAGGACGAGGAGGCGGAGGCGGAGGCGGCGGCGGCCTGCGACGGCGAGGAAATGGGAGCATTCATTGCGAGTTTGCAATGTTTGATTAAAAGGCTGAGGAAGGAAGAAGCAGGAGGGTGGAATTCGAAAGGTTCGGTCAATGTCGGTTGTTTGTTTTGCGACGGAAAAAAACCGGTGTCGAATAGTGGCCCGCCCAGAGAGTTGTGGAGTGTGAGCAGGCAAAAAAAAAAAAACCGACTCGCGTGAGGAGGGAGCGTAGCAGAAGATGCGACGGGGGAAAAGTATGATGAGTCGAGAAGAGAAGGAGAAGAAGAAAGAAAAGTCAACTGCCCGGGATCGCGTGGCATAAAAAGAGACGGAAGAAAATCAGTGACGACTGTAAAGTTGTGTGTATGTGGCTGTTTGGGTTCTGTGGCGCGCCTGCGGGCGTAATGGTTGCCTCGAATTGTACCTTGCTGCTTGTGTCAGGTTCAGAAACGACAATAGCTGGTGACGAAAGTGGGCAGAGAAGAAATGTCAAAGGATTGGGCAAGTTTGCAGGATGAATGTTATAATCAATGTTGGGGATGTGTCGGGATGAGGAAGCGGGGAAGATGCGTCGTCGGTTGTGGTGGGTGTGGCAGAATTTTGCACAAGGCACACAGCAGTTTCCCGAGTGAGCAAGCGAGCGTAGCACAATTGCCAATAATGACGGGAAGACGCCTTTTATTTAGCTTTTCCTTTATTATGGTCAACGACGCATTCACAACAACTATGTAGTGGGATGTGTAGCCTAATGTACTCGGCGCGGTACTTGTACATACTCGTCATCGTCACAGGTGGTGGTGGTAGGTACATGGCACTGATAGCGCACTATAATTGTACCTGGCGCGTGGAATGACGCGCACTAGGTACCTCAAGATGCCGCCGACTCTAGCCCGTACATTCAAAGACTTCCCGAGACATGCCATGCATTGATTTACCTGCCACTAAATTATCACTCAACACATTATTCTCACTATACTCTCAGCCATTTCTATTCCCTTCTGTTGGACACAACTATCAGCCGAGGCAAATCAGAGCGTTACTGAGTAGGCCGCTTCCAGGAGCATCATGCCAAAAGCGGACGTGTGATCCACGATCCACCCCCGCACTAGCCACCAAGGTTTTAGCAAGGTTTAGCAAGGGTTACAAGTGCGCTTTTAGGCCCTCGCCAGCTTGACTACCTATAATAAAATTTTAGCAACCATTTTTCCAATTTTATACCGAGCAAGTATATTGAGTATAGACTGAATAAATATAGATTAAAAAAAAAGTACAGATGAAATAAGATTGGATATTAGCTATCAAAAACCTTATCAGAGTAATAAAGAAAAACTAGCTATTATCCTTTGAAAATTAAATTGACACCCGTTTTTAAACCAAGATACCGGGGGCTCTGCTCGCTCTCCACTCATCCGCCACGCTCGAGTATGCGGCGCCGAAATCGTTGCCAAACAACTCCTTCTGGCAGTATCGGTAGTTGACCTCGAAGAGAATCTGGGCCTCAAACTCGCTCTCGCGGAGGTTGGACTTGCGTCGCTCACACTGAACGGCCTCCTTGAAGAAGTGAGTCTTCTCGAAATATTCGCCCTGAGAGCACAGGCACTCCCACATCTGACGTCCCGACAGTTTCTTGCAGGCAGTCTCGGTCTCGACCTTCTTCTGGCAAATCTCGGGATCCTCACTGCTAGAAGAAGAAGAAAACGCAGTCGCAGCGGTCGAGGGGCACTCACACTCACAGGTGTTGGAGCCAGGAGTGGTGCCGTCAGTCTTGACGGGAGTGCTGCCAGTCTTGCCGTCAGGCTTGACGTGAGTGTTGCCAGTCTCGCCAGTCTTGCCGTCAGTCTTGACGGGAGTGCTGCCAGTCTCGCCAGTCTTGCCGTCAGTCTTGACGGGAGTGCTGCCAGTCTTGCCGTCAGGCTTGACGAGAGTGCTGTCAGTCTTGCTGCCAGGCTGGCCAGAGGTGCCGTCAGTCTTGCTGCCAGGCTGGCCAGTCTTGCTGCCAGGCTGGCCAGTCTTGCTGCCAGGCTGGGAAACGCCATCGACGACTTCGCACTCATCTTCGTTGTTCACGGTCTTGCTTCCATCGGTAGGAGACGGAACCTTGGAGTTACCAGCGGTCTCCTTGACGGGAGGAAGCTCTTGCTTCTTGCTATCACTAGGAGCCTGGACGACCGTACCCTCGGTACCGACATGCTCCTTCGCTTGCTCGGCCAGCTTCTCGTCCTTGCCACCATCGCAAATGACTTCGTTGACCTGGTCAAACTGCTTCTTGTCCTCCACCATCTTGGGGGGCTCCTGCTTGTCAACGCCCTTGTTCACGAAGCCGATGGTGAACTTGCCGTTGGCATCAACGCTAGGAATGCAGTCAACGATAACCCAGACGATGTAAACACGGCAAGGCTTGCCGTTGATGTCAATGATGTGCCCTTCAACAGGGCCGACGATAGGGCCGGGGGCAAGGGTGGTTGCGGGAAGAAGCGAGGTAGTACCTGTCGAGGCGGAGCTCGAGGTTGTGATGGTGACAAAGGTGGAGGGAGTAGGTCTGGTGGTTGCAGTACCGTTCTTGAATGGGGCAGAAGAGATGGAACTGGTGGAACTGGTGGAAGTCTTATCTTGACCGGCAGCAGGCTCCTCTTCGACGGCAATTATGACGGGGACCTTGACTTGATCAATGACGGGGGCGACGGGAGCGGCGGTAGCGGTGGGAGCGGCGGTAGCGGTGGGGACAACGGTTGAGTTCTTGCCATTGTCAGGCTTAGGGGCGGCAGGAGTGACTTTGCCTGCGCCCTGCTTCTTGGGGACCTCGACGCCGGCCGTTTCATAGTAAGACTTGGGGTCAGCAACAACGCCAATGAGACGGTTGAGATTGTTGCCTGCTGCCGGCTCGGGCCTTCTCTTATTGAGAGCAGCAATAAACGCCCCGTAGCTCTCAGCGGGATTGGGAACCTTGCAGTACTTCTCGTCGACCTCCTTGTAGTAGTCGCTCCAGAACTGCTTGTGGCTATCCGCCTGCAGGCCATTCTCACGCTTGCATTGCACGCAGGCAGCAGCATCCTGCAACAGAGAGCTACCTTCGCCGCACAGGCATTGGCGCTGGGCTTCGCGCTCCTCAGCGTTGGTGGGGTTGGTAGGGCAGAGCGCCATCTCGGTCCTCATCTTGGAAGCGCAAGGCCAGATGAGGTCACCGACCTGGGAGTCGACCTTGTGGCAGGCATCAAACTTCCAGATATCAAGCTGGTTGAAAGCCTCGGGGATCTCGATTCTATCAATCTTGCTGGCGGCTTCCTTGATGGGCTTGGAGCCCTGGGCCATCACATGGCTACCGAGCGTGACGGCGCCAATGGTGACGGCGTTGATTCTCATGGTTGCTCTTTTTCTTGACGATCGACCGAGAAAGGGTAGGAAGAAAAAGCGACAAGGGAGTTGAAAACTATTAAGGCGTGAAACAGTCGACGGTTAACGAGAGTAGATGCTGAGTTAGCAAATGCCTAAAGTAAAAGAATGAAAGGCAAGGTGATCGAGTTGATGATCTCCTAAAATGGCAGGTGTAGAAAAAGGGCCATCTGAACAGCTTTATATCGAAATCGTCTACAAACCCAGTCGCCCAAATCGAAATGGATGCTCGGCCTGTCGGGCTAGCCGGGGCGATCATGACTCGTCGGATATGCAACGCGTGCCACCGCCTGTTTCGTGAAATGACACCTTTGGCTTGTTGAGCAGGTTCCGCCCCCTTTTTTTTTTCTCACCCAAACTATTATTACTTTCTAATAAAAGAAGAAGGCTGTGCATGAATTAGACAAACTGCATAGTATAATTACAACCTTGACTACTGTGCCTGACTAGCGAGAAGATGCCAAGATTATGGACAGGGTTAGCTTCGCTTTTGATGGCGCGATCCCACAATTGCCGAAGAGGCGTAGACCCGTAAGGCGTAGGGCCAAACGGTCATTTGGCCCATCAGCTCAAGCTGTCTGACTTGGCGAAAAGGATGTAACGTTGGCCAGCCTCTGCGGGAGGCCCGAGGAGAGCGTACGTAGTAGGCCCGCGCAAGGCGACAAAACAGCCGCTGACGCATCAGTCGGTAGCCTTCATCCGTAGGAAGCCTTAATCCGTAGGGAACCCACAAAGCATGATACTAGTTGATCTCGCGTCGCCAGAGGCCCCGCAGTCTAGAACCATGAAACCCATATAATACAGCGGACGCTGGCGACGTGAGACCAGGCCAGGCACAAGTGCATTGTCTTACTAGTTAGGAGACCGTTTAAGCTTATCCTCATGATCGCCAGCCAGCGCAAAGCCCTAGTTAGAGCAACCAGCAAAGTTCTTCTAGAAACTGCCAAGAACACTGTGGAAGATGCGATGGAGCCAGGATGCCAATCAATAAACATTGGACGACGCTTGATGGCGCGTTTAGATTCCCACCAAGCTGCAGCCAAGCATGACGATGCCCACGACTGATATTAACCAGTGGCCCCCCCCCTGTTTTTTGGCTGCCAACCATACAGGAACAAGTCTGTGGAGAGGACACGACTCTACACGTGGCGCGGTTGGCGGTTCAGCGGAACGCTGACGGAAATGCTTCTTGTTAGAAAACTCCCCCCCTTCCCCCCCGTGCAACATGTCCATGACTCGACCACCTAACTGTGCGGCAGTGCTGTCACCAAGGAGTCAAGGACTTGGCAAGAACAATAAATAGAGCAGTCCGCGCGTTCACTTTAATGACCATGTCACTCAATTTAAAGAATGTCAAAAGTTTGATGGGATTTGAGCAGCGTTTATTTAGATTAATATGCGTTAAGAGACATCCATGACTCACATGAAAGGATGCGACAAATCCATAGCGAGTGGTCGCAAGAGCAATCCTTGCCAAGCATAGAGGGATCATACGCCTGCATTGACATAATATCTATATTTCTTCGCAGTTTGGTGGCGTTCTATGCGACAAAAGTCACATGATGCGTCCGCGGCAGAAGAAGGCTCCAAGGGATAAGGGGAATACCCGTCGCATATCGACGCAATCCAGAGTATCCATCGCCAATTCACCTTGTTGCATGAATTTAATCACGCCACCCAGAAATCGACCCAAGTCGCTGGTCCCATCGCAGCCGAAAAAATACAATACCCATGCAAAACCGTCCAGGTTCCTTTGTCCTCCACATGTCAGTCAGCACAGGGCAAGAGGTGACAAACTTTATTATGCTTCCAAAAAAGTCATTTATTACGCAAAAAGGTAATTGTAACTTGATTTCATTTTTTTGTTTTTTTTTTTTTTTTATTTTTTTTAATAAAAAAAAGAAAAAAAAAACTTGACCAGAGCACGTATTACATGGAGGGCACCCAAGCCGCCTGAGGCGACGACCAAAGGCTTTGTTGCTGTTGTCGTTATCGGCATTGGCCTGAAGACAAAAGGCGATGGAATAGTTAAGAGTAAGTGGCAATGATCATCTGGCTCTCGGTAAGCCTTGCGTGTCGATCGTGCTCGATCGTGCCAAGGGCCCGAGACAGCATGGCACCCGGCATCAGAGTGATGAGGCCGCTCATGCAGAGTAGTAGCATAAGAAATTAATTTGTACTTCTCATGCCCGCTGTATAGTCAGGTTCTGGGGACCGTCAGGGCTTTTTTTAGGTGACTTTGGAAATGGTATCGCCAGTACACGTAATTTCCAGACTTGTAGCTGTCCAGGGAGGGAACCACACGTATATATCAATGCCCGTTATACAGGGATCCGTTGTTGTTGTTGTTGTTGTTGTTGATGAAGCGAATTTTGCTGTCATGTCTCGGTATTCTGCGGCCCGACTTTCCGAAATGTTGGAAGTTTCAGCTGTGACTCCAAGATAAGGCGCAGCTTCTGCGCGACGTCTGGTGTTGGAGCGACCCACTTCATGCTATAATACAAGTAGATGGATAACAATCGGAAAACCGGAAAAAGACTGGGAACACAATTATTGATAACTGTGGCGGGGGGGTTTACGCGTGCACATATACCAGCCATGCTATAATACAGTGCAATCCGCCCCTGTAAATACGATGGCAAGATGTGCCTTTACCATGTACATCACTCTAAAATTAAGTCAGACGTCTCATAATCTCGCTTTTAAACTATTCAATTGAATGTTTTCTTTTTTTTAACCTTTGATTTACAAGTTGGCTTGACTGCTTGGCATCAAGTTACGTGGAAGCAGCCGTGAAGCCGATCCTGCCGGGGTCCAGCTATAAAAACGGCGCTCCGCCGGGCTATTAGACACTCGGTCCTTACTTATGTTATCCGACCATCCGAGTGATGAGTTTTTAGCAGGGGGGTGGGACACCGCTGGTCGCTTTGAATTGATTTATTATGTGACTTTGATCACATCTACGCACTAGAAGCAGGCAACAATCACTTTGAAAAATACAGCAGAGATACTGATTCAAGCTATGTAGGGTCTTCCTTGATTATGTTTACTATACCAGACTAGTTAGCGCATCATGATTTAAAAGTCATTTTAAAAGTAAGCTACATGCCTTCCGAGAACCGGCCCCCTTCCCCTCCCACCCCACATGGCTTGCAGGCCTACTTATTAGACATTCATGCATGTTGGCTACTCTGCACGGATATGTTAGACCATATTAATTCTGTCAAGCAAGTACTCCGTACAGCCGATGATGTGGCGGACTTTCCCGTGTTAGCATGCTAACCTAAAGTCAACTATAGCATCAAATTTCCGCTCCGGTAGCGAGTACGAGGTGCATGGCTATTTTTGATCTTGTCTAAATGCAATTCGCAGTACAAAGACGTTTCATTCAGTAATTGATTGATGTAGTATTTAGTGAGTTGATCGCCCATCTTTCAAATTGCTGGAGGAAGCAGATTAGTCCACGAGACCATTCGACGCCAACCCTAACCCCATGACCCACTCGGCCTCTTCGGCATTCCTTTTTGGGTGCTGGTCTGCATCATGCGATTGATTTTAGTCGTTGAGAGGGAATGATGGCTCACTTAAATTTTTCGCCATCTTTTTTCTCAAGATGTCACATATATAACACACGCGTCAGCGACAAGTTGAGCACGGGATGGGAGCTTGTTTTCCTTCTCTCGTTGCCTCGGCGGTGCCTTGGACAGACTTGATATGCTCATATCGGATATTTTGATATGCGTGTCAGGCTGAACTAAGCGTAAAGTTACACTGAATTTTTAAAATTGCCCGCGGTACAAAGACCAATTATACTGCCAAGGCCGCTCAGTCGCACATTGCCCGCGCTGTTCCTTCCTGTGCGTCCGTGAACAGCTTGGGGGTGCGCAGAATCACACACGAGAGCGATTTGTCTATCCTTGCTTATATGTGTTTACAATGGGTCATGATACTCACCGTCTCGTCCTATATTATATCTTGTGCGGACTTGCTTACGAAGCGGGGGGGCGAATGGGATCCCAATCTTTAAGGTTGTCGTACGACTTTCCTTTTCCCGTGTGAGATAAGTTGGAACACAAGTCACGGTATTGTATATAATGGCTCAGGAGGAAGTTTTGCCACCCTTCATCATAGGGCAGAGAAAGTGGACATTGTGGCCGAATCAAACCTGTACATGTCCCTGTTGAAGCAGAACTTTGTCGTCTTTGGGCTCTTTGAAATTCCCTCACTGGGAGACCCGAATCTGGAATAACTTGCGACTAGACGTGCTTAGCTACCGGGCGAACAATGAACGCAAAGTCTTGTCCTTTGGAAGATAACTGTCGGCCGCAACCAAAACGACGGCCTTTGACTCCCTCTCCGGACTCAATTAGAATGTCTCTTGCCTCTGGTGGCGCTGCGATGAGAGTGCGATTATCGAATTTGATACCTTACCAGAAGAGGTTTGGGTCAGACGACACACAGTGGGGAACCTACTGAACTGATAACGATTCCCGGGTATCATGATGTTCAGCTGCGTCGCGAGGGTTGCAAGGGAGCTTTGCTTAGACAGTCTGCTGTGAAGCAGTTGGCATTCGCCATTCTGATTGCAGCCTATTTTCCTCCATTACATGTGAATAATCTTGAGCGGTATCTTTCGCCTTGTACAACAAATACGATCGTCTTGCCGAGTCCAGATCGCCGATCGAAGCCAGTCAACATTTCATCCGTCCACATACAAGGCAGCACAAAAAGTCCGTCGCGGTCCGAAGGCTCTCTTATCAAAGCTACACATTTTAAAGATGACACCGCAAAATTATACTTTCATATAGGCTGACATGCTATTCACTGTGTCCTCGAGGTGTACAGAAAGTAGTGACGACCATTTTGAAAACATGGACACAAGCCAATTCAAGCAACGAGTTTGAATCTCGTCCGCGTCACCATTCTCCTTTTTTAACTATTTAAGGAGATTAGAATTGGCTAGGAGGAAGTTGGCATTTCATTAGATGGCTCAATGTCATTGCTTAGAAAGAAATTTGGTCAAGTCGTCTGCATACATTCGAGCAATTAGAACCCAGCCGACTTGCATTCTGAGAACAGAAGCATCTCCTCTGGAGCTCAAAGCTGTCACTGAGAACTAAGTCGACTGTCAAGGTAGATGAAAGAATGATGATTGGATCTGCCATCTGGCTTGGAAGGATGCTATTCTAATACATCGATTTCCCGCTCTTCTCTCGGCTTTCATCCGAATTTTTTTTGGGCTAGCTGCTTCTTTTCCAGAAGCCACATCCGTGGTAGTGATACCTCCACAGACCCGACCCTGCTGTATTTGTCCGCACCACACTTTTCGCGTATATCGCCAGGCCCTTACCTCGAGGTTTCGTGAAACGCCAGGTCGGCCATTTATTTGCAAGCAACGGCAGCGGCCGAGGCAATATCCTGGCAGGCGGACTTCACCGTGTCACCTGTATCACACTTCTCATATAGACCCTCAACCGACCACGGAACCAGTTGGGCGTTCTTTACCGAGACGTCAAATGTGATGCCACCGATGATATCAGCGCAAAAGTTACGCTTACCGTCAACGTCACTTTTTACATCGCTGTCATTGTCGAAAAAAAAGTCATTAATAGCGTTCTTGCAGTCGGTAACGGCGGTAATAGTAGAGACAATTTCCTGGCAGGCCAACTTTAACGTGTTATCCGCATCACAGTCCTTATGTAGACCCTTAATCGACCACGCAGGTAGCTAGGCGTTCTTTACTAAGGCGTTAAATGTGTTACCACTAATAATTTTAGTATAAAAGTTACACTTCTCCTTAATAACGCTATTATCTTTAGCGTTATACTTATAAAAAACGTCATTAATAGTACTTTAGTAGGTAGTAATAGCAGTAGTAATTTCCTAGTAAGCCAACTTTAATATATTATCTATATTATAGTCTTTATATAGACCCTTAATTAACTATATAAATAGCTAAGTATTTTTTACTAAGACATTAAATATATTACTACTAATAATTTAAATATAAAAGTTATACTTCTCTTTAATAGTACTATTATCTTTAGTATTATACTTATAAAAAACGTTATTAATAGTACTTTAGCAGGTAGTAACAGCAGTAGTAATTTCCTAGTAGGCTAACTTTAATATATTATCTATATTATAGTCCTTATATAGACCCTTAATTAACTATGTAGGTAGCTAGGCGTTCTTTACTAAGGCGTTAAATGTATTACTACTATTAATTTTAGTATAAAAGTTACGCTTCTCCTTAATGGCGCTGTCATCTTCAGCGTCATGCTCGTAAAAAACGTCGTCAATGGTGCTTCGGCAGGCGGCAACGACACTGGCGGTAGGGGCGGCATTAGCAGTGACCATCAAGCTGGCGCAAGCAGCAGCGGCGATGACAAGGTACTTCATCTTGTCGAGTTTGTCGGTGGTCCTGGTCTGAAGACGGCGATTTAAGAAGTAAAATACAGGTATTTTATACTCTGAGGATCGAAGGTTAGAGAGTAGAAAGAGATTCCTTTAGACGGAGGGCCTACTTATACGACATCGCGGCCCTAGCAGTCGTATAACTCAAACCGTAACTTGATGGGTTGACATTTTGTACTAGCCGTTTGGGGGAGCTAATAGGCCACAGAGTCCAAGCAAGACGGGCCTCAACTATGGTCACGCTGATGCATGACTTTTCAGGGTAATTAGTTGTTCTATCAATGCTTGCTTCGGGGCTTCACTGACCCAACCTCGACCTCGCAGTCACAAGGATCTTGACGTGGTGCGACTCGTACGAAATGCATAGCTTTCGTTTGTGATTTTAAAGCACCCCAGCGATGACTTTTCCACAGAGACACAGGCGGTCAATAGAGGCACTAGTGCATATAACATGGAATCGGCGCAGAGAAGTCACTAAACCAAGGACCTTGAACGAGTCCACAGACAGCTTGCAGTCTTTGTCGTCTGGCGCACTATATACGGCGTTAGGGGCACCTAGCGTAGCGTCGGCTAAAAGAGCGAGATGCTGGCGCTATTGAAATTCAACAACCTCCGACACAGATCCTCCAGATATCATGACTTATCCATAGTTGGCACATGTGGCCTCGCAACTCAACGAGACATTTATAATCAGATTACGGCAATGCGCGTCCCTTTGAAACCAGCCTTCAAGTATCGTCTAATCAGGAGCCATGAGTAAGACTAGATTGCAAGCGCGCTACGCCAACATCCACTTGCACCGAGGCTGCTAGCAACTCCACATCTCCTCCCAGGTGCGCCAGGTTCTACATAGTTAGAGTAATATTCCGGATGTCTGGAGAGACGATTCAGGGGTTTCTCCAGGCAACGTGGTAAACTATGGGGCCATCGAGCCACAGAGGCTACAAAAGCACGATTACGAACAAGTCGAATTCAAGCGCTTTCGATTATCAGTCAGAGTTGCGGCGAGGTCAGTACAATTAAGGCGAGGGATATCATAATGTGTTATTTAGTACAGTACCCATCCACATCTATAGCTGAAGCGCAGTCCATGAACGTATAAATAAAGGGCCTGATTCGCGTCAATGAAGGTATGGGTCCGCCATTTTACTGCGACACGCGCATACTCTGCCTCTAGTCAGACAGATCCGCACTAAGCGAGATATGCTGCCAATAAAGACGCAAGCCATGATTACAACTGACATGTAGGCTGATGATACAGTCTACGTATGTCATGTACAGAGACCCACGACGACTTCGTCAAGGAAGCATTCTCAGATCCGGTGAGAGTCGTTGTCTAGTCGTCCTTTAAAGGTCGCTCGCCTGCCCAGAAATTGAATGTAGAGCTCAGGGACGCTGGCTGCTTTCATATCTTCGGTTGGTACATTTCCTAATCCAGTGCAAGCCTGAGTCTCAGCTGCAGTTGGTACTGCGCCACCGTGTTGTCGGTCTCGGTAGCTAAGCCGTCAGGACGACAACGTATTTGCTGGCTCACACTGACAGTCGGGCAGATCTCTAGCAAGTGTCAAGCGTATGGCGATATTACATTGATCGAGCGTGACTGTCAGTAATATGCATGCGCTCAGAATGCCCCAGAATCTGTTATAATCTCTGTCAAAAGTAGGCAAACGTAGGTCTGTCGGATACCAGATATTTGGGTTGGACAGACCGGTCCCTTTCACCGCCAATGGAACGCAGGCCGAGTCCTCCAGGTCTACTGCACAACAGGTTTTAATACTGAACCCAAGTGGTTTGATGGAACGCTCCGGCTTGCAATTAGAGCGAATCTCAATCATTGCTCGGGCATAAGTTGGTATAACTGACAGGTGGCTATCATATAGATCAAGTCTACAGACCCTCACCGTGGATGAGTTGCCATGATACTGAAGTAAATAGCAATCTCGATCGGACCCCGTCTGATATTTCTAACATCATTAAGCCTGACCTTATCGCTTCATTTTCGCAGCGACAGCTACATCAACCAATCCTTGTCTCTTGTTGCTGGTGAGGCGTTTATGACAGGAAGCTTGCATAGGTTTGTGTCATGATGCACACACAGATCTGGCTTCGGGGTCATTATTTCAGAGCTCATCACGCTCAAGGCCTCAATCACGACTGTTGGGCGATTGCCATGGTTCGCATTGAACACGTACCATGGAGTGATGGAAGAGAAGGTCTGTTTATTGTTCAGTATTCTATCTTGTAGAGCGAGGCATTTACCAGACTCTGAACCAAAGAAAAAAAAAAAGAAAAAAAGAAGAAAAAAAATCAATGGAAGATTCTTGTACTAAAATACATAATCCGCAAATGGTATAAAATCCTAGATGTATTGCCCTAGACCTTTCGTCTATTACTTTAATGAGACAGCCGTGGTGGGGAAACAAAGATGTGTCGTATCGAAACGTAATTGTAGATGCGATGCGTACAAGTGTCGAACACGATCAACCCCTTTTCCACATGGCATTGCTTAGCCCAGGCGCGCTTGATCGAAGGTGTCGGGCGGGAAGGCAGCTAATACAGCAAGTCAGCAGCATGCCTTATCCAATTGTTATGCCAAATTTACTGCCTACCAAATCACAGCGCAGCCGCACCAAGCGCAGCCATGGCGACAGCAGCAGCAGCAAAGACGACACCAGTCTCGCGAGCCGCAGCATTGGCCGACTGAGACGAGCTGGTCGTAGCACTGCGACCCGCGGAGCCCGAAGCAGCCGACGACGAGCGAGCCGAGGTGGTGGCGGCAGATCCAGTTCCCGATGCAGCCGCCGAGACGGAGCTCGTGCTGGATGTTGTTGGGTTGGCGCTTGTCGCGACCGCGTTGCCGGAAGCTGACGTCGTGGTAGCGACAGCAGTTGCAGCGCTGCTGGGCTGCTGACCCGTGCAGACCACAATGTCGCCATCCTCGAGAGGCGGGAGCGCGGATGTGGACGGCCAGGCAGGGCAGTCGGTGACGGCGGAGAGGAAACTCGTGTACCAGACCTTTGCCTCAGAGCTGATGCTGGAAGCGGCCGCGGTCAGCGAGCTCGGGACGCAGCCGTCCGTGGCAGCTGAGAGATCGGCCGGTACCGTGGGGGTCGCCTTTAGGAGCGCCATGATGCTGCTCAAGCAGTCAAAGGAGCCTTCATCGAGTGTCTGCTGCCGTGCGTCAATCTGGTTTGCCGCGGCAGCGGTAGCGAGTCCAACAAGGGACAGGGCGGAGAGGGCGTGGACACGCATCGTGAGGATCGGGAGGGCTGGAAAGGAGAGGCCTGGCGAGCAAGAAGTTGACTGGAAAGGAGAGACTGAATGCCGAGCAAGAATAGAACTAGAAAGGACGCTCGAGCAAGAGGGCCACTCCCAACTCTATATATCATCTGTATACCAAGCAATCCATACGAGGATCCATACCTACTAATTACTAGTCTCTCGACTATTCATGCTGCCTCCTACTGGCGGGACCCCTAAAGAGATTGTGATGTAAACCTTATCCACTATTTACCACTACGAAATACGAGGTGTCAAAGTGTCAGGCCAAAGTTCCATCTTCTTTTACCAAAGCCCTTCTTAAACACTAATGAAAGTAAGAAATAGAAGTACGTATGCACGTACGCAACTCATCGAAAGAATTACGTACTACTTATACTTTATACAGATACAGATAGGTAGTTACACTGGTGTCTGCATCCCCTGAAGATCGTGACAGCAGAGAACATTGCCCCACAGAATCACGTTAATATTTGCAAGGCAAGTCGCCTGGTGCCTGGCGACACTGCCTTAAAAAGCGGGTCAAAATGCGATCTTTCAGGGGTTGTGGTCCGCACAAGGCTTCCGTTTAGATGGCATGTTAATTGATTTCAACGGCAGACACCTATGGCCTTGGGGGCCGATACACGCTATTCTTGCAGAGCATATGAGGAGAAAACCCGTGACAAGAAGTAAAAGGACGATAATCGAGTCTATGGCGCGGCGGGTGAGAGGCGGGCGGCGCATCGAGTGTACAGTTTGTTTGGCTTGCCCTCGTGTGGTGTGTGCAGCGCGGCATCGGACCATTTTGGGACTAGTGCGAGATGTGCTGTCTTTGCTATTGCTGTCTTCATTTATTATTGATATCATGAAACTATAATCACGATCCGGCGTCCAGAATATGCCGCGCAACCAGGCCGTTTGTACCTGACTAACCGCTATTGCTGATGGCATCGAGCCTACAGCGACATTTAGACAAGAGCGACCGTGAAAATACGAGCGCGGACCCAAAAGCGACGCCGACTCAAGCCACCAACTCCAGAAACTTCGAAGCGACATTAGTAGTGGTTGCCGCATGACATCGCCGCGTCAGCGCAGTCCTAAAAAGCGTACGCGTCGTGCAAGCATCATCTCTTCTGGCGATACGAGTTCTTACTCCTGCATCAGTTGGTCATTCGGATGAGATGATGCGGAAGTAATACCATCGAATTTCAGTTTGTTTGCTTTGTGTCAATCTGAAGTCGCAGTCGTCAGTTGAAGCTAAGCCGGCGACCATAGTCATGTGGTGGCTGAATAGTCTCCAGGAGTTGCAATGCAAACACGTCAGTGAAATGTTTGGCCTGCTCGCCTTTGCAGCTCTCGCCCATGCCTACGCCTTCTTGGATCTCCGGCAGAGGTGTAAAGGAGAACCTGACGTTGTCAGAGAGGGTCTAAACAAGTGTCTGATGGATCTTCGATGATCTAAACAGCATTACAATATTGGAAAGACTGCTTGATTGTGCCATGGTTGAAAGTTAAGCTGATGATGGTGCCGGCAAGAGTTGAAGAATGCGGTGGCAGCCGTAGACCACAACGTAAAATGCTTGGTGCAGTTGGCGCCTTCTTTCAGCACCGCCGTCTGGTATTACTGTTTTTTCCCCCTCGCCTGCGTCGCCGTATGCCCCGAGATGAACGCTGCTGATCTTTGTGGCTCTGCCCCTCAGTTTCAGGCAAGTTGAGTTTGCGCCAAAGCCGAGCATAATGGTTCTCCTGATCTATTCGGGCAAAGTGTTTGAGACACTCCTCCTCATGCTCCCAATATTCTTCCGTCTCTATAGTGCGGCGGTGTTTCTCAAGATCTTCTGCATCAAGTCCCTGACGAGCAAAACGTCGTTTGTAGAGTTGCGTCACTCTTTGCCAGTTAATGCTATTGGCGCTGTTGGTGCAATTGGTGTTGTCGGCGCTATCCGCCGTGCATTGCTTTAACAGTCCATCAAATATCACGTTGGCAAAAATGGTCTTGTAATGAATCGCCTCGTGCTTCCAATAATCGCTGCTTTTGATAGTGGAGCGGCGTTGCGTGATTGACTTGGTATCGAGTGTGTCATGCTTCATCGAGCAAAAACATTTTGACGAGTGCGTGGCTTCGTAGCGAAACTGAGCTTCAGGTGTGATTTCTCGGAGGCGATCTGCCACGGCATCGAGATCTGTTGGCATTGAAAAATCATCAATAGGCGTGTTCATCCTGGTGAAGCGAATGGCAAATTCTCCGAAGCACTTGCTTGAGATTGAAGGCAGTTTTAACGCGACAAACATCTGAGGCCAAGGCGTACAGTCACGTGATTATAGCGCCTACCATTCTCAGCATGTACACGCACCACACAGTGGTCTGGAGAGCAACGTCGTACATATAAGTCAAGATGAACCATGACACAACAACCAAGAAGACAAATGGCTGATTAGTGTAGTGGCTATCACGTATCGTTAACACCGATAAAGTCGTAGGTTCGAATCCTCCATCGGTCAGTCTTCAGTGGGTTTCCGGGTCAATTGAGCTGATCAAGTATCAATAATGACCTGGTCCGCATGTCGGCCCTCGCAAAGGGTCACGATGCTTAGTGCCCATCTTTTTTGGCGGGACGTTTTTGGATCTCGCTTTTTGCACTGATAGAGAAAGGCAAGACCGACTAACTCCACTTTATCTCTACTTTTTCTGCAGTAAATTAGTAATTTGACTACTCCATCGTTTGCCGCCTATAAAAGCTGACTTAAGACGGCACGACAGCGAAGTGGAGGATGGAGATTTTTAGGTATGACACGATGGATTCTGTTTAATCTCCAGAAAACATCAAAGAATGTTTACTATGTTGCGCCTAAGATAATCAAACACATCTACTGATGGGTACTAACCGAAGGAAAAATATAAGGTTATGTGATGACCCAATCTACGAAGCTGTAAGCAAGAGCCTCATGATGAAATTTTCAACCAACAAACACGCGCACTTTTCAGGAACCATGGCCTGCCAGACCCACGTGACTGACCCTGATCAAGCCTTGTAAACTAGCATGCGCCATCAGCTCGAGCCGTCAACCGATGACGCGCCAAATCACCTCGTGCCTGACGTGCCGCCGTCGCAAGGTGCGCTGCGACCGGCGGGCGCCTGTCTGCAGCGTCTGTCAACGGGGAAATCACATCTGCAACTACCAGACACCCAACCTGACGAGACTTGGTCCTGACACGCCATCTGGCCCCTGGGCTGTGCAAAGCCAAGGGTACACCCCGACTCTGCAGTATCAGGGATCAGCCGGGACGAAGCACGACTCTGGTTCCGTGTCCTCAACACCAGCAAGTGGCACCGGCTCTCCATCGGCTATGCACACGCTGCCTGACAAGAGAGGGGTGCCCGCGCATCATAATGGCAGTATGCTTCTCTTGCAAGACGAGTGCTCCCGCCTCGTGTCGCCTCTGCATTGGGCCTCCACGGTCGAGCCGACCAAGGCCACCGACTCCATCGCATCAAACGCGCACTCCGCCTCGCCAGGAATGGACGAGGCCACGCGAGACGTACTGATGAATGTTGATAGTGTCGCGCAGCGGCCAGGCGACGGCCAACATCCCGGTGCCGTCCCCAATCTGCCGCTGCCGTACACCGCATCCCCTCCGGGCCATCCTTCCTTCACTCACGCGCTGATGGGCTCCCGCTCAGACGACGACAACAAGAATCTCGCGCCGTACTACCCACATAGCGCGACCGAGTGCCGATTCCTTCTCGACGTCTTCATCTCCAACGTCGAAGCTGTCATTTGCCTCTTCCATGAGCCCACACTACGGCAAGCATTCGACGCGCACCTGGCACAGCAAGAGCTGTATGCACCAGCCGTCGCGATGACACCCGGCCAAGGATCAGACAAGGCAGGCCACTTTGAGCCCTTGATGTTTGCCATTTTCTTTTCCGCTATTTATAGCATGGACGCGGCCCAAGTGCGCGACATTTTTGGTGCAACCAAGACGGACATGCTAAAGAGATTTGAAAGCGCCTTGATCTCAGCACTGGATGGGGAGTCTTTTACTTCCAGCTTGGCGCTCCCGGTTCTACAAGCCTTTGTACTCTTTCTGGTATGCCATCTTCCCCTATGTTTCGTTTGCCCAAGTTGGTACAATGCTGATGAATTGACATGATAGACATGCCGCTGTCGCGATGATGAGATGCAGCAGATCTGGACCCTCGTCGGACTTGCTGTTCGCATGGCGCAATCTCTCGGCCTCCATCAAGAGCCTACTGGCTTCTCCTTTGGCGCCATGGACGCCATTCAAGTCGAAATTCGCCGAAGATTGTGGTATCAGATATTTTACCTTGATGTCCGCACTGCTGTATCGCAGGGTCTGCCGCCCGTAATCACCACCGGATCCTACACCACGAGGCTACCGTCAAATGTCGACGACAATGACATTATGCCTGGCCAGCCGCCACTGCCAGACCATTACGACCCGCGCAAGTTCACCACCATGACCATCCAGCTGGTGCGCCTGCACGGAGTGACGAGCATGCAGAAACTGCTTCACATGCTGCCCCGCGACATACCCGGGCCGGAGCCCAAGCCAGGCGATTACCAGCCGACCGATGGTCAGTTGGCTGCCGCAGAAGAACAGGAAATGCGCGTGCTCATCGAAGCGACACTGGAGAAGAATCAGATGCTGTACCTGCGATACTGTGATTCGCGCATCCCGCTGCACAGACTGACCCTGGTTCTTTCCAACCATATCAAGTGGAAGTTTTGGATTTATTATTACTACCAAGTCCCCCAAGGCCAGCGATCGTCGTTGGCACCAGCCCAGAAATCCTTGTACGTGGCAAGATTATTGTCTCTTGTGTTTTTCCGTTGCTAACCAAGTCGAACAGAATCTTTTCCCAGTCCCTCAATCTGCTGGACTCGTACATCAGCATGAAAACAGACACGGGACTTGACCCCTATCGCTGGATGATTGACGGCCATTTCGGTCTGCACGCCGCCTTGTACGTCATTTCTGTCCTCGAGGATACGCAGAGCAACGCTACTCTTGACCCGGACCTCTCTCACCGAGGCAAGCAGCTGCTGCAGAGCATTCAGGAACTCAGCGCCGACACAGAAAGCAAATTGGGCTCTTTGTTTAATCAAAGGGCCCAGAATCTCATGGCACGGACGTCTGCGGAACCCGAGTACGCCGCGGCGCCGGACATGGATGCCACTCTTCTCCCTGCCACGGTCATGTCATCGGATCTGGACGATTGGGTAAATTATTTAAACGATACCATCTAGCTATATACTCAAAAACAAGACAAAAACCGACACGAACAACCGGGCAGCAAAATCTCTATCTCGACATGGCTCCAAGTCGGCCCAGCGGCGCAGAAATGGGTAGCGTGTTGTTGGCCTCATACACTAACCTCGCAATTCGGCCCTTGGTCTCGGCAAAGCAGTGCTGCCATGCAAACATGCGCAGAGAGTCACCCGCCGTCCCAACCTCGTCCGCTTCTCCATGCGAGGCAGCCCAGCACGCGGCCAGCCCTGGAAACGCACGGTCCATGCACCCGGCGACGCGTTCATTGTCCACCGCCACGGTTTCGTCATTCTGCTTCTCCTTGCCGCTGCTGTCAAAGGTGTAGTGCCTGTGGTGACCGAAAAAGGACAGCGCCAGGCGGTCCGGGTCGTGAGCGAGGAAGCGCGCGACGTGCGAGTCATTGTCGGCGCAACTGCCGTCGCCCTCATTGTGTCGCTCGCTGGTATGGGCGACACGCATGTAGTCCTCGTAGCCGCCGTTGATGCTGTTTCCTGTCACGATGACGTACGGATGTCCCTGCCCCTGCTCGCTGAGGAGCCAGTCCTGGTCGACGCGCTCCATGGTCCAGCTGACTTGCTGTCGGAGCGGACGGCAATGCTCCGGCACGCCGCTCTCGGCACCGGCGTCAGTGCTCTCGAGATGGAAAGTGACCAGGAAAAAGTTGGAATGGTAGCCTGCTTCCATTGTTAGCAAAGGTAATTCCCTCTTGTCTTTTCCAGGTAATAAAGAAAACTACTTGCCGTTGTCACAAAAGAATCGGTCCACGAATATAAGAGAGTAGCCCTCCCTGGCCCACAGCTCCCGAATGGCCAGCCAGCCAACGTACGTCGACACACAGCTGACACTCTTGGACGATGTCTTGAATGTATCTACCATCAGACTTTGGGAGGTGTTAGCTTCACCACGGTGCTTCTTGTGTCCATTCACCCAGGGAGCTTCTTTGAGACTGGAGACATGACTTACCTTCCCAGACTGGGAGACGCTGCCGAGTACTTTGCCGTGTGGCACAGCCAAGCGCAGCTCAGCTCCGACATCCATGTCTGCAGCGCACCAAACTCGAGAATGACGCGCCGCGTCGCCTTGGAGTACTTGTAGTCGGGCGTGGCCCGGTTCCACACGTCGGCCACCATGGCGTCGCCGATGCGAATCGCCTCTTCCGGGTACAGCCGGCCGCCCACACCGCCGGCGAAGCGGCCAAACGTCTTGTACTTGGAGAGTGTGAAGCAGAAGACGAGGAAGCGGACGGCCATCTTGGCGTCGAGCGCGTCCCATGCGGCAGCCGGGTCGGGCCCCTCGAGGAGCGGCGACATGTATGACTTGGGTGACGTTGCGTTGGCCTGTTCTTTATCTTTGCTTGTCTTGCAGCTGGACGTGGAGACTTCATCACTATCAAGGATGTGGAGGGCTTCTGCGAAGTGAACGCTAAGAGGCGTTTGGGAGCCGGTGTCGGATGCGGGATGGACACTCAGAGGTGTCTGGGAGCCGGCGTCGGAAACCCGCGACGAAGGCACCGAGTCGACGTCCGAAATCTCGGATGGGAAAGAAGACTCTGTGAGTCTCTCGAATGCTGAACTCTCCGAGTCCGAAGTAGGAGTGCGAGTGCCTTCCCTGTCAGAGTCCGTCGTGCGCAGGGAAAAGGGCATGTCTTTTTCATGCTCATCCGCTGGTCCAAGCTTGTATGCGTTGGTGAGCTGGTGCGCGCTGCGCTGATACAAGGCGTTGACACGACGATCCAGGTCGGGCTCGCTCCAACCCAGGTTACCCAGGATGCCCGCCGGCGTGTCCTCTGTAGCCCCGATGCCCAGCTTGGCCGGGTGGATGCGCTTGATGGTGAGGTCAGCGAGCGTGTCTCTGGCCTTGTCACGCACAGCGGTGAGCCGCTCAATGTACTCGTCCAGCCAAGTGGCTCTGCTGCTCTCGGACGCCCACTTCCTGTGCTGCCGCGTCAGGTCGAGGAGCATGGCAGCGCGGACCTGGCACGACGTGTCGCCGACGTGCGCGTCAAACGCGGCGAAGCCTACGCTGTCGACGTCGGGGTTCTGGGAGAAGAGGAGGTCACGGTAGAGAGAAAGGGCGTCGAGGGCGTCGGACGAGGCGCGGACAATGTCCGTGTACACCAGGCCGTAGTTGTTTCGTAGACGCAGGCCCTGGGACGCCGTGGTGGCTGGAAATAGAAAGGAAGTCATGATTTTCCTCTTCTTTTGTGTGGGTGCTTCTTGAGTCTCATTCAACTGTTTGTGCCTTGAAGTGAACGAGAGGAATTTGAGTAAGAGCTCTTGAAAAGAGAAGCTTATATACGTTTCGCCGGCTTTCCTCTTTCGAAAAGTATTCTCATTATTTTATCACACCTATTTTTATTACTTGATTTAAACTTGGTTTTGGTCTATTTTTGTAGCTCTTTGCCGTCTTATAAAAGCCGCACTTATGCCGAGCTAGAACCTTTTTTCTGAGAGCTGAAAGGGTTAAGTGTTGTGGAAAGACAAAGAGAACCCTGACATAGAAATCCACTGACCAATAACCGATAGGACTTGGTAATAGCCCGTCGTATCTACGGAGTTGTCAGCAACTGCCCTGTCGCACTATCCGCGGTCGGCGGCCGATACCCGTGAATCAGGCCACCTCCCCTCATGTTCATCTCGGCACGTCACGCCGGGCGGCCTCGGCCGTTGCAAACGCCAACGGCCTTTGGGCCGAAGCGTTCGGTCCCTGCCAAGTTTGATCAGATGATGGATAGGTGGGTTCTCTTGGGGGCTGTTTGGTTGCGAGGCTCCACGTTGCGATTACGCCACAAGGTGTCTAGCCAATCTTTGGGCTGTCAACGTTCGACATAAGCCGCAATCAGGCTCGGAAAACGGCTCAAGAAGGAAAGGAATGAATGAACAAGATGGGACCAGAACGAAGAGAAGACATGTTGCTAAGGGGCTGCGAAAGGCGGGTGGCGCTTTCAAGTTGATCAATGACTTGGCTCGTGAAAAACTCTTGAAACTGAAACGTTGTGGCCGTGTCGTCGAATCTGGGTTTGCACGCGTTGGTTGTCCATGTCAAGATTCTGAGCGAAGCCACCATCTAACAATGAGGTTGAAAAACCAGTTGGTCGGCACAGACCACACAAGTCTTTGACCGTTGCACTCTGCCAAAGGACACATGCATGTAAGGATGCTGGGTCAAGTGGAGAGGTTGAAATAAACTGGAAACAAGAACGCATTAAAAAAGCCATAAGCTTAAAAATGGAGAAGCGTGACAAGCCATGTTCAGCCGCTCTTACTCATATGAGACGACGACGTATGGGATGACGACGTATGGAACGACGACGAGATGAAAAAAGTTTTTTTTTTTTTTACGNGTTAACATCTTTGTTTATAGTAACTGCGTATCCTTATTTCTTATTTATCTCGGCGGTGAAATCTTGGCAGTGGAATATTGGTAGTGGGAATATTGAACAGTGGAATATTGGCAGCGGAAATCTTGGCAGTGGAATTCTGGCAAAAGAAGAAGAACAATACTCCCAGCTCAACAAGACAACTCCAACCCCCAACCTTTTTACACAAAGTCAAAGTCAAGCCAACACAACTCATACCTTGATTGTTAGCAAAGATGGACTCTATTGCAATGGACATGACTCCCATGCTGGCTGGGATGCCCTTTAAGGGTGTTTTGGCCGTTGTCGTGGCTCTTATACTCGTCGTCGTCTCCATGCTCACCAACAACAACAACAACAACAACAAGGCAAGTCTATGCACTAGCTACCATGCTATCATGCTCAAAACTGACCAAAACTTCACAGACCCGAAAGCCTTTTACCGATGCCAACGGCCGCAAGGTCAAGATGCTCAAAGAAGATACTCGTTATACGCGGTTTTCTCACGGGTATGTCACCACCAAAAACACGCGATGAACATGAAGAAAAAGCTAAATCTGACGCCCAAATACAGACCCCAAGTCTCCGAGGCTGGTCGTGCCATTGCCGGCGACGAGCCCTTTCTCATTCGCAATGGTCCTTTCCAAGAGCTCGTCATTAGCCAGCCCGACCAGCTCAAGGAGTTTTGCCGCAAGGATGCCAAAGACCACACCAAGCCCACCAACATGAACCTCGGCGACGGCTTCGGCCAGTACGTTTCCCTTTTTGTTCTTTTCCCTACCCCAAGGAAAAAAAAAAAGAAAAAAAAAGAAAACTCCCCCCGCTGACAATTTTGCCCCCAAGACTTCTCGGCGGAGCAGTCGGCGTCCAGGCCGGCAAGAAATGGACCACCATGCGCGCGCACTTTGACCCCGAATTCTCCCACAAAGCCAGCATGAGCATGGTGCCATTGTACAACAACGAGGCTATCCGCTGGCTGACCGAACTCGCCCAGCCCTCGTCTTCCTCGTGCTCCTCGACGCCGTCCACCGCTGGCGGCTTCGTCCGCAACATTGCCGGAGCCTGCCGACTACTGCCATTTCGTCTAATTGGTCTAGTCACCTATGGCGAGGCCTTTGACGACAAGGTACCACCAATCTCACCCTCCTCCTCCCCCAAAACCTCTCTCATTTTTATCACAATGACTGTACCCTTTTTTTTTTGGCTGACCTATTAAACAAAACAGCTTTACCAACAGCTGGTTGAGCTAAACGAGATTCACGACAAGCTCATGCTCGATGCCTTTTTCGGAAAATGGAACGCCTCCAAGCTGTACAACATGCTGCCGACGGCATCGCGTCGGCGTATGCAGAGCTTCCAGCGCACGTGGGAAAGCATAAACGACGCCGTCATCCTCCGTGCCAAGACAGTAAGCCCTCTTTTTTCTCGTTATCCTCATAAAATCCATCCCTAACGTCGAGCGAAGCGAGGAAAAAAAAAAGCCAGCGCAGCGTCACCTCATTCCCGCTGCGCTCGGCCTTTTTTTTTCCTCGCTTCGCTCGACGTTGGCCGTGAATTATCTTTGACTATGTTTTGCTCGTCAAGAGGAGTGAATGAGTGTGTACTGATGCCGAATCCGCAGGAGGGACTACGCTGCCCGGCCGAGGTGATACACCGGGGTGTCGAAGCAGGAGACATGTCCAAACGTGAAGTAAATAATAGACCCAGACTGTGCTTGAAAGGGGGTTTTATTTGGCTAACAAAAAAAAACAGTTTCTGCAAACTGTGGATGAGCTTCTTTTTACCAACATTGACGTCACCTCGACCGCCGTGGCCTGTCTCCTGCTCAACGTTGCGGAGAATCCTGGCTTCCAGGAGTCTCTTCGTCAGGAAATGGCACAGATGAAGAGCGATCCGTCGTATGATGTGCAGCAGTACATTGCCAAGAGAGATGTTCTTCTTCACTATGCCATTCTAGAGTCTCTTCGTATGCGCCCTGTACTTTGTAAGTCTCTAGCCTCTGGTCTTGTGTCCTCACTTCTTCTTCCTCTTCTTTTTCTTTAATTTTTTATATTGTCTTTTCTAATCCATAACAACAGGGTTCTCGCTTCCAGAAAAAACCGCCATTGACAAAGAAATCGGCGGCTACTACGTCCCATCCGGCAGCACCGTCGTCATCGACTGGAAGCGCCTCAACACCGCGCCCGTCGTCTGGGGCGACGACAGCGAAATGTTCCGCCCGGAGCGCTTCGCCGGCATGTCGCCGCTGTCGTACCGCCACGCATTTCTGCGCTTCGGCTTCAGCCGCGAGCGCTGTCTCGGCAAGAACATTTCCGACATTATCCTCAAGACCATTCTCATGGCCACGCTCGAAAGCTACACGCTCAAGCCGAGCAAGCACAGCGCTGTCCGCAAGGATCGCTTTACAGTGACGCTAGATGACGAGGTTGAGTTTACGCCCATCAAGGCGGTTTAGAGCTTGTTAGATGGACAAGGAAATGGGTTGGTGACGCTGCGCTGGCCTTTTTTTTTTCCTCGCTTGGCTCGACGTCGGCCGCGGTGTCAGCAGATGGGACAATAGCTCAGAGTATCAATCAATCAAAACACAACTCCTTCACTGAAATCAGTGGGAAATACCGTTCATAAATGCGACATAATAGATTTAGTCCATGTACGGGAATGCATTGCCTTGGCCGACGTCGAGCGAAGCGAGGGAAAAAAAAGGCCAGCGCAGCGTCACCCATTCCCTCGACACATTGGCCAATTTCTTCCCCATTAGCAATGTAATTCGCGCAATAAAAGAATGAATCAAAGAATTTCTCGTTTTTCTAACCATCTAATTTTTGACGCTGAACTTGTCTCGAAAGCGCACACTAGGTATGCACGCTACTCGTCAACGGGTCTCAGCCGCAATTGTCAGCCCACCACTCCAAGTAATACGCCGTTCGGAATATTTGGATTCCATCAATCCATCAATTACAGAATGAGATGATGCTCCGCCACTCGGACTCGGGTGGATGGAAAAATGGCAATAGTAACTAAGAACTATCCTGGGGTTCCGTCGCGTGGCAACGAGGCCAGTCTACGCCACGTCGTGTTACAAGACAAATTCTCGTCAAATTATCAACAGACTGATTAGTAAAGATCAATGCTGCCACTAAAACACAGAATCATCAGGAAGCTATACCATCAAAGTTTCAGAAAACACTTGCTATTTATTCTGTCAAAATAGCCGTGTGGCCTTTATAAAAATATGCATTAGATACTACTACAAGTCAAGACGGTTAATGTACATAAAATATGCCTATCCTCCTCTATTCTTTCCATTTTCAGCGATTTTTCTTCTTTTTTTTGCCACCTTTAAAGTTTCCCTACTTCATGTTCCGAATCGCCTCCATCTCCTTCTTCCAATGCTCCCAGTTGCGCTTCATAAAGACCATGAGAGCGCCGCTGAGAATACATACAAAAAAGGCCATGGTAAAAGTCCATCCGTTACCAATGGCGTGGATCAACGGATCAGCAATGACGGCAGCCACGCAGCCCAACGTGTTGCGGACGAGGTTGGTGACGGCCACGCCAGTGGTTGTCGAGCCGGGGACAAACTCGGTCATGACGGTCATGGTGACGCTGGAAATGAGCATGAAGCCAAAGCCAAAGAAGAAATTTGCAATGAGCTATTCATTGTCTCAGATTAGCATTCACTCTTTTTGCATGACAGCTTGTCTCTTGACAAGTTTAAAAAAAAAAAAAGAAATCGCCATGAGCTGACGTTGAGCAAAGCGAGGAGACAAAGAGTACCAAAAAAAAGAAAAAAAAAGAAGGGAAAGATTGCTTACCGGTACGATCCAGAATACATTCTCACGCACCGTCCATCCGTACCATAGCAGGGCGGCGGGGTACATGATGGCAGCAACCCAGAAATTCTCACTTATCCGATCCTGCGGATGATAGATGGGCTTCCCCGTGGCGGCGTCTACGCGACCATGCCTCTTTGCACCCCGCTTCATGCAGTGATCTGTCCAGCGGCCGCCGAGGATGGCGCCCGCCGCCGCGCCCACGGAGCTGGGGATATAAGTCAGGCCGACAATCATGACGGGCCAGTCGTACGGAGGTCGCGAAAAGACCCCTTGCACGGATATGTTGAGCAGGTAGTTGCTTGCAAAGGTGATGCTCGTGTAGTACACGACAATGAGGATCGGCACGTAGCGCAGCAGCCGCACCGACAGCATGGGGCTGACGAGAACGCCTACTAAAGCCTTGGCATTGCGCGCGGCACTACTGTTCTTGTTGTCCTGCTGCTGCTTTTCATCAACCGCCACAGGAGGCTTCACGCCCAGCTTGTACTTTGTCGACGTCTCCGGCAGCAACACCACCATGGCGGCCCAGACAGCCACGCCGTAGATGACGAGGAACCACTGCGTGCTGCGCCAGCCCCAGCGACTATCGAGAGCCGCCCCGACAATCGGCGCCGTCAGCGGTCCGAGCATGGGACCCAGGGAGAAGATGCCCATGGCCTTGCCGCGGTCCTGCGGCTCCCACAAATCGGCGACGGTGCCGGCGCCGACGGCCTGGACAGAGGCGCACGCCCCGCCCGCGAGCAGACGCATGGCGATGAACATGCCGATGCTGGAGCTGACGGCGCAGAGAACGTTGAAGACGGCGAGCAGCAAAAAAGTCACCAGGTAGACGGTGCGGCGGCCGTACGTCTCGGCCATGCTGGACCACCACAGCGGGGTAATGGCGACGGCGAGGGCGTAGAGGGCGATGCAGAGGTTGACGACGGTGTGGGAGGTGTCAAAGTATTCGGAAATGGGTTTGAGGACGGCTGTGAAAGGAATTTGGTTAGACTGTGTTTTCTTGATCAAAGTAGTCCACTACTCGGGTCAAGCGAGGTGGGAAGAAAAGCCAGCATAGCGTCACTTGGGTATGAGAGTAATTTTTCTTTTTTTTTTTGTTATTTCAATTTGCTTTTCTACCGCTGCGCTTGGCGGATTCTTTTTCTTTCTCCTTCTTCTTTTTTTTTTTTTTTTTCCTTTTGCTCTTTTTGTTTCGCTTCGTCTGACAACAGAATTGATAGATGCAGATAGAAGATCGAGTGCAAACTTACGAAGTAAAATGTTGCTACCTAGCGGCGCAGACAGAGCGGCCAGCGCAACGAGGACTGTCAGTGCCCATTTTGTTGGACGGCTGTACTCTGTGGCATTGCGAATCGTGGGAATGAGCACAAGAGAGGACAGACAGCCCTTTTGAAAGTCCTTGTCGGCTTGCTCTTGTTGTTTTTGCTGCTGTACTTGTTGTTGGAGCTCTTTGATGGCGACTTTAGTGTCTTGACCGTGACTCTCAGGCGCATTGGCAGGGCTGCTAGGCCCGTCGCGGGACTGTGCCATGGCTAGCTAGTGCAAGGCAAATCTAGAGAGAAGCGACCAGAGTGTGCAAGAAACGATTGAGAAAAGCAGGAAAAAAAAAAATCAGAAACAAAACGAGAAAAAGTAATAGAAGAATTGCACTCGGGTAAATTTGCCCCAAACTCGGAGATTTGGGTTGTTGTTGCTTATATTTGCTGCATCTGACTTTTCACCTTTTACCTTAGACGAGGCCGGCCCGTCGCAATGTCGATTTGTTCCAAAAGGGTTTAGCCTCGTACGAAGTGGCTTCGGCCGAAATTTGTGGGGCTTCCTCGTACGAAAAAGGCAGCCCGGGGGCGTTTGTCATAATATTCGTAGGGCAGAAATAGCGCCTTACAGCCTTACAGGTTTCTTGTGGTGGGTGGGTGCCCGCCGCCACTTTTGCCGTGTGACACCAGGCGCTCCCCCCGCACGGAGGAACCACACACAGTCATCTTTGCTTATTTATTTTTCTTTTTTTTTTTTTTCTGAAAAAAAAAAATTATGCCGAAATCAGCGATTGATGATATTCATCTTCGTGCAGCTGGCCCAACAGATATTCCCTCTATTGCAACTTTGCTAGCATCCGCACCAGACAATGGGTCAAAAATATCAATTTCCCCACTATCCTCGAGTATGCGGGGCACATGGTGAATCTGCACATGCAGAGGCTCAGTCACTCTATGCGTGATGAAGAATCTCTCATTATGCTTGCCACAGCTTTCAAGGAGCACGGTGAAGAAATCGTCGTCGGATATAGTTGCTGGGTTTGAAAGGAGCCCAGCAAGGAACAAGGTTCCACTAGAAATGTGTCGTCATGTCAATGCTCGTGGTCTGGATGTGAGATGATGTGAAAACATGAGTACAAGAACCTAGTTAAGCTGATAGGTATGATAGCTGAGGAACAGTTCCTTACTGATTTAGAGGCGAGACTGCAGAGCAATCCTCCATCTATCAAGACACAGGCACTCACACCAATCACGGCCCGTCAAGAAGCCATCAGCCGTCGCCGAAAACTCCAGCCGTCTAAACTAGATAAAATTGCAGACTTCGAGCTTTCGGGGCTTGCTATTCGCGACAAATTCCAAGGCTGTGGCATTGCTTCTGCCCTCGTTCGTTGGGGCCTGGACCGCGCTGCTAGCGAAAAGGTGCCCGTATTTGCGACGGGGGGAGGCCCGAGGCGTCGGCTTCTATGAAGAAGCAATGGGGTTTCAAAAGACTGCAGAAAGCGAATATTGGCTAGATCCAAATGGTCATGATGTCAGCGAGGACGAGGTTAGGAATGGCAGCACAGCTTGGACGACCGAGGAAGGGGGTTTGACTGACGCCCATGTCCACTGGCTACCGGGTGGCGTCTCAACTTCTTAGGTAGAGATATTCAATATCCTATAAAAGAATGAGATTCTACATAAGAGACCAATTGTGTGTGTTGAGTCAAGTTTAGACCTCTGCGCTACCTTTTCCCTTTGTCAGTTATAAATTTTATTCATTGTGGTTTATTTACCCTTACTCAACAGCGGCCCAGGAACGAATGTGAAATGTAAAGAAGCATAAGGGTCGAGGTGGCATTGCGCTAAATAAACAGACCCTGGCTGCCCCGCGTGACGTCAGGCGTTTATGCATCGCTGCAATGTTTAACAGGCACTTGAAACAGGACACGTATGGGCATGAATTTGACTGACTTGATTTCTGTGGGCGCGCGTCTGTGCGCCGACAGAAAGTTATAATCGATGTATATATATATACAAGTTTTGCCCAAAAGTCTCGCCATCTGAAGCCACTGTTGGTCTGAAGCCGAACCTTGCAATACGCCTGCATCTATCTACCTAGTACACAACACCACTACATAACCATATCATTCAAACATGCCCGAAACGCTGCTGTCTATTCTTTGCAGCGAGCCCTGGCGCTGGGACTCATTTGCATCCAGCGAAATCGCCTTTAATCCAGACGGGACCGGAAAGGTTATTACAGTCTTTTTTTTGTCTCTCTCTTTTTGATTGCTGTGGCGGCTTTGCTAACCATCCACCCCCCCCGGACTTTTTAGCTAACATGCCGTGCGGAGCTCAACATCTGGATCGCCGCCGAGATTGAGTGGAAGGCACACGACGCCGCCTCTCTGCAGCAACAACCGCAACAACAACAAATCATCAGCACAAGCCAGCAAGACGCCGCTCCCTTTGCTGCTGGCCCGATCAAAATCGAGATGACGCTGACCAAGCGCCGCATTCCCCATTTCGGAGACCGAGGCGCCGACGTGTCGTCGTCCTCGTCGTCGTCGGGACACGGCATCAACGAAGAGGCCCTGGAAGAAGCTGCTTTCCTGCCCAAGACGTACACGCTGCGCCTCGAGCAGGGCGAGTTTCACGCGCAGTCGTACACGCCGGAACAGGCGCCGCAGCACACGCCGCGTTTTCAGCTCCGTCTGACGTTTGATCCGTCGCCGTACCCCCCGCGGGAAGAATGGCTGCGGCCGGAGCGTGCGCCGGATTCCATGCGGTTTTGGGAATGGACCCAATTTTGCAGCAGACAAATTGGCTACTTTTAGATTTGGGGGCGGGGGCGCCTCGGCGCGGTTCGGCCGTTTCTCTGTCATTTGTCTTGAGCTAGTGTGAGATTTGAGACTTTAGGGGGAGGTGTTTTAGGATTTAGCCACGTCACGTTTTGAGAGCAATAAAAGTCTCCCGGCCTTGTGATGCCAAGTATAGATCAAATGCCGTTATGTTTTGAAGTTTAGATTACACCCCCCGTATATGATGCCAAGTATAAATCAAATGCCGTTCTGTTTTCAAGTTTAGATTACACTCCCCCGAATATAATTGCTTTTTATTGTGGTTTATCTATACATGGCCGAGAGAGAGGTGCGTGTTCCCAGCGTTGTAATCAAAAGTATAATGATTCCTCTGCATGTACTCGAATATGGCATGCTTCCATATAAGCACATATTTTCAGTCTCCGGGTATCAATGGAACGCCAGTGGAGCTCATTGCGTCTTTCAAACGATGATTCTTTCATGCAACTAACTCGACTATCTGCGACTACCGACTGATTCATGCGTACTGACGATCTTGCCCCGTTTCTGCCTTACCGGCCTGACCAGCTCGTATCCCCATCATCCGCTGCTTTTCTCTGTCTCCTACTTGGTTTGCCAAATCTCCTACTTGCTTGCAATCTCCTTTTGGGCCTGGTTAAACGCCTCCAGAAGCGAATCCTTGATGGCCTGGTTCGCAAGCAGCGCCACCGCCGCGACCCTCCAGCGCTTCAGCTCCGGCGACTCATCGCCGTCGCCGCCGCCTGCCTCCTGGCGTTTGCGCGCCAGCACCGGGATCCTGACGGGCGTCTTGGGCAGCTTGGCCGGGCGCAGCTTGGAGACGGTATTGAGGGCCTTTTCCGCGTACTCGGGCACCACCTCCTGCAGCACCTCGGCCACCTCGGCCGAGGACACTTCGAGGGAGACGGACGCGCCGGAAAGGGTCAACTCACCAACGGCAACGGAGCCCGTCAGCAGCGCGCCACCTGCTCCGGCACCCGCGGCACCTCCAGCGCCCGCGGCGGTGCCTACGGCGGCAAGGTACAGGCCACCAGCGCCAATCAGGGTTGTGGCGGTCGCGGCGACGCCGCCCAGGGCTTTGCCTACCCAGCTGCTGCTGCCGCTGCTCTTTTCCACATCTTGGGCAACCTTTGTGCGTTCCTCGATGGCCTTTTTACTCTCCTCTGTGCTTTGCTCGCTCGGGTTGCTGCCAGGGTCCTTGCTGCCAGGGTCTTTGCTGCCAGTTTCTTTTTCCTTGTCAGTCTCCTTGCCAGTTTCCTTTTCCTTGTCAGTCTCCTTGCCAGTTTCCTTTTCCTTGTCAGTCTCCTTGCCGGTTTCCTTTTCCTTGTCACCCTCTTGTCCCTTCTCTGGTTCCTTGTTGCCACTGTCCGTCTCCTTGGTCTTATCCTTATCCTCCTTGTCCTTATCCTTGTCGCCCTTGTCCTCCTTGTCCTTGTCATTGGGGTCTGTCTCGGGAGGGGTCGGCAGATTTGCCAGCTGTGCCTCCACCTGCTTCTGAATTTCCGACAACTTGCTCAAACTCTGTTCCGTGGCCGAAACTTCCGACTCTAGCACCTTTGCCTCGAGTTTCTTGAGCTCAGTCACATCTTGGCGGGCAAGCTTTCCGAGCTCAAGAGGCGGGGTGCTGTCCCCCTTGTCCTTCAAAGCCGTCTTGGTTTCCAGATCCTTTTGCACCTTTTCAACCACTTGCTTGATATTGGCTGAAAGCTTTTCCGCCTCGGTAACGGCCTCGTTGCCAGTAATTGGTTCCTTCACGGCCTCGTCGAATTTGACTTTGTAGTCCTCGACCGTCTTTTCGTCCACTTTCAAAGCAGTCGACAGGAGATTGGCTCGTGCCTGGTTGTAGAAGCTAAAAGGCTTCAAGTTGTTCTCAACGTACATCCAATCGTTGTTTTTGATTACGTATTCAACCATCTGCTGAGCAATATCTTGCAGAGCTTTCAAGGCAGTGTCGGCTTTGGCGCTGGCAGCTTCCACGTCTTTGACAGAGGCAGCGCTCTCGGCCTCGACACGAGCAGCGTCCGAGTCCTTGAGGAGCTGGTCCGCCGGCTCTTGGAGCTTCTGAACCTCCAACTCAGCCGGAGCATATTTCTCTCCCACAACATTGGCCCACTCGCTGTAGTCAACTTTGTGCGTGGGCAGCTCCAGATTCTTCTCTGGGTCCTCACAGTTGACCACGAGATCCAAGCCTCCACCTTTGTCGTTGAGCAACTCATTGGGGATCATCATTTGAAGCGTCTCTTTGCCTTTGACATCGACGATACCCAATCGGATCGTCTTGGCGGGATCCAATGACAGCCCCTTGAGATACTTTTCAGGGCGCATGTTCAACGGAGCACTCCACCAGCTTGGCCGAGGAATCCAGGCTTTCGATACCTTTTCAAAGGTCTCAGCATTCGCGAGGATAACACAGTTCCTGTTTTAAAGCGCCTTTGGTCAGTCCGTCTTTCTCGACTCGGAGGGTAGATGGAAAGTATTACTTTGAAGGTTTGTTTTTGTCGCCCTCCCATGCACCCAGTTCGTCAGAGGTATAAACTCCTTGTCCAAGTTGCAGGCCACCTTTGCCAGCCGAAGGCGTAAGTGTGTTTCCTGCATTCTTGTATATCTCGGCTTCGGCCTACAATCCAGCGGTATTAGTTGGCAATTCTTGATATGAAATTCAAGGAAAAAGGTAATGATAATACTTACCGGATCAACGCGTCTATAGCCAATAATGATTTCTTGGACTCGCTTCTCCAACAGAGTGGCGTCGATAGGTTCATCTCGAGTGAGCGGCTTGAGCGTTATGTCCGTGTAAGTAGGAACACTGAGGCCATTCCCAACAAGGGTCAAGGCAACAAGTGATGAAAGGATCTTGTGGATGGCCATGACTTTGCAAGCTACTAGCCCTCGATTTGAAAAAGAGCGTTGAAGAAGGATTGGATACTTGATATCAAGAAATGATGATGATCCAGTAAAAGAAGATGCCTTGGATTGGGGAGAGTGGTCTATTTGTAGAAGTATTGAATGATGGTCTGGTATACATACAGCATTGGAGAGCTTCTTACACGGTCCTTGGAATCAGCCTGATGATTCTGCATTATACCAATTTGTCCATCATCTTGGCATAAACCCTATAAGCAAGGCAAGAACCACATTTCTTGCATTGTAGCACAGCTACGGCCATCATAATTGCTAGTCAGTCGTACTCTTGTACTTCCGACGGGTATTACAGACGCTCCCACGCTGTCTACGCTGTCTACGCTGTCTCTGTATCTTGAGTCGAGTCAGTTCTCGACTCGAGCTTTCCGTCTTGCAGCTATCAATCCTTTCAAGACTCGGCCTACCGCCGGCGGCGACGCCCTGGTTCCACAAGAACTTTAATGCTATTGCCATTCCCCCCCAATAGCTTACAAACGCTAAGCTCAAAAGCCGGCCTCCAGTATAGGGTTGGCGTTTCTTGTAAGTTGCTTCTTCAACTGCCAATTTATTACAACCTCTTATAGAGGAACCACAGTATCGCATACGAACGCGCCAATGGAGAAGTAAGTCCAAAGCAACTTCGTGACTCAAATCTTGCCACTGTACCGAGCTTGCTAGAACGGCAATCAAGTAGTGCTGAATGCTTAGCTCGACAAGGATCTAGTATAAAGACATCACCATCATAAGTTATCAAGACAAAGTAAAGCCTTTGGGGGCTGTGTTGACTTTCAGGCAGGTTATGGACGGTTTCGAGCTTGGAGGCCCGCTATGGCCAGGTAGCTTGAGTCTTATACGTTTATGCATTTGGTCCGGTCGCTGAGCATAAACTGGATAAAACAGTCTAAAAAACAACCCTCAGGTCACTTATACAGGTCTATCTCAATTTCAAAGGAAACAAGCTCTCTCAAAGAAACTGGCCTGAATAGACATCGAAGGCTCGGTCAACAGATCGCGTAGGACTGGCTGGGAACCTTTTGTGGGAACATGGAGGTTGAAACGGAGTTCGGGCCGATGGAGCAACTGACTAGTTAGTAGATGGGATGGCCTTTGCTACTGCACCGATAGACCGATACTTGAAAGCCGCATAAAATCGCAGGGCGATAAGGGTTGTGACGCGCGGGCCGCGGAGCGGATGGGCATTCAAGAAGATGCGCCAAGAAAGCATTGTACAACACAATGCATCTGCGATACATAATGCAAAAGGGCTATGCAGTTGGAAGCTATCAAACTCGGCAATTGCTTTCTCAAGCCAAAAAAAGACGGCATGACAATGCAGCATCCCCTGTAATCGGCTAGCCTTATGGCTGCATCTCAGTATCCACGAGTGAAGAGTCAAACGTTATGCAAGTCATCCAATTATGCCATAACCTCGTACACAACCGGTACCTTGTTTCACGTCACTTAGCAGAGCTAACATCGAATAAATGCTGAAAAAATTGGGGCCGGTTAATAAAGCATTACGCCAAAGTCGTCGTGATATAAGACAAATCGCTGAATTCACCTACGCATGCTCGTCAAGATGAGCACCGCCGGGGTTGAACGGGCCACCGCCTGTAGTTCAAGCCTTCATGCCAACCTTGAGCATTGTCCATGAAGGTTGCTGTGCATCTGACTCGAGGCACATCTATCACTCCACTCGTACTACAATGATATCAATTGCGGAATTATCCGGCTACTACTACGTCGAGCTAATTTGGCAAGGCTGTGCAATCATGATGCAATAGAGTATAAGTACAAGCTACCCATTCTCTTGGGAAAGGCAATTCCGATTCAAAAGAACCATCACATCAAGTGTACAGACCAATTTTTCAAGGACTGAATCTTCAGTGTAAATTCCTGCCAAGATGACAAAATTATCCAATCTTTTTGCTACGGCTCTTTTCGTCTCCAATGTCATTGCTCAGACTGTTAGTGAATCTCCCTCTTCTGCCTTTTTTCCCATGCCACAGGTAAACCCAAAAAAAACCCACTAATGCAAGCTATCATCCAGGACGGCAATCAACCGGCCAGTGGAGGCAGTAACAAGGACATTGAGGCCTCATGCACGACGCCAGAGTGCTTCCAGGACAAGAAGCTGTCCTACTACATAGTATACTCTCCAGAATGTACGAGCGCCGAGCAACACACGGAAGAGGTCTGCCTGGGATCCGACGCGTGGTGCAGCCATGGCGGCAGGGCCAAGCTCTACGGTTCCAAAGAAAAGTGCCTGGAACTTCGTCCCAAGCCGCAGAGCAAGGCCCCGTGGCTGCCCAGAAGCGACGCTCCTTGCAGCGACGAGTCGGAAAAGTGTCTCGGGACAGAAGACGCGTGCTCCCATATCGAAAACGAAATCCTCGTCGCGGAAGCCGTGGAGATGGACCTCGACATCTTTGAGAAGCTCTGTCTCGAGCAGCGCTCCAAGGAAGGCACCGCCGACCAGCCCGAGCAAGGCCCAAGCCCGCCCAAGGAAACACCAAAGCCTTCGCCCACGGCCAGCCCCGAGCCATCCGCGCAGCCCGCGCAGCCCGAGACGCCCTCCTTCCAGCTTCCCGACTCCGAGGGCTGCTCCAAGCCCGGCGCCGACGAGGAGCCGTGCCTCGGCAGCATCGCCTGGTGCGAGAAGCACGGCCAGCAGCAAGGGCTGGGCGACAAGAACGCCTGCCTCTTGACCCGCGGACTGGACGTCAAGGCGTTTGAGGAGACGTTTCAGGGCCTGGTCGCGCCGGTCAAGGAGACCATTCTCACGTGGGCGCAAAACGTCACCAAGAATGCGGCGCTGCGCGAGATTTTGTTCAATTCGACGGCCGAGGCGGCGCAGAAGAGCGTCACGACGGACTTGTCCGGGTTCATGGACAAGGTGCAGGGTTCTCTGGAGAAGCAGGCGCTCGAGGGCCTGCGCAAGGGACTCGAAAAGTACGCCGGACAGAAGCTCTTTTAAGGCAGTCAGGATTGGCACGAATATAGACCCGAGCAATACTCTGTCGTTCTGTCTCGCTGGCAAAAGATTGTGTCCATGTATACTTGGTTCAGTGCATGGCACGAATTAGCAATAGATGATCAGTGTTGAAAAGTAATGCTTGTCTGCACCGTGAGCTTCTAATGTACTTGCTCGAGAATCTGTAAACACGCCGCCTCCCTTGTTATCTTCCAAAGGGTTAGATGCCTAATTATAAACTGTATCACGAGGCGTTAAACCTGCTGTCTGATTGTGTACCCCGTATCACGCTACAGTTTGACAATATTTGCATATAACCCGCTAAGAGCCGTATGATCACACGAGGCTCCCAGTACCATGGAGGAATTAATTGACCCGTCGGAAGCAAGGCCTTAGTTATTTTGCTTTCCCCCGGTGGGGGCTTTGAAACTCAACTCCAGCCTTGTCTAATAAAGTGGCCTTTCTGGGTGGGTCCTTTGCTAGTGGTGGGTGTAGAACAGCGTAGATAGTTAGCTGATAGCCTCATCGTGATGGTGGACTTTTCTCTGCTCAAGGGTATCGGGGGTAGGGATCTAATCCGACGCTTGCACAGAACTGTGCATGTTCCCGAGTCACAATTTAGGATGTAGAAAAAGAGTTTGCTGATGGAGCTGCAGAACAAGAAGCTACGGAAGATGCAGTTGAAAAATCGAGGGCTATCAAGCGAGCACAAGGTAGAGTGTGGCCTGCGCAACCTCGAAGCCCTCACAAATCTAGGTCGAAGCTTGGCATTCGTCAACAATACAGATTCAATTATATAAATGGGGAAAATCACAATGTACTGTTAATAATAAGCGCGAGTGGATGGAATGATGAGACGCATGGAAGAGCGCCTCAAACCGCGTTGATGGGAGAGCGGCAACTGAAATAGGTATGAGAGCGGTCTAATAAAGTCTAGACCGAGGCGCGCCCATCAGTATGCTTATAGCTTGCAGATGGCTGCGGCGTGGCGTTACTTGGGCTGAGGATAGGATATCGCGAAAAGAGAGTGGCACTCTATATCCATCTTCAACTTTACCGTCTTGTCGCATCAATTTTCTTTCTTGTTGACATTTTTTCCTTGTTCAACTAGTGGCATGGCAATTGAAGACGGCGACGGGATTCAAACGCGCGCAGCAGGTTGACGCCGCCATCTCTGCAGAGGGGTCATCAGGGGTGAGGAATCCGGAGAAAACAAAACTGCGGATATTGCTCTTGGTTGGTAAAATTAGACCGACCGGCCATGGCCTCAGGCTGCGAGGCATGGATGTGGGTTGGTCTACTGTAATCTCGAGATACGTACAAGGGGCGTAGCGAGCCTACGAGGAGGTCGTGGGGCCCTTGGCTGGCTGCTGAGAGAAAGGCTTGAGAGAAGAAGCTGAAAGATGCATGAAAAGGGGAAAGCTGAGAAAGGAGAGAGGGAAAGAAGCTGAGGAGAGGTAGCGAGTGTTTACTGTATTAAAAAAAAAAAGGAACAAGAGTAACTGGATTTGTTCTAGGTCGAGAGCTCGAGGCGGCCAAACATGAAATCTCCATAGCGGCGAGGCAATATCAGTCCTCCGTAATCCGTAGAGGACCAACAGCTCTTTTTTTTTTTTTTTTTTTTTTTTTCTTCTTCTTCTTTTTCCCACACAGAGACATACCAGACAACCACAATTGAATAAAATCATATGGTGTTTGGCTGCCAGAAAAAGATGGAGTGTGCAGGGCATGTGGGAACGATCATCAGACAGGCTTTACAGCGGATATCCGTAATGACAAGGCTGATCATGTCTCGGCCGCGAGCGTCGTGTTTCGGGTGACAGGTGCGCGTACAAGTACCCGTGTAGCGCGATAAATACTCGATAATATTGTGCGCCTTGTTTTCCTTGTTGCTTGTTTGTTTTTCTTGTGACTTGTCAACAACCTGTTTTTCAGGTGACTTGTCGGTTGTTTGACTGTTGAGTGGTCAGTGAGACACTCCTTGCTGGTTCCTGCATAAAAAAGTGGGGTGTTTCTCTTTGTCTTTTTCTTGCACCGGGTATTTTCACGGATGGACGGGGATAATTTAGGGGGGCATATCAACGACAGGAATAGGTATGGAGTTTCGGAAGCAAAAGAGCAGAAAACTTGTCATTAGCTAATACGAATGGACTGGCTGACTGCAATTTCTCATGTGCAAAGGTACCAGTCATGACGCGCGTTGTCGGCCCATCTAGAGAATGCGACATCGTATCAATTCTCGATTGTCAAGGGCCAGAGACTCGGTGAACACTGGTAGTGTCAGTCAGGTACCAGTAAATAGTAGGACCTCCTGCGTGCATGATTGGCGTTCAAGCCGGTGTGCGGTTCGGTTCGCACTCCACCGCCGCTTCGGCTTGGCATCTGCGGTATATGCGGTATCAGTATTATTACAGATCATCTTGAGTGAAAAATGCATGCGCAAATCTAGGCGGATTCGGCGCGTTATCCCAGGAAAGCACGACTCCTCCGAACGGATGATTGGAAAAGCCAAGCACCAGTCTACAAAGACCTAATCTCGCACATCTAAATTGGCAGCCAGTAAAAAGGCACGCGTGCCTGAAAGGGCCCACCCACCCCTATCCACCCATGTCCACTGCCCCCAGTGCGCCCCCTGTTGGCTGAACGGTCCGGCGGGCCTCAATGCCAGTTCTAATCCACTGCAATTCAATGCTCCTTTTTTGCAGGCCATTGTAGGCATTGCAGCCCTGCAGGCAACAAGTTGCTTGTCTTTGGCTGAGCTTCTTGTGACTGCCACAATAACAACAACGCCTGCCTCACCTCCAGACCTCCACCCCCTACTTACCACTAGCCGCCCGTATAAAGAACGCCCTCCTCCAATCCTCCCACACCCGTCTTCTTTTTCTCCTCTTCACCCACACACATTCATTCATTGCTATACCATTACCCTGACTTTTTAGTCAATTTCACTCGTTAATCAAAACATCCATCAACCCTATTTTCGACACTCCCCGTCCCAAAAAACCTAATACCGACAACATGAAGTTCTCCGTCGCTGCCGTCCTCGCCGTCGCCGCTGGTGCCACTGCCCACTCCAACGTTACCGTCACCACCGAGGTCGTTGATGTCTACACCACCTACTGCCCCGAGGCTACTCAAATCACCCACGGCACCAAGACGTACACCGTCACCGCGCCCACCACTCTGACCATCTCTGAGTGCCCTTGCACCATCACCCGCCCGGTCACTGTCACCTCGTCTGTTGTCTGCCACAACTGGTAAGCACCTAGCATCAAAATTGGTACAAATACAAAGAAGAAGAAAATGTCCTAACAACTTGCAGCCCCAAGCCCACTGGCGCTCCTCCTGGACCTGCTCCTGCTCCCGCCCCCAGCTCCAACGGCACCGTCCCCGCCAACCCTACCCCCAGCGCCCCTGCCCCTCCCACCGCTGGTGCGGCCAAGGCCGTCCCCGCCCTTGCCGGTCTCGTCGGCCTCGTCGCTGCCCTTCTGTAAATCGAATGATCGAGTCAATCGCCGTCGACATCAACCGTTTGGTTTCATTCGTTTGAGTTGGGGTCCACGGCCACCATGTGGTGAAGAGATTTTGGTCTACAGTTGGTAGCAATGGGTACTTGGCGCTACAACATGGACATACGACAGGATTTGGTACATAATTACGCTTTGGGGTCTTGCCGCTGTGGGGATTATACCGGCCACGCTTGCTCCAGACACTTCAGTTGTATATTCTGTTTTTCTCGGCTCGGATGGGATTTGCCACCTAGACATGTGTGTGTGCGGTCTGTTTTGTGGTCGGGATCATCAAATGGTTTCCTAGCCTAGGAGAAATTGGGTTACTGTCCTGCCTCTTGCAGCATCCTATGTCTCGACAAGTATAATTCGAAGTCATTTTTACCCCGATTCGCTTCCCGTGGATGTCTTGCGCTCTTCTAGGGGTGCTATGGGTTTTACTCTGTGGGTGTTTTATAAATTTGGACAAGTTTTGTTGCCTAAAATTTACATGGCAGCAAAAGCCAGTTTTGGCCCAACGTCTTGAACCGTGAGCTCGTATGCCTTTGATCTTGTTGCCGTGTGAGCTCGTGCCTTTGATCTCCAAGCATGCCTAATATTCCCCATGTAATTTGTAATGGACCCGGCCCGAGCAGAAAAACGGTCAATGCCGCCCGAATTTGTAATGGGTCTGGGGAGGCTCCATCTCGACCCAATCTCGGACCGTCGGCGTTCCCTTTTGCTCCAATTGTCCACTAAAAAAAAATCGACAGAGCCCAAGATCAAACGAACGCGCCCGCTGTCCAACGTGGGCAGCCAATCGAAGCCTTTTTTTGGTGGGCACCACCGGAAATTAACAATTACGGGGCGGCCTTGTGCGCCCGTCGCGCCCATCGCGCCCTACAAAAAAAAAAAAAGGTTTTCGGCAGTGCCCAAACAAGACAAAAAGAACTTTGTCGTTGGGCACATTGACATGATTGTGATTAAAGATTCGGTTTTTATGACGAGTCGGAAAGGGATAGTATTGCAAAGCCTCTTGCTTTCATAGATGAAGGGTGATTGCTACCAACAGCATAAGTTAGTTGGAGTGTGAAGGTGAGCTGGGCGCTAGAGCCACGGCTGCCCCCCATTGCCAGCGTGCGGCGGGGGTTCGCCAGCGTGGCCGTCGCACACAATTGACCAGTGTACGAGAGAATTAAAATAAGATCGGCGGGCAGATAGAACCCCGCTTGATTGAAAATTCTATTTCTTTTTTTTTTTTAGGCGATTGCATTTTTGCCAACTAGTGCGGAGAATGTGCCTGCTCGATGGTGATGTAACTGATTGTCGGCTTGTGCTTGAGAAAATGGGAGAATAGAGGCTATCGGTTTTAGTGAGTCTGACTTGGTAGAGTTAACAGGCATCTATTTGAACGAAGGAATGGTTCTCTCTTCCTTTCATTCTTGAATTCTCAGGAAGCTGCAAGGACATGTATTAGCAGCTAGATGCAGAGGCAACACGGCGGAACCATTTGCTTACCCGGTAGATGAATTTAGTATTCCGATCACTAGATTCATGGGGTGCTCGGAAGCGTCGTGACGTAAAACCGAGTATCGTAGCTTTGGAGCGCATGTCCCGGTTACTGTTATTTTTCATGTTTTCGATTTACCGCTCTTTTAGACCTTTTTCCGTGAGCATCGTTTTACACGGCTTTAGCCAGTCGGTTCTTATGGAAACTAAAAGCAAGAGGCCTGCATCTCAGTATACCCTGCCATGGCATTACACACCGGAGAACCAGTCAAGGGGCAGGAAAAAACAGCCGTGGCATATCGGAATCAAGGAAACCTTCCGAAACTGTAAACATCGCATCCACAACTTCTGTATTGTGACCAGCATCCAACGTAGCCCAAAACAATCATCTCTACCACCTTTGACAGTAATTGGATCCAAGAGCCTTGTCACTAGCAAAAGATGCTGAGACTGAAAAGCTCTGTTCAACTGGTTGAATGACAACATCAAGCCTTGCACTCCCCCCATCCCCGATGCCCTCCGTCCGGGGAAATGGAAGCCCATCTGGAGAAGCGGAGACATCTGCCGGCTAGCTCTCCATCATAGCCGCGCAAAACGAACCGGGACGCCCTCATTGGCTGCGACCATGTGCCGAGCCCCCCCACACGAGCTCTCCGATATAACCCAGCATTCATCAAATTCCCAGTGTATCAACATTTCACGTCCGTCTCCTCAATCACTCATCTTTCTTTTCCCCTTGACTATTGACCCTTTGATACACCAAGCTACCCGGCTGCGCAAAAAAAAAATCAGGACATCCGCTAAAGAGGCAAGGGGGACTGCCGACGCCCGCACCACGCGCCAGGAGAAATGCACATCCAGGACGAGATCCTGCAGGAGAGCCTGCGGCAGCCCGAGGTCTTTTGGGCCCGTCAAGCCGCGCGCCTGCACTGGCACAGGCAGCCCGACGCCACGCTGCGCGCCCTCGACAAGACGCTCGCCGACGGCACGGCGCACGCCTCCTGGGAGTGGTTCCCCGGCGGCGAGCTGTCCACCTGCTACAACTGCGTCGACCGGCACGTGCTCGCGGGCCGCGGCGACAATGTGGCCATTTACTACGACAGCCCCGTTACAAACACCAAGACGCGGTATACCTACAGCCAGCTCCTCCAAGAAGTCGAGACGCTGGCGGGCGCACTCCGCCAGGAAGGCGTGAATAAGGGCGACGTCGTCATGGTGTACAGTGAGTCGCCTTGATATCCGGGGGAGGAGGGGGCTTTACTTTGATCTGGTAGGGAAAAAAAAACTTTTGCTGACCCGCGCGCGGCAGTGCCCATGATTCCCGCCGCCATCATTGGCATCTTGGCGATTAACCGCCTCGGCGCCGTGCACTCGGTCGTCTTTGGCGGCTTCGCGGGCACCGCCCTCGCGCAGCGCATCGACGCCTGCCGGCCGGTACTGCTCCTGACGGCGTCGTGCGGCATCGACGGCGCCAAGCCCCCGATCCCGTACCGGCCGCTCGTGGAAGAGGCCGTCCGCCTCGCCGCGCACAAGCCGCGCCGCACCATCATCTGGCAGCGCGAGGAGCTGCGCTGGGGAAAGACGGACCGCGTGCGCCAGTCGTCGTGGCAAAAGTGGGTGCGCAGCGCAAAGGACCGCGGCGTCAAGGCCGACTGCGTGCCGGTGGGCAGCGGCGATGCCGTGTACGTGATTCACACGTCCGGCACGACGGGCGCGCCCAAGGGCGTGCGCCGCGACGCGGCGGGGCACGCCGTCGGCTTGAATCTCTCCATCGGCTACCTGTTTGGCATCCACGGCCCCGGGGACGTTATATGCACGGCGTCGGATATCGGCTGGGTCGTGGGCCACTCGTACATTGTCTACGCGCCGCTGCTGGCGGGCGCCGCGACGGTGCTCTACGAGGGCAAGCCGGTCGGGACGCCCGACGCCTCGTCGTTTTGGCGCCTCGTCGACGAGTACAAGGTGAATGCGCTGTTCACCGCGCCGACCGCCCTGCGCGCCATCCGCCGCGACGACCCGGACAACAAGTTCCTGACGCAGGCGGGAGAGCGCGACGGCCTGCGCTCGCTCAAAGCGCTGTTCCTCGCGGGCGAGCGCTCCGAGCCCAGCCTCATCTCCATGTACCAGGCGCTGTTTGACAAGTACGCCGCGCCGTCGGGCGCGCACGTCATTGACAACTGGTGGTCGACCGAGGTCGGGTCGCCGATGACGGGCCGCGCACTCGCGCCGCATACCGCGCGACGCGACCGCCAGAGCAGCAGCACCACCGCACCACCTCCCGTGCACCACCCGCCGCCGCCGCCGCCGCCGCCGCCAATCAGGCCAGGCAGCGCCGGCAAGGCCATGCCGGGCTTTGACATTCGTGTCGTCAATGATGACGGCGAGGAGGTGGCGCGCGGGAGCATGGGCAATATTGTACTCGGGATGCCGCTGGCGCCGACGGCGTTTCGCACGCTGTGGGGGGACGAGGCGCGCTACTACAAGAGCTATCTGAAGAGGTTCGACGGCAAGTGGATGGACACGGGCGACGCGGGCATGATTGACGATGAAGGCTACGTGCACGTCATGAGCCGCAACGACGATGTGCTCAACGTCAGCGCCCATCGCCTCTCCAGCGGTATTTGAGCCCCCACAACCCGACTAAACCCAGGATCTTCAAAGAAAAAGAACATGAGCTAACTTGAAGAAAACAGGCGGCATCGAACAAGCCGTGTCGTCGCACCCACTTGTCGCCGAGTGTTGCGTAGTCGGCATCCCCGACGCGCTCAAGGGCCAGCTGCCATTTGCCTTTATCACGCTGTCCGAGTTCGCCGGCGCGGAGCACATGTCCTCGGCGATCCCCTCCGACAAGGTGACGGCCGAGATCCAGTCGCTGGTGCGGACGCAGGTGGGCGCGATTGCGACGCTCGGGGGCATCATCCAGGGCCGGGGCATGATACCCAAGACGCGGTCGGGCAAGACACTGCGGCGGGTGCTGCGGGAGCTGGCGGAGAATGCGGTGCACGGGGAGTTTGAGCGTCCGGTGGCGGTGCCGAGCACGGTCGAGGACGCGGCGGCGGTGGAGGTGGCGAGGGGTAAAGTGAAGGAGTACTTTGAGAGCATGGGGCACAAGCACAAGGCGATTGAGGCCAAGGCGAAGCTGTAGAGATGTTGTGGGGAGAGAGAGAGAGAGAGGAATCAATGTAGAGGATGCTTAGAGGAGATGAAAGGTGGTGGATGAGTTTACAATATTACATGATCAATATTTACAAGTATAGATTTCTCCAACAAGTTGTTATATTAGCCCAATGATGCATTGATCCAAGGGCCAACTTTAAAGCCAGCATCCAACTCCCCTCTACCTCGACCTTGTATTTCCATGCATACCCATACATATTACCCATTCAAACAAACGCTAGTAGGTTGCGGCAAGTCATCCACGCGCGCGCGCGCACAACACCGTTGACCCTGCAGCGGTTACATGTCCCCCCCCCCCCGCCTCTCTTATCTCCATCATGCCGCGACATCGTATTCTCCGACTTGATCATCCTGTTCTACAGCATGTTATTCTGGTTATGGGGGGAGGGGGGGTTAGGCTTATGCAAGGCAAAAAGCAAGGGCGCGCTGCCATTGTTGCTTTGCTTTCGTGCGCTTTGCATCACCTCCCCCCGCAAAAAAAAGCGACCTTGTCTGAGATTTGGAACGAGGCGGCGGCGGCGGCGGCACAGCAGGAGGGTAAAAGTTGTGGAACGAGGCAGTCTTTTCTTCTTCTTCTTTTTTTTTTCCTTTTCTTTTTTTTTTTTCTATACCGCTTCTTCAAATGGGGGCCTTGTTCATTCTCCCACAAAGGGAGAATGAACCGACAAGAATAGAGGCAGTCAAACCAATTACCGTCTAGGCAGCACAGACAGGTATAGAGGAGATTGGCGATGCGGATACTCTAATGATATATTTCATTCATTTTCCCCGCTTGTACTTTGTATCTCGGTTGTTGTTTGAGATGAAGCGGGAGTGACAACAACGAGGCAATCTCAACACGCGGTGTATGCAGTGTGTCGTCCCTCTGTGCAACACACTCTTTTCTTCCTTCCCGCAGGGCACATCCAATCATTTCTATACCGCCCATCTTTTTGTTGACCAAAGATTCCCCTTTCTTGTCTTTTTTTGCCCGCAACAAGCATATACCCGTTTGCCACAAAAAACTCCCACCCCGTCCCAGTGGCGCCTTTTTTTTGTGTCATTTGTCTATTCTTTCCCGCAATTCCTTTCCCTCCATTCTCGTGTGTGTAACGGCGAGGCAAAATCTCTTGAAATGACCAAAGTTATATCACGCGCATTAGCTCCCGCCCGTTCTTATTTTAAAGAACAAGGAGTGAACAGAAAACGCCACGGTGTGACAGTGTGTCTTGCGGCCAGAGGAGGAGGGGGGAGAGGGGGGGGGTTGGTAACCAAGGCAAAAAAAGGCAAATCAATGACGTTGAACAAAAAAGGGTGGTACGTAGAGATGAAGCCTTGTGACGGGTGTAGATTGTATAATGTCCTTTTCATTTGGGGGCCGAATGGTTATTGGTTGGTGGGAAAGCAAGTTCTAGGCCAGGCGTGCGACCTGTTTTTGTGTACCTCTGTTGTGTATCCTTTTGTGTATCCTGTTGTGTACCAGTAGGTACGTGGTTTCTCTCCCCTTGTTCGACGTCGGACAAGGGCGGACTTGCGTGGTCTGGAAGGGGGACAAGGAGTACTGAGTACTCCGTACTGGTACTTTCGATGCTGGTCGAGGGGCGGGGGCGGGTGAAGCGATACAAGGGGAGGGGGTTGGGAGTGAGCGCCATCATTGATCCTTTGTCTGGGGCCATTACGGAAGAAGCAATCTTCTTTTTCCTTGCTTCTCGGTTGTTGTGATGTTGGAGATTGAGGAGCAGGGGGGGGGGGGTTCCCTAAATCAGGCTGGCTTCTTGGAGAGGCTGTAGACGCTCGACTGTCGGTGGGGGGCAATGTCGAGATTTGCAAATCGCGCCTCGGGAAGGCGTCTGCCGACGCGGATGCTTTCAAGAACCCTGAGACATGTTAGTACAATTTATTTTTAGCTTTCTTCTTTTCTTTTTTTTCCCTTTCCCCTCTTGCGTCTGCCTAGCTGAGGGGTGGTTGGATGGATGTTGCTGTTTTTTTTACCCATCATAGACTTGTTTGCATCAAGACATGCAGACGGGCCGTTGTGATGGGCCGGTATTTCTTGATTTTTCTTTTTTCTTTTTGTGTTTTTTTCCTTGAAAAAAACAACAACGGAGGAAATAACACAGGAAAAGAGGAAAAGAAAAAAAACATACCATTCAACGCCAACGTATTTGATACCATTGCCGCCTCGTCTCCGAATCTCGCGGTCCATCTTGGTGCCCGCCAGTCCGCCACCACATCCCGCACTGCTGCTGCCGCTGATACTGCCGCTGATACTGCCTGCTGGACGTCCGAGGACAACGTGCGTGACGTGCCGCCGGGCGAGATGCAGCGCCACGCGTGCGCCATGGGCGGCTAGCAGCGTCTTGAGCTTGTAGTCTGAGACGAGCGGCGCCGTGCTGCCGTTGACGTGGACGACCAGGCCGGCAAAGATGAGGCTCTGGCCGGCGCTCTCTCCATTTCTCCGCGCCACCTCGTCTTTTTTTACCTTTTCTGATGATGCTTCTTCTGCCACCACTGCCAAAGACGACATGGTCTCTTTCATGGAGCCAGGCCTGACCAGCATTTCCATGACGCTCTTTGGTTGTCGTTGCGTGGGTTTACCGTCTTGCGACGCTGGCGGTGGCGGTGGCGGGACGTGGCTTTGTGTCTTTAGCTGCTGGTTGATTTTCAAGGCGCGGGACGCGCGCCACGAGGTTTCGGAGACGCCATCGGTCTCGCGGCGGGATGCCTCGCGGCGCTGGTGGCCGGTCGAGGACGAGTTCCACGGGTCAAAGGGCCGGGGATGGGAGGACGGCGGCGGCTTGGGGAGGGGATTTGTGTACGTCTTCATAGCGGGTTGCACGGCACTTGTCTCCGTTTGGCCTTGTCTGACGGGTGTTGTAGGGTGTGGTGATTCCCGTGTCAAAGAGTGTTTTTTTGCGGCAGAGACAAGAAAGTTGGTTGGTTGGGTTGGGAAAATTCACGGTCGTTGGTTGCCCCGTCGCGCCAACGCGGTGAAGAGTTGACAAGACGCGCTAGGCGATACTGAAGCGTAGGACAAACACATCTCGAGAGTGCCACTTTTCTGAGAAGAAAAAAAAGTCTCTGAAAAACTGTCGGTAATTTTTGAGAGACTCAGATGAGGCTCTTGTTGTTCAATGTTTCAACACTTGTTCAACTGTCGTGCTGCATGGAGTTGTGCGCGTGTCTGTGTCTGTGTGTGTACTGTCCATTTTGGACAGACGCGCCAACCACGCTCTTCTTTGAGACGAGTTGTTGTCATGTTTTTGTGAAAAGTATTTTACACTAAAAAGAAATAGGACGACAAAGACAGAAAAAAAGACAGCAACGTTGTCAATACGGCAACAAATATCCGGTCAATAAGCCGGCAAGTCCAAGCTCTGGCGGGAGGGCCAACAAGGGCCTTTTTCATTCATCTTGCTGTGCCATCTAGTTTCCGGTACTTGGGGAAAAAAAAATTGACACACATTAGGGACTCGAGAATGGTTCGCAGATAGTAAAGCTACTGTACGGAGTAAATGTACAGACATGTACAAGTAAGCTGTCAATTGCTCAAGCGTACAGCGTGTGTACCTGTCAGCTGCAAGATGCCGATTTCATGTAACATGCAAGACTGTACATGAAGTGTGTGCATTTTGCGCACCCCCCCAGTGCCCCTCCATCTCGCTGGACCATGCAGCTCTTCTCACCGGGTTTCAAACGTCAAAGCAAACGTTGACCGATAAGAAATAAAGAGAGAGAGAGCGGTCGTTTGTATCACCAAATTTTGAGTCTTGTTTGTTTGTCTTTCAACAAGTCACGAAAAGGTTGCGCCGGCCGGGGGCTGTCCACGGGAAAAGCCTCAGCCCAGCCTCTCAGCCCCAGCACAAACCCAGCAAACATGACCGCCGTCCTCTCTCTCCCCTTGTAATAACAAAGAGGGGGGGGGGGACTTGGATCTGTGGCCCGTTTGCCCATATTTTATTTTAGCCCGGCACGGAGGGAGGCGGCCGAAATTCGTAGTTTGCAGAAACGGATAGAGTCTTGAGGGCTTAAGCAAAAGATAGGCAAATGAATCAATGAATAAATGTATGAAAATGGTATGATTCGACGTTGCGCATGGTCAATTTCCCATTATCAATATTGAAACCGCAATTGGGTGAGGCGGCAGGGGTCAAAAATGGGGGACAGACTGTGAGTGACTGTACGAGATGCTACACACACACACGCACACACACACGCCCTCGGAGCAAATGCATGACAGTTGCCGACAATGCCTGCAATAATTGCCATCTATCAATGCATCATCATCATCATCATCATTATTATCATGATTATCATCATCATCGTCATCATTACCGTCAGCCCTGAACAGCCCATCTTCAGCACATGTACGTATATACTCCGTAGCAAGCAAAGAGGCGGGGTCTCCGTCCCGGCTGCAACGGCCCGTTATTGCAGAAAAACCGTTCATCTTTCTCGCTCTCTTTCTTTCTTCATCGGGTGTATCTCTATTTTTTTTCTTCTTCTTTCTTTTTTGGTCGGTAATAATGGTCATGATATCATCGCCGACCCCTCTACCCTTGATACTATCTTTTTTTTTTTATTTTTTCAATCAATTGACATGACAAACAAGACAGACACCCCCCTCCATCAACAAATCAGCTCGGATCCTCCCCCCGTTTTCCCGTCCGGAACCAAAGCCGGGCGGATATCTCAGCACACATATTATTATTACTCTGTAATAAACAACCACACCCCATCCGATGTGAAATGGACAAAAACCGACAATGACAAGACTATCCAATCGAGGGCCTGTCAAGTCTGACAATGCTCGCTCATTTCCCACCATTACCATAACTAGTAATAATGTGGTGATATAATCAATAGTATAAAGGCGCTGAAATCTCGGCCGGCTCGTCTATCAGTACCCCGCCGTCTCGGGTGGCTCATTCATTTATCCTGTTGGACCCCCACCACCATTATCATCAACATCATCATCAAGCCTTGTAATAAATGCGTGATTCTGCCCATTATTAGGACTCAGCTGGCCCCCTTCGTCTTGGCCGACCCGGAACGGGTGTGGACATGTGCGGCAATCTCGCCCGACTATCAACTTACACCACGGCCCCCCGGCCCCTCAGAACCACACTTTTAAAAACCCCTGCCTTGTACGGATGTAAATACGTAAATGGGAGTCAGCAGAAATGTCATCTTACACAAGAGCTCCTCTTTTCTTCTCCCGTTGACATTGTTCATAATTTAATCTATACAAGTCCGTATAGCTGTCAAAATCTGTCTCTCAACAATGACTAGGGGTGTCGCTACCCCCTGCCATCGGAACTTGTCCCCCCTCCCCCCAGCAATCGGCTCTGCATGTTCCTGTGCTGCTATTTTTAAAAAAAGAGTACCCTTTAGTACATATGTACATGCTTTATCAAAGAGTTCGTTGAGCCAAGACTTGTACATTGATTATCTATTTGTCACCCTCGTTGTAAGAAAAAGCCCGAGAGGCCGACGGATGTCTGTGTACTTTGTATGCGCGCGCGAGAGCGTTAAACAAAAGCCCACAGCGGGAAAAAGCAAATTGCCCACTCCTCCTCCCCCCTACTAACAATGATTCCCCCAGCCATCAATCTTTCTTTCTTGTCGCCGTTTTTTTTATACGCGATTTTTTTTCTGCTGGGGAAAATGACATCAAATTGGCCGATTGCTGATCTCATCTCACACCTCTTTTGAGTAACAAATTCCCGTCTGGAGCTCTTTATTGACCCCCTCCTTTCAAGATTGCTTGGGCAAACACATACACACAACACGCACACTTTGAACACACATACACACACACACAACACACACACACACACACACACACACACACACATCTTGATATGAATTTACCACGTACTGGTACGTCCAAGCGCCGCCTCACGGGTCTGTGTCAAATTCTCTTTTCCCATTCATTACTCGTGACCGCGCCGCGCCGCGCCGCCGCCGCCGCCGCCCCCCGCCTTTTCATCATAGCGTCTGTTTCACCAACGCCTCTTCTTTCTTTCTTTTTTCCCTTGCCGTGATCGTTCATCTACATGGGCGTAAAAAAAAAAATCTCCAATAACTAGTTTTTTTTTCCTCCCGCTAGCGGGCTTCTCTTCAGCATGTATAACTACTAGGTTCAACTATGAATAAACTCATCAAACGGTCAAAACACCACCCACACAACATGCCATTGTCACCTGCTCATGCACACCATGCCTGCATGACGTGCAAAAAATATCTTGCACCACCCACCTTGTTTCCATTGATCAATCTCTCTTCCTCTACATGATGTGTGACGAGATTTAATCAAAAAATCTAATTATATCTTTTTTTTACGTCTTTTTTTTCCTAAAAGAAAGATTTCAAAGTCGTGGCAACGAGTTGAAAAACAAAACAATATCCACCTCCCTCCCGCCTTTGTCACGACGACGAGTCAAAGCCCATGCATGGTCCTACATATCCACCTACTGATATCCATCAACACGCCGTGCCGCCCCGAGCCCCCGGACCTTTCTCTTTCATTCAGCCCCCCTTGTTGTTGCATGTACGCATCTTTTTCTTTTCTTTTCTTTTCTTTTCTTTTTTTTTTGCCCCAACTAGATAGAATGAAGAAATCAGCCCTGGCTAATTAATCCCCCCATTTGTCATTCTCAAAACTGCCCATGGGGGGGCCGTGGGCTGGGCTGCAGCCTGCCTACCCGTTGGCCCGCCCGCCCGCCCTCCCGCCGCCGCTATCACCCCATGGGCTCGGTCAAGCCAGTCTCTAACAAAATTTCAGCGGAAAGTTCCCTTTTTTTTCAGACTGTCCTTGTCCTTTCCCTATTCGTAGACGGAAATGAAGGAAATGTGAGGAATAAAACTGCTCAATATTAGCCAATCGTTACGTGGGGTGCATCCATCATCTCGCTCATATAATGACCATAATTTAGCCCAATCACCAAAAGAATCCGATTCGTAAATCTAAACGAGAAATTCCTAGCCTTGCCCATTTCATTCATACGCATCTAATATCATCCATACGGAATACTACTTACCCTTCGGCAAAAGGAACCACCCACCAACCACCCCACTGTCGCCGCCGCCACCGAGGCGCTGCAAAAGATCCTACGAAAATCCCCAAGCAATGTCTGCTAATAAGACCATTATTTCTCACTAAATATTCCTTTCTTCCCTTTCCGGCGAAAGCTCATATCTGCCTCGTAGTATACCTTTCCTCGGCTCTTTGATTTTTTTCATTTTTTTTTTTTTCATTGCAGGACCGTTCATGCAACAGCACAAAAGGGGGGTCGTGCAGATTTTCCAACATGACAACGTTATTATTCCGACGTGCTTATTTACCCCGTAGCCCACGTCTTGTACAGCAAGCACCGGCAACGCACGTCCTTTGTTCATAGTTAGACTTTGAGATGGCCGAGTAATCATCTCAGACAAGACATACTAGTTAGGGGACGATGGTATCCGTACCGTTCGGCGTCAGTCTTTCTTACGCACCGTTTCATCTTTCCCCAGCCCGCCGACCATCTTGCCTCACAGCGTTACATCCATCCCATGGGGACGCTGGCCGGAAAAAAAAAAAAACAACGCAGCAGTGACATTCCAATTCCTCTTTTGTGACTTTTTTTTCTTTTCCCTTTTCTTTTTTTTTTCTTTTAACCACCCCCGTCCCAACCTGCCCCCCCCCTCCTGGTTTGGTGGGCTTGCCGCACGGGAAGACTAATGTGCCTCTATGCACACTTGCGGGACTCTGTTACTAGTAGTAACTCCTCTCTCTGCCTCATCTTTGCTTCCTTTTTTCACAAGCTCTTCACAAGCTACTCCGTACATAGTAGTGAGCCTTTTTCCTTGTATCAAATATCCACTACGTAATCGGAAAGCACCGCAACGCCGCATTGCCGTTCTAGTCTAGCTAGCTTCCCTGGATACTAATAGTCAGAGCCTTCGCGGCGGCGGATGCTGAGATGGGCGGCATATGCACACTGGTCTTGTCCGTACGAACGAGCCCCCCACCTGCGTGTCCATCTGCGATCTTTGGAGATGCACCACGCATGTCTCTCTTCTTTTTCTTGCCTATGGTGTTACTGTGCTCTGTACCTGACACAAAAGGAAACTCTGCGGCGCACGCATGCATGCACTGCATCCCGTCTTGTTTCCCTCTTTGCTCACCCTGTCCACACCCCCTCCCCCCCCCCATCTTATAGATTGTTGGGGGCGAAAAATTAAGTCATCTCTTTAAACAAGTTCAACTCGTCAGAAAAGAGGCCGGCACACCTTGTATCGACAACTCAGCCCATAAGATTGACCACCCCTCCATTGGACGTGAACCCTGCACCTCGAAACGGAGGGGTCCTGGTCATCCGTTCAATATCCAGGGCTGAAATGTCACCAAATGTGACCCGTATCAGCATCTCTTGTATGACATCGAGTCAGGTATCTTGTATCTCGTCATGGGACACATTACTTTGAGCAAACAAGAGCTTGTCTGCCGTGCCCAAATCCGAGACTTTTTGTTCCAGTGCGCTGAAAAAAAAAACCGTTTGTCGAAGCGTCGAGGCCCAGCTCCCCCGAGCATCACCTCCCTGTGTGTTTGGACAGAGAGGTCAGCCACATGTGCATGGGCACCATTTCCTATTCTCTTCACACCATTCTGCACAAGTACTATATCATTGATGCTGCACACCCTCCCATGAAGAGCTACATGCAGATACATGCAGATACATGCAGACACGTCGCCAGAACAGCCCATCTGGCTTGGGACGAAGGCCACTAGTTCAACGCACATCCGGGTATGCAAGGGAAAGAGGGGCACAGCCTGCGAAAAGGGCCAGTAGTAGCAACACATCCTTCAGCCTGCGTCTCGCCACACGGGAAGGAGATGGCAGCGCAGCGCGACAATGCACTGCTGCTGCCTGCAACAGGCGGTGAGGGGCATGCACCGAATCCACGGGGGGGAGGGGGGGGGTGTTGCATCGACTTCGCATGTGGTCGCCTTAACGCTGGCTGGTCTGAACCCCAGTCGCCCAGCCTCAAGTAAGACATTCTGGATATCAAAGACGAATCCCGACCACAAGGGCACAAGAGTCAGTCAGAAACATGGCAAACCTACAGCAAAACAATCAAAAAGTGCAGTCTTGCTTGAATGTCAAAAGAAAGCAAATCAAGCTTTGACACAACCTTTTTGATCCGAAAGCTGCTGTAAAGTGGTTCGACCGAGCACTTGACCGATTAGCTTGCTGACGTTTCCACGTCGTGCCGCCTTGCTCCATGGTCCTACGCCGCAAAGAGATAAAAAGGATCATCTGCCATTATGCGAGAAAAACGAAAAAATCAGCCACCGGCCGAGTAGCTACATAGGTGTCATTGACAGACTATCTTTCGGAGTGGCGGAGATCTTACCAAGGTCATTAAATAGTATTTATCTTGCGGCCGCCTCGAATTTGCAAACCCCACGCCCCAGACCCTCCCTGGTTTGCCAGAGATTTGGGAGGTGGGTGGTCTTTGCTTTCGGCTCAACCATGTCGTTCGCTGGACTAGTTAGCTTGCCTGGCCGAGGCCGAAGGGCGAGAATGAAATCCCACCTGTTCTTTTTTTCCTCTTGTGAGAAGACTCAGGGCAAAGGCGACAAAAGCCCTTCTCACACACTCTCTCTCTGCTGCTCGGTGAGGCGAAGAAAATGTTTCTTGATCCCTTAGAGAAAAAAAGGACAGCTGCTCGATAAAGGGAAGATCCGGCACAGCTGCGCGCGCATACTTTGTGCATAAAAAGCCACCGATGGAGTGGCTCAGCCTGAGCCAGCGCAGCAAGGTGGCACGGGAATCGCTTTGCTTGCATTACTCCAGTATGCAAACTGCACATGTGGCAACCCGCGGAAGCACGCGTGCAGAACCGGCCTCCTAGACTGTTATAGTCGATCCAACTATAAAACGACGGCCAGTTGGGCTACCATCCACATCCAGCCATCAATCAGATGGACCCGTCCTTGTCGCTCGCAGAATCTCGCGTTACCCAATGCAATATTCCCAAAATTGGCGAAAAGTGAATTGATAGCAAACTTCCGGGCCACAAGTTCCGATCAAGTTTGTGCATACGACTGCGCCGCCCCTTCACTGCCTGTGCTATCGTGCGTGCCCTTTTGTCAGGGCATGTGGTTGGTTGGGCAGGGCATAATCATCAGTTCGGCGTGGGGTAGTCAGTTTTCCAGCCTTGCTTCTCTTTGGCTTAAATCCATACCAGTAGCACCACTTGCACCACTTGCACCAGTAGCTAGCTTGTTGCTTGCCTCGCGCCGAGCCATACAGACGCTATTGTTTCTGGCAAAGAGCCAGGTGCGGGCGGGCTTGGCCAACGCACAATTTTTCTCAAGCTAATAACTTAAACCCTGGTTCACCCACAAGACCCAGCCCTCGTCGCACAACCAAGGTCCTGTGCCACGCCCCCCCGAATAGACGCTAAGTACTCAGTACCGAGTATGGATAGACGAGACAATCAATCCCATCCATCAGCATAAATGACCAGCCTTTTTCGCCTCACTTCAAGTTGCCTCTCCAACATGGGGGGTCATGACCGGCAGAGGCTTTGATCTAATGCATGTAGCGGTATAGGCACAATGCCCTTGTGCGTCTGTAGATCCGCCAGGCATTTGTGCATAAGCAAGAGCATCGTTATCGAGACCTGAATCGCAAGCAGATCCGAGCAACGCTCACTTCAGCTGCAACAGCATAATAATCCTCGGGCTGTTAGTCAATCGCTTAAATGATCCCAGCAATAATAATGCGCTGTCAGTTCATCACGGGCCTGGTCTATGCCCACGCCCCTGTCAATATCCGAATCCTTCCAACCCTCACACCTTGAATCGTACTGAGTAAACTTAGGCAGTCGTTCGCTCCCCCGACAAAACACACCTGGAAAGACGGCCCAAAATTTGAGCCAAGTGGAGGAGAGCGGCCTGGGCTTTTGCCCATCGGCCTTCGCAGTGCTGGTCCGCCCGCATCTTATCCAATTGAGGTTGTAGTGGCGGACATTGCCAGTGTGCCAGAACAACGTGGAAAGCCCTCATTGGACTACTGGTGGTCAGCTCCCAACCCCTGTCCCGACCGACGCCACTTTGTTGTGGATGGACAAGGAAGAAGAAAAGGCGAGAATCCACCACAGCAAGGCTACTCTGCGGACGAGTATAATTCTTCGTGGCAACACGGCGCGCCGTATTGAGTCTTGACTCTTGACTCAGTTAGCTGTAGCTCCTTCGATCCGGCCTGGATAGTTTTGCCATCGCATTCGCCAACTCTGGAAAGCTTGAGTGCTATCCCGGTTGCTAGCTCGCTCAATGTAGTTGGCGGCTTGTGAGACACCATAGCATTTTATATGTCTGGCATCTCGAATCGAACACAAGCAGCAGCGTTGTAATTCAACAAGCACTTTGCTTGTTCCTGCAGCTCGGTCACCTGTGGACATGTTAATCGGTTCCGGTGACACGCAAGAACTTTTGTCAAGGTCTTGCGAGCGGCTAGAGAGAAAACAGCAGTAAGCTGTAGGCCCAAAGACCCTGGCGTAGACGATCGCTGCCAAACCCTGTAGCCACGGGCCAGAGTCACCCATCGGCTCTGCAGCCTTGGATGGGGTTACGCGGGAAGACTAATGTATGCACGGAAAACGGAGCGCGGGCTGGCGAAACCACGACGGAGCCATCCACCGAGAATGCCATCGATGCTCCTCCCACATGGGCGCCGAGCTTCTGCTTACCCCCTCCTTCGTCCCACAGGCGCGGCAGGTATTATGCAGCCAGAAATAGCGTCGCAGTAGCAACAACCCCCGATATTCCTATATCGCACTGCTGGCTGGATTCAGAGCATAGTGGCATGATGCGACCGTCTTACTGATACTGTCGGGAAGGCCTTGAGCCGATTTTGGCTTTGGCTTTCTGTCTTGTCATGACAAAATTACACTGATAACCCGGTTTTCAAACGGCGAAACATGTCGTCGTCACACTAACTGGCTGCTCTGAGACCTACATAGCCGCTGCGCATGTCATGCAAGTGCTCAATCGGCCAATCGCCCCCCGACTAGTTGGCTGCAGGGACTGGCCGCTGTCAAAACGCAGCTTGCCACATGTGTAGTGGCTGTTATCACACCTTGACGTAGATACCTGACAGCTATGCAGTCAGCAATTATGCATGGGAGGGGCGCGATTTATCGTGCATTGCATTGGTTAGGCTGCGGTCGCGGCGTCGGCTTGCAACGGCATCGGCCGAGTCGTGGATTAATCCGCCCAAGTTCCCAGTCTAGTTGTAGTTATCAGCGCCATCGATATTCCTATGCGGAACGCCGCCGCATCAAACCTGGCAATAAGAAATAATTTACCAGCTCCTTGTATTGTCAGAGAAAGGTGTTGCTGGAAGGCTGGCCCCGAGGTCCACATGGGTCAGCCCAAGCAGATTATGTACAAGATCCGGCGGTGCTCCTCTTGATGATGTGCATACGTGGATAGCATCTTGTGTCCAGATCGGTTCCATGGGGTGTACTTTGATCTGGGGCGTACCAGACGGACACTGGCCGAAAGTGCGTTTTCGTAAAAGGCGAAGGAAAATGTAGACTCTGCGCACAAATCGTCGGCGACGATGCTTCAGGGCAGAATCGATTGTCGACAGCAACAGCCTTTGTCGGAGTCGCATGGCTGGCTGATATTGAAGCAAAATAAAATGATAGTACCCACTGAGGCGTTGGGGAGGTGGGGAGAGAATGGAGGAGGCATTCAAAACGCCCCAATCCCATGTGCGCTGTGCCATCGAGAAGGGTGTGGAGGAGAAAAGATGAAGGATACGAGGTCTGGCCATGTCCAACACAGCTGCGAAGGAAGATGTAAAGTTTAGAAGGATGGGGGCGAAACGAGGGTACGTGGAGAGCTCTGCCACGCTGCCAGCATAGTGTCTCGGAAGGACGCAAGGTGTGGTGCATTCTGGTCGTGTATCGAGTCGGTAATGCACAGCCTTGGTTCAGGGTACCGCAATGCAGCCCAAGCGCTTCTAAATCCAAATGAAAACCGAGACTGGTTGGCTACCGGCCGCTGGCAAGCTGGTCTGACAGCGGTCGGAGTCGGAATCTTGCATTGACCGTGGGCAGCTTGGCGGGGCTATCTGCGCGCCCGTTTTGCTGCAGGTTGGGGGCGCTGACTGTGGCAGGCCGGGATTTCAAGCTTTCGGAGTACATGACGCACTCTAGCCGCTGAGCCGTTCCTTCTGAAGATATGCACGGAGTCGATGAGGTAGGACGCACAAAGAGGCAGTCAAGCAGTGGAACGGCAGAAGCGCATGGCTTGATGGTGGCAAGCCCAGCAGCATCCCAGGAAACAGCCTCGTGCTGACGCTGGATCCGGTATCGTCAGAGGTGCAGTTTCTACTGATAGTATTAGGGTAAGTGGCGCTGGTGCGAGGGACTTGTTCGTGGCGAGCGGCTGGGATGGTGCAAGATCGAGCGTGTGGGGACGGTATCACGGGGGGTGTAGCCACCGAGATGCTGTCAAATGCTGGTCGTGCTAGTATTTTGCCCATGTTGTGAATAAGGCAATCAATTGATGGGGTTCGAGACGGTCGGGACTGAAACAGCCGCAGAGAGCCCATGGAGGCCATGCTGCCCATGGCTGGTCGTATTCGTCAATACGAACAGCATTGCGGATGTTGTTGACAATGAAGAGTAATAAGCTGGGTGGCTGGGGCCAAGGATCAAGATGGTCAGCAACAGATTAGCGTGGTTAGCCTGTTACAGGGTTTGTGGCTGGTGGAGGATGGTGATGGTGTACTTGTAATAATAGCAGTTACATGGACCAGTGTCAGCCGGCTCAAAGCATCATGGGCGCGGGCGAATTGCTATGCGCCGCTATTCCCATGCCGAGTGACCCGACGCTGGTAATGCACTGAGCAATGGCTGGAGCTTGACGTGATTGTGCAAGATGCTGCTGGCATGTATTGGCGATGCAGCGGCGGAGCAAACGAGGGCGTGGTTGAAGGAGGTGGTATCTGGCTAAGATGTTGGGAAAGAGCTTTTGAGGCAGCCCAAGCCTTGGCGGGGTCATTTCCCGAACAAGATGGTTGTGTGGACCGCGATATTGCGAGAGGCGAAGTCGACAATTAATTGATGTGGTGGTGTGTTTTCTTTGACTTTGTGTTGGGATATTCTTGACGGTTGTGGGGGCAGTGTTTTATGCCCAGAGCCAATGCGGACCGGCCGAGATCGAAAATTTTCAGCGCCGAGAAGGATTGTAAAGCGACAGGAAATAGAAGATGCTACAGAAGATGGAGGACAATTCGATGTGCAAGACTCTAGGGTGGGTAAAAGCGAACATGTAAAGCTGTGATGGCAGGCACGATTGATGCAAGCGAGACGGGAGAATGTGGGCTGGCGCCGGACGGAGTCAAGACGCTGGCAAACGGGAATACCTTGGGCGCTACGCGAGACACCTATACCTACCTAGGTACCTAAGATCTCAAGGTGGAAGCTCTTCAGTGAGGGGGCGCCCTATAACGGACCCCTTCAGCGGTGTGAGCCTGGTAAGGTACCCAACTCTGGATGCCGAGGGCTGAACAGCGCCCCAAAGCCCACCAAGAGCCAGCTATCCGCACCTGAGATAACTACGTGCTCCGTACCTGGGTACTTAGGTACGAAGCGCTGTGCTTGTAGAGCCGGCGGCTGCCCCACTTGCCAGCTGGCGACGGCCGCTGACAGGTTCAACGCGTTGCCACTCAACTCAAACTGCTGGTGGGGTCGTCCATCATCACCCGCGCTCGTTAATGGAGTAACTTGATCATTTATGACGCTTGGCATGGACCAGTCTGTGGTGATTATGAGGTGCTGGGCTGGCTGGGCGCTCGCCATTCCCTGCGCAAGTTGTTGCCGTTGTTCATACTGAGTGTGTGACGGGCCAAGTTGGGCAAGGACTGTGGTTGTTGCTGGTGTTGCTGGTGGTGGCTGCCACAGTTCGTTGGTAACCAGCCATAGGGCTCCATGGCGGCTCCGCTGTGATGTGGTTTGATGCCTATGGCCAGCCCAGCCACTTGATCATTGGCCAAATTCTATCTGTGTCAGGCCAAATTTATTGGACAATCAATTCCTTTGCTAATTGATTGAGTATTCCTCTTCTTCCCAAAGCTTGCGATGATTGATTGCTCTGATTGGTGGCTGGGAAAAGCCCTCGTGGCATTTGTGCGTTGCGGGCGAACCAACGGCTGCGTGGGCGGTCTGCACTGATGCTGTGCTGCTGGGGGTCCCATCTGACCCCTCGCTGCCAGTCTTCGATAAGCCAGATTTGACAGGGCAGGCGAGCCTGCATCAATGCACGCTTGATGCCAATGCCATGCACAATTCCCTAGTAAGGAAAGTAAAAATCATAGAAAAAAGCAACAGTCGGATGCAGGTCGATCTGGGCCCCAAGATATTTTTGGGAACCTAGCCGGCGCTATCGGGGCCCGCTAGCACGACTTGGAAACGGGCTGGCTGGGGACAGGTGAGACAGCGTGCGAGGCTGGCTGGCTCTTTTCGGCGCTGGCTAGCAAAACTTTGCCTGCCCAACTTCTGGCCATGGACCATGGTTCACAGGGGGGGCGGGTGGTCTAGGACAAGGGCACGAGGCGGCACAGAGATTGATCACGGACGGTGTAGGAGGGGGAAGGGGGAGGGGGAGGGGGGTCAACCGGCAAAAGATGCAACAATCCTGGAAACTTGCGAAATGGAATTGAAATGCCGTTCCGCCAATCTATTCGGCAGTCTGGGAAGGAGAAAGAGAGAGAGAGAGAAGACGGAAAGTTTGCTCGTCAATGCCGCGGGTGCCCAAGCTGATAGAGTAGTTAGTTATTACTTGGGTGGGAATAGGAGGAATGGGCTATGCGCTGGCGATTGCGGGCCTCGTTCCCGCGTCGCCATGAAACCCAGCGCTCGCTCCAGCTCCCCAGCTTTACTCGCCATCTTCCCTAGGGACAGGGAAAGCCCTTGGAAGTTTGCGGTGTAGCGACGGGATTGGTCACTGTCAGCTGATCCCCAGAGTGAAGAAGGAGGGCAAAGAACCTTGGGCTCCATATATACATTTGAGGTAAACATCTAATCGCTTAAGCTCCTGTTCCTGGCTAGAAATCCAACAGCAGCTTAGCTTTGATGCAACGCGCGCGTCATTTTCGGGGCCAAGAAGCATCAAGTTCGCATGAGAGCAGGCGAATGCAACGAACAGGGCCTGGGGGATAACGTTGGAAACAGAGGACCCTGGCGAGGCAAAAAAAAAAAGAATGCCGGCCGGCCGGCGTCGAGACGTACCAGGGGTTCAGTGTACATACGAGTGGAAAAAGGAACTGCTTTTCCGGCCCCGGCCCCGGCCACCCAAGCATAAATCGAGAAAAGTAAATCATGGCCATTACAACGCCCGAGACACGCAGCGAGAAAAACGAAGACGGCAACAGGATACTGAATACGTAGGCATCATGGACAAGCTGGGATGAAAGAGCGGCCCGGGGGGCTGGGCTTGGCTCTCACCCAAGCTTGCTTGGCTTTGAATCAATATATGATGATTGGGAGATAAAAGAGGGCTCTGACCTCTCCCGTGCAACTGTGATGCCCTGGTCAACCAACCCCCAGGGAGGCACCATGCTATATTTGAACTACAAAGTACGGAGTAGTCATTTTGAGACTAGGTACGGATTGCGAATACCAAAGGCTTGTTTCTGGTCTATCAGAAACTGAACCGGATATACTGATAGCGGTCCTTGTAAAGAGGACCCTGGTATTGCACCACAATCTTGTTTTATGCAAGACACGGAGCATTGCAGCGGCATTGACATCTGTCGTCTTGGCTCCGAGAAGCATTGAAAGATGCTCCAGAGGCTTGGCCAACACGCCCTTGTGTGGGAGCGCGCGATGACGCCCCTCTCCACATGGCCGCCTCCACCGGCGGCCAACTAGCCATCATGCTACAACTGAATGCTCGAGATTCACTGGCTGTTAGCTAGTTTGGCTAACAAAGCGGCCCAGCTTTGTTGTCGGAGACGAAAAGGCTAACTAGCTAGCTCGTCGTTGCTGACCACGGGGCAACCCACCCAAGGGCCCGGCAGCGCCAACTGGATTGGTCCCCGTATCGGAGCTAGGGCTGTTTTTACTTTTCTTCTTTCATGGTTGTTGGGCGGTGACTGGAGCTTGAATCGATTGCCGGGCTGAATTAGCGAAGATGGAAGCATGATGGGCTGTTTTGCTTGATCGAGAAAGAACAATTGGGTTCACGATGGGGCACACACATTAACCTAGAACCGTTTAACCGACCCAATGAGAAGCTATTTGAATGAGAAATGCGGCGGGCGGAATGGGCTATAGCCGTTCATTTCAGGCGTCATTGGTACGACTCTTGTGTGTATTATATAGCGACTGACACATTCACCCACACTTTTCTTTTACAAGGCGGGACAGGGAACGGGCGACACAACACACGCACACGCGCGCGAGGGCCGATAGCAGTAGAGTGCGGGCTGCGATTCGCCAACCCTGTCGAGCTCCATCCGGAGCCAACTGGCGACGGGGCTGGGACGGCAGAGGACGGCAAATGACAAAAAAAAAAAAGCTGGTGATTTGAGAAGGAGAAACGGATACGAGATAAGAAAGCTACAGGGTGCGAAATGGGCAACTAGAGATGGCTGCTATATCGGGAGAGAGACGATGCTATTGAACGGCCGACGACAAGCACGATCCGAATCGTGCAGGAAAAAAAAAGAGGGATAAATAATGAACAAGGAAGGGCTATAAATCATTAGGGCAGATGGTTGACCGACTGACTTGGTGGAAGCTGAGAGGTCAGCAGCTACGGGGACAAGAGGAGAGATGAGGACATGGGGGGGGGGGGGGAGGCCCGGGAGGGGGGTGAAGCGGCTGGTGTGGAATGTCTCTGCTGGGTGCTGAGGAGAGAGAAAGGCGGACGGGAGCTGTGGCACAGAGTTTAAGGGGGGGGGGGGTTGATGGTAGGCCATCGCCCACTAGCATCTGGTGTTACCAAAAAAAAGAAGAGGCAGGGAAAAAAAAGAAGATGGAAGATGTGTTGGCAGTGAAATTCAAAACATTATAGGACTATTAGTAGAGGCGCAGGCAAGAGGGGAAAAAAAAAAGGAAAAGCTGGCTCATGTCTCGACAACATGGCTCATGATTGTGCATCCTGAGTATACAAGTGCTGGCGGGCGAATGCTTGCGGGCAAAGAGGCAAGCGGCCCAGGGCTGCCCCAAGCTTCTGTTGAGGACAACACAACACGACACGACACGACACGACACAAGACAAGAGTTGAGTGAGTGAGTGAGTTGACGCCCGCTTGGTCCACTCAGAGTGCTCGTCCTCGTCGGCCTGTGTGCTGGCCCGTCATTCAGGGCTGAGGTATAACAGCTTGAAGAGGGGTGAGATTGGGTGAGATGGGGGGGAGAAGTAGAGGGCGGATCTGGCAGGAGCGGCTTTGGCTTGCTGTAGGTACCGTGCAGCGGATCTTGTACTGGAGTGTAGCAGCAAAGAAACTTCGTGGACTTGATATATAATTATACCAGATATTTCACGGGAAATGCCTTGGCCTATAATTCGCTGACAAATTACACCGGCCAAGAATGCAATGAAAAAATATACCCGATATTCACGAACAAAATACACTGGGAATTCACTGACAATTATACCAGCAAAGAATTCACCAGCACAAAGACGGCACTCGCTGGAGACGCCACTGTACTTTGAAGGAGTATTACCAGTACCTAGGTACCTTAGGTACTCAGTATACGTAGGTAGTGCTGGGCAAATGTCTCTGCAGCCCCAGCTCATCACTCCCTCGACTATTTTTTTTTCTTTTGCCTCGATTCCCCTGCAGCGGCAGCAACAGATTCAAGACCCCAGAGACGGTTTCTTTGGATATAAATAAATCTTCTTTGAATACAGATAAGAAACACAACCGGCCAAAAGAATGGGAACAAAAAGGACATCTCGTCTGCCCACCGCTTGACCCAAGCTGGTAAAACTTGGACCCAAGACCAGCAAGGTCCCTTGGTCCCCTGTCTGTCACTAACCGGACCCTACGGCTAGCTCATCTTTTTTCAATTTACTTGCTCGCCTTTTTTTTTACCTGTGAATTGTCCCCAGTCCTTCCCCCCAGTCCACCATCTTGACCACCCCTCCCCTTCAGAAGCAAAGGCCCCCCCCCCCTCCCCTCTCAGGCTCCTCTCCGTGGCCCAACTCCTCCCGATGGGCGCCAAAAAAAAAAGAGAGGGATAAATAAAAAATCAATGTTCGGACAGGGGACCGAGTAAACGGCGCCTTTTCTTGCTCTCTATGGAGTACCAGTACGGAGTACGCTCGACAAACGGACAGCATCTTGTTCCTGCTGATACACCCCCCCTCTCACAAAAAAACCCCCATGAACGCCCCCTCCCCCCCCAGCACCCGGCCAAGTTGACCGGCCTCTTCACTTGCTCTCGTCTCTCACCACACGCCCAAAAAAACAAAACCATCCCCGGCCCAAGCTCCAGCTTCTTGTAGGGCCTCCTCTCCTCTCTCTCTTCTTTTCTTCTATCCTCCCGTCGTTTTAAACCATTGTCCGACTCGGTCTTCAAAAGCATCTTTTCCTCACTCCCTCTTTTCTTTTATAACCGCTTCTTCTTCCCATCCTAAAACCTTGAACCCTCCTCCGCCGCCGAGACCCCCCCCTCTCTCCCCTTGGCCCATCACCACCCGCTTACCGACCTCTCCATTTTTTCGCCAATTCTCAGACTCTGTTTCGAGACGGCAGGAAGGAAGAAAAGAAAGAAAACGGTATGGCTTCCTCTTTTTCTATCCCCTTTTTCATTTTTTAATGTTGCTTGCTTTTACTGCCAAATCCACAACGGTTCCTGTCTCACTCAATTCCTCGCCATCGTGCATGTTGGTTGATGCGCTGCGCCGCCATCCTCTGCCCTCTTGACTCTTGCCCGCTTTGCACCACCACCACCACGTCGTGTACTTACTTGCTTCTGCCCTGGTCAGCGCACCCAGCCTTCTTCTCAATTGCATTATATCCCCCCCTCCCCGGCCGCTCTCCCGCCGTTTGCTTTGCTCCCCCATTGTCTCCTCGTTTCTTCTTCATGCGCCTCTGCCTCCTCCCGTCTTGTCAACCTTGCAGCTAACCGCATTGCATTGCAGCTGTCGACGCCATCTAACCTGCCCCCCGCTAGTTGACGCTGTCACTGTCTTCGTCGTTGTCGTCGTTGTCAAGACATTCAAACGCCGACTACACCTCCTCACCGTTTGCACACCTTGCGCGCGCCTCCTACTACCGCTCTGCCGGCTCTTCCAGCCTCGTGCCAAACGAATCGTCCCGTCTTTGACCGACGACGCCGCCGCCTCCTCGCGATACCATCGTCGGCCTCTTCCACCCCCTTCAGCCTTTTGTTCGCTCATATATACCCGTCTGTCTTGCCTCTCTCGACAGCCGTGCTCAGCTTCTGCCTAGCGAAACCGCTTCTCTCTCGAATGTATCACGATTAAGACGACTTGTAATTGATGCCCTTTTACGATCAGCACGCCTTCTCTTCGACCATCGTCGCACACGTCTACTCTCTTGCGCCTCTTGCTGCCAGCGTTTCTTCCTCTTACAACATCCTCGACATCCATTGTCACCTCCACGACTGCAGGCTTGCGCCCTCTCTTGTTCCGCCGCATCAGCCACTCTGATCCCAGCCAGAGTTGTACTACAAGCTCTCCCCTCCCCTCTCACTAGTTGCACCTTTGACAGACGAGTATTTATGAGCCTTGACAGATTACCGTCATTTGCTCTGCTTCCTCTTGGCCACGCCCAATCTTCCACCACATCCTCCCCGCGTCTGAGCTCCATCGCCTCCCATAACGGCTCCCAATCCTCCTTCACCTCGGCCGCCTCCTCCAACGGTCCCAAAACGCCTTCGCCCACTCTGCCCCTCAACGCCATCACAGGCCCCCCCACCAACATTGTCCGCTACGACGCTATGAATCACCCGCCCGACCTTTACTATGCCCAGCACCTCTCGGCTGGTCAGCCCTCTGCGCCTCAGACCGTCACCTCGAGCGCCATGGGCCATTATCACCAACAACCACCTCCCATGCTGCAGTCCAACCACGGCCAATACTCCAATCCCGCACCCTACTCCTACGGCTACGCCAATGGCCTGACATCGCCGCCTTCCGCGCCACCATCCGTCTCCAACGGCATGGCTGCGCCCCAAAACGTTCTGCCTTTGCCGGGCGGTGTCCCCAGCCAAAACTCGTTGCAACAACCGTACGCCCATTTTGACAGCACCGGACAGCAGCCCCCGCCCGGCATGAAGCCTCGTGTGACTGCTACTCTCTGGGAAGACGAAGGCAGTCTCTGCTTTCAGGTTGAGGCCCGCGGCATCTGTGTAGCCCGTCGCGAAGGTACGCTCTTTTCGGGCCCGTCTTTCGGAGATGATCCTCGCTGGGGTGCTTTGGTATAACCTACTGACCATTTATTAGACAACCACATGATCAATGGCACAAAACTGTTAAACGTCGCTGGCATGACCCGTGGCCGCCGCGATGGTATCCTCAAGAGCGAAAAGATCCGCCATGTGGTAAAAATAGGTCCCATGCACCTCAAGGGAGTCTGGTATGTTTGATTGATTCACACGAGGTACAACAACGTAGAAACTAAGACAAGAAAGGATTCCTTATGAGCGGGCTCTCGAGTTTGCCAACAAGGAAAAGATTACCGAGCTTCTCTATCCTCTGTTTGTACACAACATTGGCTCTTTGCTCTACCATCCCACCAACCAGAGCCGTACCAACCAGGTCATGGCCGCTGCCGACCGCCGCAAGCAGGACCAGGGCCAACAGATGCGCACCTCGTCCAGCCACGGGTTGCCTTCAATTCACCACCAGCAGCAATCCGCCATGGCCCAGGTTCCCGGGAATCAACCCACATTGGCCTCTCACAGCTCGTTGGCGCGTCCCGGCCTAGAACGCGCGCACACATTTCCTACGCCGCCAACCAGTGCCTCGAGCGTGATCAATGGCATGGGTGCCTCAGAGGGCTTCAACTGGCACAGCCAAGGCATCAACAGCCAGCAGGCTACTACGCCTCCCGGTACCTCACTACAATCTCTGCAGTCGTACCCCTCGAGCGCCCACGGCGGCTACGACAGCCAACGCCAGATGTACACTGCTCCCTCCACGCAGCAGTCGCCGTACCAGAGCACTGCCAATTCCTCTCAGGACCGTCTGTACGGTCAGGCTGGTTCGTACCCCAAACACGACATGGCTCCACCATTGAGCCGACCAGCTACCACTGGCATTCTTGCTGACCACTCCCAAGCCAAATCGAACGGTGTCATTCCCTCTGAACAAGCTGCTCCCCAGCAGCCTGGCGACGAGGAAGGTGAACATGAGCAGGAGACAGAGTATACCCACGACAGTGGCTCCTACGACCCTACTCGCGCGTCGTACAATTACAGCGCCCCAAGCGCTTTGCCCAGCGACAGCAGTAACATGCCTCCTGAGATGACGGGTTCTCCTAACCACCCGCCCGCTTCTGGCCGTGCGACCCCTAGAACTGCCGCGCAGCCCCAGTCGTACTATCAGCATGGTGGCTACACGCCTCCTCGCGTGCAGCAGTCGAGCAACCTTTACAATGTCATGAGCAACGATCGCCCTACCACCAACGGTGCTACCACCGGTGATGTCTATGCTCCCGCGGGCGAGATGCCGGGTTCCATGAACAATGGGTATGCTCCTCGTCCTGTGCTCAACGGTGTTAGCGCTGGTGTCAAGCGCGGCCGTGACGACGACGAAGTTACCAACAATGTTGGGTCAGTCGACCTGAAGCGTCGCAAGACCATGATGGAAACTAGTGTTCCCGCTCCCGTCTACGACGCCATGAACCAATCTGCCTCTGCTGTCGGAGCACCCCCCCGGCGATGAGCACACATGCCTTGCATGTCACGACGACCTCCGCCTGCGCGTCATAATGACTACCTAATGATTGCGTCGCCCATTGATGCAAGACGAATTGTTTCTATGGACAAATCAATTCGTCATGCTACTGGGCATCCCGTTCATTTTGTCCATTTTCATCAACTGTCAAAATTCTTCACTTTTATTCTATTTTTAGTCACTTCTGCGTCATTCTAGCGCAAGGCTAGCGGTTTGAACTCTTTTCGATCCCTGCAACAACAATGCGCGACGAGTCACGAATTTTTTACGATTTGTTACCATTTATTCAGTCAATTCTTCACGGCTGCGCAGCGTCTCGACGAGTCACGCCTCACCATACCGATTATCTTTGGACTGATCGAAAAGAAGGCCTTGTCCCATAAAGGCACATTTCTCACATTGTGATTTTTGTCTGGTCCTGGACGTGTTGAGGCAATCTTCTTCTTGTACATACCGCCTGTTACGAACCCCAGGTGGAAACAATGAAGCTGAAGCTTATTGGGCGCCATGGAAATCAGCAAAAAAGCTCAGTTGAGAAATTCACAAGCCTCTCTTATATACAAACGAGGCGAGAATGACTATTGTTTCTTTTCTGGAATGCCTTTATCATTGGGAAGAGTTGGAAAAAGGGCATTTTATTTGGAAATGGAAGAGACACCGGACGCAAGAAAAAGCCGGTGATGACTTTATGACCTGTTCTTGATTCATTTTTTTTTTCATGGCATTCTATTTCTTATTTTCCTCGAAACAGGCCACCACTTTTTGGTGCTTTCTTCTTCTTCGTTGGACATGTTGCTTTATTAGTTGACGATTTATGAATGACAATAAAAGCTATTGAGGATTTAGCGTTGGCGGCCTTGAATAACTTGTGACTGTCTGCAATGGCGAGGTACTGAAATCGATCAATTCTGGGAATTAGGACGAGTCCTCGTGAACTTCTTCCGATGGAGTGCGCTTCTTTACGGAATACGAGATCACCTACACTTTACGCCTTGGGCCCCGATGCAAGTTTAAACACATATAGCCTCTTTGACATGACATGTCTGCATTTTCTCTTTATTTGATTTTTCCAATCATGCATAGCGATGCGCACTGCGCGGCCGCACAAGTTATGCACAAGTTGCCGTCACGTGTAGCTGTACTCGAATGTACGGTTGCTCGGCCAACACCATCACATATGACGGCTCCCTGCATGTGGGTTCCAACAGCGACGACCGGCATGGTGACGGCTTTATTTTGGCATGAAACGACATTCTGTTTTTCCATCTTCAAAGAAACTCATACAATAACAGACGAAAAATTCATCTCAAGTTTGGATGATTGATCTGCATACTCGAGTTTCCTTTTTTTTCCCTGCTTTCATGCGTTTGAGCTTGCACACAAACACAAGAAACACGAAAACTATATCACGGCAAACGAAAGACGACGGGTCACTACAAAAAGAAAGCCATGTTTCCGCTATCACCGGCCCGTGATGCCGCTCTCAACAGCTCTCCGAGTCCCCGCCGCTTCGACGACGACTACGAGGTTCGCAAGCACACGGTGTCTTGCACGTCTGCAAACCTTAATGACGAGGACGGGGATAACAACGCCATGTCGTCGCCACTTATCAGCAACACCAGCGCCATAACGACGGCCACGCAACGCAGCCAGCAGGATCACGGCAGCGGGCCATCCCTGTCGCCCGGTCACCGCCGCCGCCATAGCCGTGTCATTTCGGGGACGGAGCTGTCGCCACTCAAGATTCTCAGCCGCAAGCGCAGCAGCGAGGAGCAGCACCTCGCAGGAGAGGGCATGGGCCCGCCGCCAGCACGAAATGCTAGAAAGATTTCGTCGCCGGAGAAGCGCTTCCCGGTCAAAGTGGGCGGGGACGGAGGTGCGGCGGTGCGTGAGAGGCAGATTAGCCTAGAGGAGGCGATGCGGACAAATGGAGGCGGGCTGCGGCGCGCGATTGACATTTTCGAGGACGACGAGGATAAAAGCCCAAACAGCAGCCACGGAGACGATGGCGGCTTCAATCCGGACGAGTCGGGGGTCAGCACGTTTAGCACGTTTTCGGCTGTCCCGACGCTCACGAGCTATGCCAACTGGCGCGCGCAGCAGAGCCCCGCCAAGCTGGCAGCCCTGTCTGCCGTTTCGTCGTCGCGTTCAAGCACTAGAGATGAGGGTGGCAACACAACGAATCTTCTCATGGACTTTACCGACTCGCTGCGACACCCGCGGCGCTCGCCGGAGAAGAAGCTGCCGTCGTCGAGCACGCTGCCGAATCTGGCGGCGGCGACGCCCAGTAGAGCCGGCGTCACGACAACGCTCATCGACTTTGACATTCCACCGCTGCCGACGCCGCGCAGCGTGCCCACGATTTCCTCGCGCGAGCTCGAGTCGCTTAAATCGGGCTTCTTGTCGGAGATTTCGTCGCTTAAGGCGTCGCTGAGCGGCAAGGAAGCCGAGGTGCGCGCGCTCAAGACGGCGGTGGGCGACGCCGAGACGCGCGTCGGCGAGTCGCTTGAGAAGCTCCGCGAAGAGGCGGCGCTACGGGAGCAGGCGGTGGCGGAGAAAGACGACTGGGCGCGCCGCGGCGGCGAGATGGAGAGCATGATGCGGAAACTCAAGGACGAGCTGCTGCAGGGTCAGCGGGACCGCGAAGAGGCGGAGCGGAGGCTGGAGGAGAGCGATAAGAGGCGCGAGGCGGCGGAGATGCTCCACCAAGAGGCCGAGAGCAGGATTGCCGGTCTGCGTGCGGGCAGGGAGACGGAGGAAGGGAAAAGGGCATCGTCGTCGTCGTCGTCGTCGCCGCAGCAGACGAATAAAGAAGTGGAAATGGCGGTGGAGAGAGTGGCCCGCGAACTACATAGCCTCTACAAGGGCAAACATGAGACCAAGGTGATGGCTTTGAAAAAGTCGTACGAGGCGCGGTGGGAGAAGAAGGTCAAGGAGCTGGAGCGACGCGTGCACGAGCTGCGCGAGGAGAATGCGAGCCTGAAGACGGCCGACCCGGACGATACCATGGCGGTCATTGCCGCCGCGCAGGCACATGCGGAAACCGACAAGAAGCAGGCGAGCCGCGACCGCGCGACGATGAGAGAACTGCACGCTACGGTGCAGCGTCTCGAGGCAGAGGTGCAGTCGGTGCAGGCGGATAATGGGAATTTGAGAGGATTATTGGAACAGGAGAGGGTGGAAAAGGGAGAGCTGGTGCAGCTGGCAGAGGAAATGATGTCGATGCAGAGTTTTGTTGGTGTTGGTGGTGGTGGTATTGGTGGTGGCAGCAAGACGCCTGCGTCACGAAAGGGAATCCCTGAATCGGGATTGACGGCGGGAACAAGGTCGCCGGGGAAAAGACCGACGTCAATGTATACAATGGCAACGTCGTCGTCGTCGTCGACGACGACGACGACGACGACGACGCCGAGGAGGCTGAGCGTGGGTAAAGCGTCGGGTCTGCGTGCACCGGGGTCGGCGTACCGTGGAGGGTCGACGGCGGCGGGAGGAGGGTTGAGGACGATGCCTGGAAGGAGTGGCATTTTGAGCGGGATTGAGAAGATGGGCAATCATCGAGGTCGTGGACAGTGAAAGTGAGGGAGGGACGGAGGGAGGTCTTTTGGACGGGTTTTTTTTTCTTGTACGGAACTGAATGAAGTTATGAATGTTGGATGGACTGGATGGATGGATGGGCTGGATACGTGAAGCGCATCGGATGAATCATTATGAGAGAGAATCATCTTTTCATGTCGTCGTGGTGGATGGCTGGCTTCGCTGGATATGTGAAGCGTGTTGGATGAATTATCATGAGAGAGGATCATTTTTCCATGTCGTCTTGGACGACTGGCGTTGATACCATTGTTATTCGAAATTTTGCTAATGATGATGACTTGCGTTTGTTTTTAAAATTGTCAATTTGAGCGAGTTGATTTGTGTGTGTGTTTTTACTTTCATATATCAACATGTGGTGACCTTGCACATGTTGTTGACTCGGAATCTGTGCAGTCATATGAACTCGAGTGTTGCAATTGATCGACTCGCATTTGTGCAGTCTTCCAACTCCTTTGTGCGCGAGGAAAAAAAAAAAACACAACAGCCTTTACAGACCGTACGCTTCCTTGGCGGTGCCGCCATAAATCATGGCGCGCTCGTCGTCGTCGAGCGACGCCATCCAGCACATCTTGTCGACCACCTCCTTCCACCTTGTCCAGCCCTGGCCGTCGGGCATGTCGACGGTGCAGACGGGCCAGTCGCTGCCAAACATGATGCGGCGGGGGCCAAAGGTGGCGAGGACGACGCCGAGCCAGCCAAAGGTGGACTGGAAGATGTGGGCGGCGTCCTGGGCGCGGAGGGCCGGGGGCATCTCGGAGAGGGCGCCCGAGAGCTTCATGTAGACGCGGGGCACCTTGCCGAGGGCGTAGATGGTGGTGCGCCAGGCGAGGAATGAGGCGTCGGTGGTGAGGTTGTAGATGGACAAGTCGGGCTTGCAGAGATGGTCTGGAGTCTGCTTAGCAGCGCAAGAAGAAGAAGAAGAGAAGAAGGAAAATTGAGACA